ACGAACAAGAACCTGAATAAACGACAAGTTAGATGGAGCGAATTCCTCTCCGAATTCAACTTCCGAATCATCTACAGAAAAGGTTCAGAGAACAGCAGAGCCGACGCTCTCAGCAGAAGACCTGACCACGAAGTCAAGGTCCCGAGGAAACACAGGTTATCCTCAAACACGACGACGATGGCAACCTTGTACCTACTACGAAGCTCCTTACGATAGCTAGGAAGGTCAATACCAGCCCGACTGGAAGAATGACCCCTGAGCTCATCATGGAAATTCATAGCGCTAAGGCACACGGTCACCAAGGCGTCACAAAGACATGGAAACGAATTCGACAACATTACGACAAGTCTGCCACGCGAGCAGAAGTCGCCGAAGCAATCAAGGATTGCGACATTTGCAAGAAGAGCAAGAACAGCCCCCATAAGCCCTATGGAGAGCTACAACCGCTTCCGATACCACCCGAAGCATGGCACTCAATCTCATGGGACTTTATCGTCAAACTACCAAAGTCCAGAGAGCCACTCACGAACGTACTGTACGACAGTATCTTGGTCATCGTCGATCGACTTACCAAGTTCGCCTACTTCGTACCATACAAAGAAGCAAGCAATACAGAGGAACTGGCATATACCTTCCTCAAGACTATTGTTGCCAACCACGGTCTACCCAAGGAAATTGTCTCTGACAGAGATAAGCTGTTCACCGCTAAGTTTTGGAGATCCCTGATCTCGCAACTCGGTGCAGACCATAAGCTGTCAACCTCTTTTCACCCGCAGACCGATGGGCAGACAGAAAGGATTAACCAAATCCTCGAGACATACCTTCGTTGTTATGTGAACTACGACCAGAATAATTGGGTATCGCTACTACCAATGGCCCAATTCGCATATAATAGCGCAGTTGGCGAGAGCACGAGAGAATCCCCGTTCTATCTTAACTATGGATTCCAGCCAACAGCGTACGGAGAAGCACGACAGGGACCACAGGCCGTGAAAGCCGTGGCCGACGTGACAAAACTCAGAGAGCTCCAGAAGAAAGCATCTCAGGACCTCGAATTTGTACGGCAGCGCATGAAGAAAAACGCCGACAGATCAAGGATTGGAGGACCAACCTTAGAAGAGGGGGATAGCGCCTATCTCCTTCGACGCAACATCAAAACGAAACGACCAAGCGACAAATTGGACTATAAAAAGCTTGGACCCTTTGAGATCATCAAGAAAGTCTCACCAGTCAATTACGAATTGAGACTACCAGACACAATGAAGTGTCACCCGGTATTCCACATCTCACTCCTTGAGCCAGCACCACGAGGCTCGCACACGAACGATTACATCGTTGTGGAATCAAATCAACCAGAGTATGAAGTCGAACGAATCATCGACCACAGAGTCAGGAACGAGACACGAGAATTCTTGATTAAATGGAAAAACTACGGACACGAGGAAAATACATGGGAACCTATCACGAACCTCCAGAACTCCCGGCAACTCCTCGAGGATTACCGGAAGTCGGCACTAACGAACCCGAATCCAATAAACCAAACTCAGCCAACAAGGACGGAGACAAGACCACGTCGGGATAAACCGTATCCCACTCCCCGATAAAGTCCGCAGGAAGACGATCGGAACCAGCGGAAGGAGGACGCACCCCCTCTTGTCGATGCTGCTCCGCCACCGCCTCCTCCCTTTCAACACGCTCTAGCTCCTCCACACTATCGATACCACGACGCACCGCGCGCATCATCTTTTCGAACCACATCTTCTTCTGCTTCCGAAGACGCAACACTTTCTCCTCCGCAGCTTGAAGCTCATCTTCTAACTTCTGATGCTGAGTGGCGATATTCCGAAGCTCGGTCGCCCCAACACCAAGAACATCGCAACGAGAGCGACATAGGCGAACGCACTCAGCACAACGAGAGGAATCCGAAAGGGATACTTCACAGGAAGAGTAACCCTTCCCCTCGCAATAAGAACAAGTCGGCATGACAGTAGAATTTTGAAGGATAGCCGAGAGTAAAGAATTCTTGGCGACAGTCTTTTTCGCAGGACGAGCCTCAGGCGAAGATACGGCCTTTCTTTTTTGAAAACGACCTGACATCGTGTCAGTACGTTGTAAACGAACAAACTTGACGAACCCCAACCTGGGTCACGACCACCTACTTATAGGTCTACGGGACTAGACCTTTGAGAGGGAGAGCTGATGTTACGACCCAACATGCATGACCAAGAACAAGGTCTGCCCCGCAGGCTCTGCCCCGCAGGTTCGCGGTGGCTACAGCGCACCATGTATGCAGAGGACAAGGAACACTAGGCACCCTCTCACGGAACGGAAGAACTATGGACAAGTCACGTGATGATAAGAGATAAGAGATAAGGATAAGGATATGTTGGATATGAGTTATCCAAGCTATCCTTGGATAACCAGGATATGAGCTATCCAACATATCCAAACAAGGACACTGTCCAGCACAAAGGACATGTTCAGAATCAGGACTTGTATATAAGGATGGACTTGAGCCGGACTCTAGGACAGACTTCCCATAGCTTCTTCAGCAATTAACTTCGTATCAGGATTAACATCCGCTTTCAGCTACTACCTTGACAAGACTACGATTGATCACCGAAGCCTTACCTTATCTTACGATTGACAGACATAGCTTCCCTGAAGCTATCCCCGACTACGATTACTGTTACCAGTTCCGCAGCCTCAACTTCTGCAAACTACCCCTACGACTAGCTGGCCGTAACACTACACTAACATTTTCTTTTTAATATAGCCCAACACGCATCACCACCACTAAGGCCTACCCCGCAGGACCGTTCCGGAGCCTTACCTACCTTACCTTACGACTTACAAACACGCCTATTACGACCTAATATACATAACAAAGTCAGGGCCCCCCCCCGCGGGCCTGCGGCGGCTATTTACTAAATATATACAGGAAACCCCGGGAACTCGGGAAACTCCTTACGGAACGGAAAAACTATAGATAAGTCACGTAATAATAAAAAGGACCGACGGGCGATAAGCGGTCCCTGAATATAGACCGATATAATAAGGGCGGTCTACCCCTAAAGAACCGATACGGTGATATCGGTCCTAATTATAAAGGATATGTTCAGACAGGATCAGGACATGTATATAGGATGGACTTGAGCCGGGCTCAAGGACAGACTTCCCATAGCTTCTTTAGCAATGAACTTCGTATTAGATCTTATGATCGCTTTTAGCTATCTTTACTAAGAACCCCTCTAATAAGACTACGAGTAATCACCGAAGCCTTCTCTACCTTACGACTTATAGACATAGCCTCTAGGAAGCTATCTAACCACGAAGTATAATAATCTCCGGTTATTACTGTTACGAGCTGGACAAGGCAACCAACTGTGGCACAAAGCAAAAGCTTCGATAATGATGACTCCGGCATCATTGTCCCTTGTTCTGCATTATATAGCTACGCGCCCACAGTGACAAGTTGCGGCGGGCGTAACAATTACATCCGATTATTACATCGATTAGAACTGTTTATTAATATCGTAGCTACTTAAGAGGTATAGGTGTCTTTGCGAAACACTTCTTGCTACCGGCACTCCCAGACTCTCGACTTTGAGATGTTGTCTATAAAGTACTTGAGGCTATGACGGACGTTTCTGCTTTTGAATGTTTCGATAAGGACTAAGCCAGCGACCACTGTCACAAATTTGATGAAGATTGCAGGCTCCGGGGCGGTAAAGAAAAATTTCACTACTTGGTTATTGAAAGGATGGGGGCTATAGTGCCATAAAACAGCCGTTTGAGGGAATTTAACTACATCTGTCATCGAGTACATCTCAGGACTGCGTTTGACTGCCCCTTTTACATAAAACGATGAGTAATTGCGTTTTTCGATTCAACTCCGGAAATCTGCAAAGGCACCGCAGCCTCGTCCTAGTTTTCTAGCCTAAATGTTCTATATTGAAGTCGGTTACTTGGATACATTTAATGCAGAGTAAAGATGATTGACAATGCGTCAAGACCTCTCGCCCTGATTATAATTACCTTTGCGTAGGTCTGGCCTTCTCTCATATCCAAAGGAGCCACAATGATTTCCGCATAAGGTTTGGGACCAGTAACTTCCGCATTCCATGCGTCTTGGGCGACCACAATCGTAGTAAAAACAGGACCCAGGGTTCAAGGAGTTGGTCCAACTGTTTGGCAACGAGAACTCAGTCCCAACATAATAGTGGAAGAAATTGACTTCTTGGGCTAGGGTGCTTCCGGTGAGGTGGTGCACCGCACGCACATAACCTCCCCTATTGTTGGATAGGATCTGGTACCTGAAGACAAAAGACTTGTATGAGTTCTTTGTGCAGTAGCAATATATCTCCTGTCTGGAACGAAGAAAGGGGCAAGGCTTTGTTGACTAACTATGGTTGGCAAACTCTTTGACATTGTACAATCACCCATGTATCCTGAGCATTCTTCTGGACAGCAATCATTCACCGCTTGGTCTCTTGGAAATTTACACTTTCACGTCCAACAGTGACGTTCCTTCCTAACTCAAGAGGTATGGTCGAAGAAACATGAAGTATCCGATGTGGAAGACAACACCCTAGAGGTGGTGGTGTGACTATTCCCCATATTCACTGATACACGTGACGCCGCTGATATACCGGGCCTTTTCTCGCCTCTGCTCTCTCCCTCGCTCTTGCCTACTCTTGGAGGAGTACACAGCTGCCTGAGGTCAAATACGGCGTTTGTTTGCAGCTTGTCCAGAAATTATTCAGAAAACGTGGCCAGGAGAGCAGGGTTGGTATTCCATTCAAAGCGCTCTCACACTACCATTTCTTCCCACCCATCTTCTCCCACACATATCCTCCCTTTCTCATTTCTTTACCCAAACTTGCCTGTTTTCTCCTTCGAAGGAAACGCAGTCCCTGCCCTCAATTTTCTGTTTCTCAAGCACCTACACAACCACCAACATCGAGATAACCGACAAAAGTATTGGAAGACCTTTCACCATGGCGGTCTCGCGCATCGTGTTCCAGGCAATCCTCGCCTTGGGCATCTTTGCCCTAGCTGGTTTTGTCCTGGCCGGTGACCTTTCCATCACCAAGGCTGAGACCTTCCCGACCATCGCCTCCGACGCCGGCCTTTCCGTCCGTGATGACACGATCCCTTCTCACGACTGCGAAGACATTCTCAAGCGCGGCATCACCCCTCAGATTGACTGCTCCTACTCCGAAGAGAACTGTGGCTTTGAGGACGACATTGAGTACATCATCCGCATCAAGCCCATGGGCAAGACCAGCACTTCCTGGTGTGGCATGATGCGGGCGCAGGTTGCTAAGGAGACCAACTCCTACGTCGAACAGATTCGGATGGAGAAGTGTGACCGCACGTACGAGGCCGACGAGAATGGCGGTGGTATGTGGCTTGTCCTCAATCTTCCGCACATCCACTTTCTCGGCGACCGCCGCCAAGACGTCGAGCGAGCCATCAGAAACACCATGTGCCCTGGTAGTCCGAAGCTGGACTATTGGGTCAATGAGCAGTACATCTATCCTTCCCTTTCTTACTTGTCGGTAGTCTACATCATCTCAGCTGCTGACTTAATTTCATCACCAGGTGCTACCGTTCCAGCATCTGCAGCAAGCGCGTCTGGAGTGAGGATAAGCGCCGTAGCGTCCCTGCAGCCTTCAAGCAGGTTTCTCGCCCCAAGGGCCGCGATGTCCCCGACGCCCACCCAGATATCAAAAAGCCTACCACCACTTTCGCCGCTGCCGCTGTTGTCGCCAACCCTTAGCAGAATGGTCCTTCAAAACCAAGCAGATTCCCAAGATTACCACAAGCCATTGCCAAGAGCCTCACTTCGGACTTGCTCCTCGACGACACCCGCACGACTGAGCGAGTACCTTTGGTTTGAATCGCTCAAGAACACCGTTGTGAGACGCAGATATGAGGTTCATAGGCTGCGGTCTCAGTCTACAAGATGTGGTGGAGAGCTTGGGGATGTGCTTGCGAGTGATAAGTTGGAGACTTTGAATTGCTACTGCAGTGCAGTCAGATAGAACAGATTCACCCTTGATTCCGTTATGGTCATCGACTGCATCAACTTAATCTTCGACCAAAACTCATCTTCCAGTGGCATCCCTCACTGAGTGACATAAATCGCACCCGTTTATGCAGAGGGAAACAAGGAATTAATGAGTAAGCAGTCGTCGAGCCAGTCGTCAATGGCCCTCTGCCGTGGCCCCTCTACTGAAGACACGCCTTCAATGTGGTATGCCAAAATATAATACCCTGACGAGGAATCCCCAACCGATGTTGATTGACGAAACCCAGAAGACAATGCCGAATGATCATCTGTGTGTTGAAGCGAGTCTTGTGGCTTGTTCATGCCGTATGCCTCAGCTCTGGTAGCAAAAGCTGAGTGACGCCTGTCCGTGTTCTCGATTACTGGTCTCTTCTTTTTTCTCAATTCTCTTGCCGAAATAGAAGTGATAGTTGGCTGAGGTTCATCGCTACTCGTTTGAAATGGCGGTAGTGATACACCCGAAGCAATCGTCTTGAAAACCCCGTGGTAGAAGCTGGCGTGCCAGTATACCAGACCGAGCCGCTCCAGGAAGCTCATACAAACTTCAAACCCACGTTTCGCTAGCTCTATACTCGTAGGATCTTCACAGAACCGCTGAAGCGCGATCTGAACTACGAGAGGGGGCAAAGTGACAGTGACACTACATGTAATGCGGTAAGCCAGAAGTAACGCATCGACAGACCAATCGTTTCTCGAATTCAGAGACAAACCTTTGCGTGGGACAATAGCGAACAATTTCAAGCTCGATTAGCTTCCTCATAAGGCTTATAGAGTCGGTGGCTAATTTAATGATCTTTGCTGCTGGAAGACGAGACTGACTGACGTGGGTTTCGGCAAGAGCAGTCTGGTTTCGATACAACATCATCATCACAATACTAAGAATGATCGTGTTAGATCTGAGACAAGACTGTATCATTGACACTTACTTGTATGCCAAATGCAACACAACTCTGGAGGTTATAGAAGCTTCGGATTCACCATCGTCATGGTTCTCGAATCGTGTTCGACGGGAAGCAGCGTTTAGGTGTTCCTTCCATTGCTGGAGGGATATTTCACAGAGCTTTACCTGGTCGGCTACAGGCCCCGGTTGGAGGGAAGACAGTAATAATACACCTTCAATGTGGTAGCACAGGTGAGAAAAGTCGACAAAGATGGCTTTGGTCACCCCGTCTTCGTCCGTGTCTCCCTCTTCTCCAACGTCACCTACAGTCAAGAGGGGCACGCTGCAGTCCAAGCTATTGATGTGCATCGGTCGTCCAGTTCCGAGTGTGATGAGTCTATCTCTAATGAGGCATGCCCACCAGATTCTTGCCCAGTGCTTCCGGTCGGATGATGAACTGGCGGAGGCTTGATGAAGGTCAGCTCCTTGGGCGAGGCCAATTGCCTGATGGACCCAGAACCAGGTGTCTTTGTTCGGTCATGGAGGGGTAGTAATGGCTCATTAGTAAGAGAGCTTGGATGGTTGTGATATCGTCTGGCTCGTAGTTGAAATGATGCAAGTACTATGTGCTGTAAGCCCTCCGACTTCAAACTCATTGATTGGTGGTAGTGTCATACGCATGCCTTGGCATGGAAGCAGCTTCTCGCTTCTTGTATGGATTTGAATCCGAGTTTTTGCATACTTTCCATGGGAATCATCTGCACCGTTTGCCTCAGTGAAAACTTCTTGAATAGCAGCCATTCTCTGCGCTAGACAACTAGAGGCTTACTGATATTGCTGTGAAGACAATGACTTGTATGAGGAGCAGGCTCTGGCCCTTTCCTTGTACCGAATCCTCGTACTCGACGTCACCGTATGCTTTCTTGAACTTCGCTTTGTCAACAATAGGAAAGGTTGGTTGGAAGCATTTGAAGTATGTCGAAATACACTCGTCAAGATCTTCTTTTGTTGGGAGGTCCATCGCGCCTTTTCGGACGAGAAAATGCAGGTCTTCGTCAGAAAGCCCACGCTCGCTATCAGCAGAGGCAAAAGACTGGTTACACAGAGCAGAGGACATAAATAAACCTTGCTCTTTGTCCTTTCCGGACAAATCTGGCTGGTCGCTGGACTTGAGGGTCCGGAACAAGTTGAAGTAAGGCACCTGCTGGCGCAAGATATGTTCCGGCTGCGCCGTAGTTCTCTGCCGAACGCCAACGTGAGTGCTGCCGATTGCCTTCTTCCCAAGTCTATTTTTCCTTGCTTTGGTCTCGCACTCGTAGCCCTCTGCACGACACTTTGTGCATGGATGGCCGACTTGTAAAACATCGCAGCGGGTTTTGCGAGCTCGGCAGCCGGTGCAGGCTTTTGAGGCGCGACGCTTTGCGGGAGCCTCAACCATTCTGCAATGCTTTATTTAGTATCTTGCTCGAATATTTCAGTGTGTCTTGTGGTCTTGAGATTTGAGTCCAATTGGGCATGGAAAGTCTGTACGTTGGAGCTGGATGTTGTAGGATGACGGTTGTCAAGAGCCCCCAGTCCAACAACCCCGCATCGGTAACGTATCATCGGGGCAACTATTGGCGGGTGTGGCGGGTGGAGTTTGACGACAATAAAGACTCGGACATGGAGGAATTCTTGAAAACATATCCAACCTGCTTTCTTCGTAAATCTTTTTTTTCTATTTGTTTCTACATGTTGTGTTCCTTCACGCTTTACCTATGCAATCATACGTATAATGGAAGGTGGAAGAACAATTCAATTGACTATGAAACCTCTGTAAGTTAGTGGATAAAACGGAAAAAATTCCTAGACTCTGGGACCGTTTCTGATCTCCATGCCCTGATCACTTCGCCAGAACCTTCCATTTGGATACTCGTAGATGTCCAGTGCTTCTGGCTTGTACTCGGCGCTGTACCCAGCTTCCCATGGCGTCACGAAGTGCCCCCCTTTAGTTTGGACCGGGTTCTTCAACACCTCGGAAAAGGAGTTGATGTGTTCCAATAAGCTCTTCTGTCCCGAAATACAGATGTAGTTCAGCAAAGCAAGGTGTTGAGTGTACTCGTTCAGCTCGATGCCTCCGCTGTGTGGGACGACTGGGTGGTTGAACCTGGTTGTATTGATAAGCAATTGAGCATAGGGAAAACTCTCAAGCAAGGCAGTGAAACACCTACTTCTTCGCCATGAGAAGGACTGCCAAGACCTCATTCACACCTCCTAGTCGACAGGCGTCCACTTGACAATAGTCGATGGCACTGGCTTGCAACAGTTGCTTGAAGATGACGCGGTTTTGGTAATGTTCACCCGTGGCAACACCGATGCCGTAGGGTTTAAGTGACTCCCGTATCGCAGCAGGGCCGAGGATGTCGTCTGGAGAGGTCGGTTCCTCGATAAACCTGAAAATAATGTCAATAAATGTCAGTAATCTTGAGGCAAAGCTAGGTTGTATCAGAACTAGTTTACGCTGGCTTGAAAACGACAAAGTTCTTCATGGTATCGATGGCCTCTGGAACACTCCAGACTTGGTTCGCGTCAATCATAAGCATCCGATCATAGCCGATTTCGTCCCGGGCGATTTGAAGTCTTCGAATATCATCTTCGACGTTGCCTCCAACCTTCAACTTGAACTTATCCATTCCTTCATCGAGATTGGCTCGGATGAGCTCTCTCATTCGGTTATCCGTGAATCCCAACCATCCTGCCTGGGTGGTATAGGCCGGAACAGCAGTGTTGCTCAAGGCGTCCTGTCTCCTAGTGTCCTTTGTCTCATTGACCTTCTCTAGCATTAGAATCGCTTCTTCAGGGGTAATAGCGTCGAGGATGTATCGGAAGTCCACACATCGCACCACCTCCTGAGGCGTCATATCAGAAACAACCTCCCAGACAGGCTTATTCAGATATTTACCCCACAGATCCCACAAGGGATTGACGCAGGCACTAAGCACTAGGTGAACGACTGTCAGAGCCCTCCCGGACAGGGGCTAGTTAGAGGTAGTAAGGAGTCCAAGCCACAAAGGAGTAGCTCAGATATATATATACAGCGCAGGGAGTACACGTCGAGGGAGGAGCAGATTTCAGTAATTCATCATTCTACCCCTAACTGCAGTTGGCCTCTGAGAGCTTCCACCCTGCGTCAACACCCCAACTTGACAACGACGCCCTTCTCGGGACCAATCCAACGCATCTGCGAATCTCCGACGAGATACCGCCATGTCTTGCCCATATTTTCGGTCAACTCTCCAAGCGACTTGCCGGTGAGGCGTTATCCCATTATCCTTGCTGCCGCCGTGCAGAGGTCGTTTCCGCGGCCGATGGTAAAGGATATTCCGTGGCCTACCAGGTCAGTGTTGGTCTTGAGGCGAATGTGTGCTGTGCTGTAGTCTCCGGCTGGGTTCATAGCATCTGAGCCGGAGGCATCGAGGCTTGTGGGAAATCGGAGATCTGGCGAGTTGCAGGCGGTTAGCGGAATGAATTTGAGGTCGTTCAATTGCCGGTAGGGGCTATGGAGACGCTAGTGATACCAAAGTCTCAACGTCAACTATCTTCACATCGTGAATGGGCACATTGCCACCGGTGAAGCTTGATGGCGGGGTACGGTTCATGTTGTGGACGTTGGCTGTCTTGGGAGATGCTTTCCGAGCATGCGCAGGATATAGAGCCGGCTTAACCAAAGGTTCGAATGCAAGCTACTAAAGACTGTTTTCTCGCCCAGTTCAAGAAAAGAAAGAGCGGGAAGCGAAAGTTGGGAGGGTGCGAAGAATAAAGGATAACAGCTCGTCAATATGATTCCCACAGCGGCTCTTTGGTAGTATACTCGAACAGCAGGAGGGCATATGACGTCTCAATAGACCTGGGTCGTGTCCGAATTGCCGCGGATTAGAGTGTCAAAATCCGTGCTTACCCGGCCATGTGTCTCTAGGTTGCCGTGTTGCGGGGCTCAACCTAGACGGAAATCGTTTGAACGGTAGGAGATCCTGTCCTCGCTCAATCCTCCGCACATGGCAAGTCCTCGCGAGCTCTACGTCAACATGAACACTCCCACCGGCCCGTCAAACATTCAATTCCAAGTTCAACATCAAAAAGGTTCTTCTATATCGGGCAGGTCGAACCTACCTCGCCCAGCCTTAGTTTATACCACCCGGTGTATCAAACAATCTCGGTGCGTGACACCTCCGCCTCTCTTACACGAGGCTTATCACGAGTACGAGAATTGGGCTTTTAGCAGAACTGATAACTCAAAGGAGAGAAACATCATATAAACGGCTTGGCAAAAAGAATATACAGTGAATAGAAGATCAATTCCCCAGGAATGCTCACAACCCCCCACCCACTCTAAAAGACGGAAAAAAAGGTTGCTTCCCATCCATCTTCCCTCTACCCGTTATGTTGACGCAAATGTGACCCAGCCTTGTGAGAGAGAAAGAAAACTCTCAATCATTGCCAGCAGATTCCAGCCCGGTCGGGAGAAGAGAGTAAAGTAAAATCTTGCCTTTGACAAGAAGCCACCAAAACAATCACGAGGAATCAAGTCAAAAGACTCTACATCCTCATAGCCTTCTTCGACTTGCTTCCCCCCGTAGAAAACGGCGCCAAAGGCGGCACGCTCTCCTTGGCCTTCTGCCTCGTCGTCAGGTCACCACCCCTCTTTTCCCCTTTACTCTTTGTCGAAAACGGCGCCAGCGGCGGGACCTCCTCCTCCCCCTTCTTCTTGCGCGCCTCAATCAGCGCCTCACGCTTCCTCGCGTCGGTGCCGAACGGGTTCAGGGGCGGAGGCGGGTCGTTCTTGCCGGGATTCTTGTCGGCGCGTCGGGCAACGGCGGCCATGGCTTCCTCGTGCGCGAGGCCGGAGTGGAAGCGGATGGGGGAACGCCTAAATTGCGGGACGAGAGGTTTTCCGGCGTCTTCGCGCTTGATGAAGCTTACGACGCCGCCGATTGCGTCTGAGGCGCGGGCTTGGAGGCTGGCGATGGGGCTGGTTTAGTTGTTAGTTAGGAGGTTATGTCGAAGAGTTGTGGAGAGACTTACCCAGACTCAACGGGCACGGCACCAACACCAGCAACCGCGGCGGCGACGACGGCAACAGCAGAGAGCTTCATCTTTTATAATTCCAACGCTTCGTATCTTCGTGTTCGTAGTGTAAACCTTGTAAGACTCGTTCCTGCTGTAGTGAAATACTTGTTCAAGCCGGCAATGACGTTCAGTTGTATGTGTGTATAGTGTCAAAGGAAATGATCCACGCTTGGTCGATTCGATAGTTGGATACTGAGAAGTAAAAGTTGTAGTTGTCAAGTAAAAGTGATCGTCCGAATTCAGACGCAGCAACCAAGAGAAGAGGTGTGCGGAAGAAAGACCGGACGTCCACGACTCTTTTATCTATCTCTTCTCAACCACGCGTCCAGTCCCAGACCACCACCTCCTTTCCCCATATTCCTCCCTCTCCTCCACAGGAGACATCCAGACATCCCGGGCTATTGCGTGAGCTGACAGACAGCTTACAATACACCCCTGTCCAGCAACTCCGGCCACTCGGCAGCCCCACGGCCTTGCCTCGCATCGCAACGTGGCGCGCCCGCTCGTTGCCCCCCCCCCCCTTGGTCTGGTATCACATTTCCATCTCGCCCTACCCACCTCATATTCTACCGCGGCGGAAGATCGTATAAGAAAGAGTCCGGGGATGATGGCTGTACGTCTTGTACGCAATAAGCAGCGTACATCTAACTTCCACAAGCGCGTTTCCACAGTTTCAGCCCGCGACAATCCACACGAACCACGGGCCAACTTCCGGTACAGACGGCGGGACTTGCTCTCGGGTTTTCTCTTCTTTCACTTCAAGGTCTCTATCTACAGGATGTCTGCTCAGTGTGTTGAAGGCTCCGCCAGTCCATTCGGTTTCCCCCATCCCACCGGTTTGACTTCTGACCGACCGCCTTGAACTTGGGCAGACTTTTTCATTTCGAGTTATTCTCCGCAACTCTGCCCAATACCACGCGCTCGAATACTGGCCTCCATTTTCAGCTGATGTCGTCTCGTCTCGTCTCATCTTTTCCTGTCTTTCCAGCCCAATCAACTCACCTTCCTACAACAAGGTCAAGCTGTTCAATTCCACTCGACATCACCCGACCATCCGGTCATCCCGACTAAAGATTCGACGACTTTTAGCTGCTGCCCGACTCGCGACGTGTTATCCAGAATCACTCACCATGCGGTTGACGCAAAACAGCACACAGCCACCTACACTCTAAACCTGATTCAGGTTTCCTCCCTTTTGTTCCCTCCACGACTCGCAAAGCAGTGAGTTGCCATTCTTGGCAAAGGCTATTCCATATTCTTCACGCATGGTCTTTGCTTTATCTAAAAACAGCAACATGGAAAATCGGTACCACAGAACTGCCTCCATCTCTCAGACCCTCACTCGTCCGACCACTTCATCTGAAGCGATGCCGTAATCCGGTGCCCCCGAGCCTTGCGCTGATTACTTGAGTGCTTAGCAACTTCTAATTCTTCCCATCTCTTCTTTCATCCGCCAATTTCCCCACTAGCCTTCTCTGATGACCCCTCATCTTGTCCGAGTTAAACGAAGACATCGGGCTGTTTCGTCAAACGGTTAAACTCTGCCCTCGATTGATGAACGGTGTGACACAAAACCAAAATTTAAACCTCAACTCTCTAATGTGACAATCGACGGCATCGAGATCCGTTGCTCTCAACGCCTGCGGAACTAAAGCTCAGTCCGAACTCCCGTATCCGAGCGCGCGCACATCCATCCCATGAAGCCAAGAAAGTAAGAAAGCCGAAAAACCTCACCAAACCGAGTCGTGTTGTGACAAGATAAACCAGCGTGTCTGTTCCTCAACTCTCGCTGCGCCTACTTTCCACCTTGAACGGAGAGAAAAGACCTTGGGCCTCAGACGAAGACACCCCTGCCCAACCTTTCGTTCCAGAATATTCGCGAATCCGACTTGACGTGCCCAGCCAAACCCCCAAGAACCCCCAAGAACTCCCTTCAACCAGCAATGTCCCCGGTCTCAACGGTCTATAATCATGCAAACTCACGAAGGCTTAGCTTAAGCCCAAAGTCCATGTTCGACCCTCAACTAAAACCGGGCTCGGCACCAACAGGCCGGCCATACCCAAAAAAAAGTCCCCGCGTAAAGCCAGCCACACCATCCAACACCCCGGATCCCTGTCCCCGCCTCTCGATGCATTAGCGCACGTCAGCCGTCGATCATCAGCCTGGCTCCCCCTCGGCAGATCCAGCATGAACGGCGTCCCCAATTTGGGTTCCTTGGTGTCGTTGCACATCTTTCATTTAGACAACCTCTCCCCTTCTCGCATGACAACTGCCTCACCATCTTCACACACCGAGTCCACCAAGTCAGACCGAATCACATCGTGAGAATCATGAGGGTTTGGTAGCGTTGCGGACAAGTCTATTCTTCGTTCCTCATGAGCGATATACCGCCAGAGTGAGCCTACCAAGCGCCAAGCAATGCGACGACGATCCACAGGGCCCAGAGACGAAAAGGATACTACGTACAAGAAGGAAAATGTTTGGCTGGTGTATATAGAGAAGCTTCGCCCCCAGTCCCTGGCCCAACGTTGCATTCCGAGGCCTCACGCATAGCGGACCTCGTTGAAGAGCGCCGCACGCACCTGGATCAGGGCTGCGAGCTCAAACAGGAATGATTGTAGCACAATGACATTGGTGATGACATGCGACACCGTAGCCTTCTTCTCCTCCTTGTCCGTGTCTCTCTTTGGTGTACTTGCTTCGGCAGTCTCACCGCTAGGTGTCTCCGGCACGGCATCATGTTCTGGCTCCTCGTCGTCTCCGCCAACCTCTTGCTGTTCGTCTCCGGCCTCGTCATCGTCTTTCGGAGGCGGCATGTGTAAAGTGGGCTTCTTCTTTCCGAGATCCAGTGGAATGGGCTCAACCTTGCCGGGGAGACCGACTTTCCGCGCAAGAATGCTCTGATCTATAGCTGCAAATGCCGCGGCCTGGCTGGCCACTGGGTCTCTAGGAGTGTGCGACGAACCGGGCTCATCTGTCGCACTTCGGCCAGAGTTATCGTAGCTACCAGGCGTATCTTTGGGCGGGGGAACAGGCCGAGACGTCGGCGTGGAGAATCCATACCCACCCGACATAACACCAGGTGCCGGGCTACCCGTTCCGGAACTTCGGCTGTTCTTCCTGCCCCGCGGGCTTCCAGTACGGCTGGGCGTGCTCAACTCCGACACCAAGCGCTGGGCAAACCGTTCGAGACCCGATGGTCGCGCTGGTGATCCACTACGGGTTGCGTCGTCTAGACTGGAACGTTCCGGGGTGTGCGTTGAACTATGCCTCTGCGGTGTTGGCTTGCGGGGTGGCAATAGCGGACCAGGCGGGCGCGGCTGGTCTGCAGTCTGGAACGCCTCTCTTCTTCCTTGCAGTAGATCCTCAAAGCGGGGCACAGTCTCGCGATACTTGGTGATCTGGTTGCACAATTGCTGTAGGACGACTAGTATGCGAGGTAGAGATGACTGTACCCATACTGGACGACGACGGCAGGCGTCCAACGACTCAAGGGTCTGCTGTTCCTCTGACGTCGTAGAATCAGGGTCTGTCGGGGGCCTAAACGAAGTGGTCGATGCGTCGGGTGAGGTAGGACTGGGTGGCTGCTCTTCGTAGGTGTACTTTTGAGGGCTCCGCAGCATCCATCCTTCGGGCGCCGTGTAGCCACAAATGGCCAGGTCCAAGATGGTCTCGGTGAGCGAGAGATTTGTGTCGACGGGGTTCACAAAGAACGTCTCAAGGAGATCCAAGACCGAGTTGAGCAGCGGGTCGTCCGGGCGAAGCGTGTGCTCGTGCACGTCGCGTGGCGCCCCAGGCAGTGTATCAGGAACAGCGGGCAAGTCATGGTTGTTGGTGGATATCTTGGGTGCGACGAGCTTGAGGGAGCAGGGATGACTCTCCAACCGGGACATGGTATCCTTCAGGACGTTGTCATAGATTTCGTCAAAGTTGTCCTGCCCTCCAATGGACCCAGCCAAACTCATCAAATAGTCCACCTCCTGCTCATGGGCACCGACAGTCCGGTGCGTTTTTGCTCCCAACACCGCTTCAGTGCGGAGAAGGGTGCTGATGGCATACCGGTGATGTCTCCGCAGAATAGCCGAGATCAGCTGGAGAGTCACACGAATGGTCTGCTGGTTGTGTGAGCGTAGACACGCTTGAGCAAGATCAACCAGATTGAAAAGCAAGGGAGTGGCCGTGATGTCGGATTTGGTTTGTGCGAGCATAGTCGCGAGGTCCATTGACTTGCGCTTGCGGGCAGCGCTGATGGAGGCTCGGGAACCTGACATGTCTTCGGTAACATGGTCAGGCAAGCCGAGCAGATAATGAAGGATAAGGTTGATCATGTCGGGGTGGTCGAGAGATTCAAGGATCCGGCGGAGGTACGTCAGGACAGCTACGGATGAGCCTCCGTCTATATCGGACGACTCTAGTAAAGAGGGGTATCTGAAAAATCAGTATGAGATGGTTGCCGCAAATCTCCAAGTGGGTTGTCTTACAAGAGTTGCTGGAGGAAAATGACCTGGAAATGCTCCAGAAGCGTCTGCTTCACCTCGACTGACTTGCAGTGATCCAGTACATCCTGCCAGAAGAGGAGATGAGAGAGGAAGGTCTCGAGGTGTAGTTGAAAGTCACCAGAGCATGAGCTGATGATCTCAAAGGTGGAGGTCGGATGTTGGTAGTCGGAGAGAGCGAGAATGGGAGGCAGATCGTTGGTAGGATAGTCAATTACCAACTTGCGACTCAGCTGACTGTAGAGCGCACCCAGGCCGGTGGCCATGAGAGTGGAGAGGTCGCTTTCGACAATCCATTGCTCGAGGGACTCGTCACTCGATGCAGACTCGATGATGTACAGCAGACCTGTCCTGGCAAAATCCCCAACCTTGCCCTCGTGATGAATGTAGTCCATCAAAATGTAGAATAACGGGAAGTCCTGTCTCTGCGTTCGACCAGCAAATGCATCATGCCCGTCATGGGGCTTGTCCTTGGGATTCCCATCGTGATGGCTCTTGAACCAGGCATGCAGTATGTCCCGGTTGAGGCGGATCTTGGTGGTGATGTTAAAAGCCAGCTCGACGACCTTGGCCTCAGTATCGGAGCCTAACCGCACACTGTTGACGCCAGTGATGCGCACCAAAAGGTTCGTCAAGCTGGCGGAGAAGGTTGTGTTTTCGACAAATGCCTCCTCTTCCGTCTCGAGCAGGGTTGCGAAGAAGAGCACGGCTTCTTTGATGATCCACTCATTGTAGGAGGTGGTGGCTATCTTGCCAATGGGTACGTAGACTTGTTTCTTGGCGGCATACTGGATGCACGGGTGAGGGAGAGGTCGTCGGGACTCGTCGTTGAGGATGTTGGTAAGTTCTTGCAGGCGGATTTCGAGGTTCTCGGCGGCATCGACATCGTTGGCGAGGTTGGAAGAAGATCTCCAGATTTGCTGTCACGTGTTAAGACCAGGGCCTCGCCGGCGGCGCAGGGGAAGCTTCTCACGAGGATCCGGTTGTACTCCTTGTCGAAGCGATGCAGACGTTTCGTAGGGTTCTTTGCTTCTTCTTTGCGATGGGCCGCTGGGGATAGCGAAGTGCCGGCTAAGAGGCGCGACCACTAGAGGGAGAGACAGAACTTGGTTAGGAATAGAGTTTCTTGGTGCCCAAGCCCAAGGGGGAAAGGGAGGGGAGTATCTGGGGTAGCTCACAAAGTCCATGGTGTTGTCCCTGAAGGCATCTCCAGCAGGGCGGAAGAAGGGATTATTCGCGCATCAAGCTCGGTGAGGGAAGGTCGACTGGTAAGAGGGGCAGCAGTAAAGAGGAGGCGATTGACGGCGGTGGCCAAGGCGAGACCAGGTGGTTTAGGGGAGGACTGGCGAGAAATGGAGACGGAGCTTCGGTGCATAAACTGTCAAGTGTCAGGCGTCGCGAAATGTCATTCCGAGACTTGACCGCGTCCGCTGCCTGCCCGTTGGTGTGAGATCGGTACGTATCCTCTCATGCAGCTTGCCCACGTTGTACAACCCGGCCCGACGCACGGCCTTCAGGGACTCCGATGAGGAATGTGGCGGTGCGGCGGGTGATCTTATCTAATCTGAGACTGTGGCAGATGGCGGGTGGCTGGTACCTTAGCCTGTGGACGAGGCAAGCACTTGAACGATAATACCTATGGATACATATGATGCTCCTTCCTCATCCTGCCAATTTGTAACAACAGCCATGCTTCAAGACATCCTCGCTTGTTCTTCCATCAACATGATGTTAGAAGTTTGTGGATGTTGGAAAGACTATGCCGGTTTGCAGGCTAAGGAACTATCGACGCACCCTCTCAATATCTCCACATCAATTGACTAAACCTTGTGCATGTTGCATTGTTTGAGCTCCAATCCCAACTCCTCCAGTCTTCTCAAGTAGGTCCGTAAGTATTATTTAGCTCACTGACTGCGTGTTTTAGGACATTCCCAGCACGCAAAGGTACAATTCGACTACACAGCCATCCCAAAGTAGGTACTTCTCTAATTTTCCAATTTCCAACCACATCTGTTGACCCCCCCCCCCTTCGGATCCTGACATGTGATTGCACAATTCAGCGTACAGGTATTCTTAGCAGGCCTTGCAGGAGTTGAATTTCCTCCTTTGTTCTAGGATCAAAAGATCACTGTGCCAGTATGCCTTAGCCCCTAAGTCACGGGTGAGACCAAAAGGTTATGGCCAGCAGTGGCGGCGTCACAGGAAGTCTATCTCTTCTGCAAACTTCGAGTAAAGAATTTACCGTCGAAAGTGCCCGCAGATATCATATCAAACGATAGAGAGCGGCATGTATGTAATTGGTGTATCTCAAAACGGGCACGACATCAGATCACGGTAATAGTTGCTGCTTTTACAACATGTCTTAGGTATTACCTTTACAAGAGGTCACTCCCACGTTTGTCATCGTCATCGTCGTCACCTTCTATTCCGTAAAGGAAACATGCCTAGCAAACACTTGAAACGTATGGATTGTTCAAATACTGAAGTCCTGTTCATTTCCTTTTTGTTTTACAATTTTTCTATCGAGTATCTGAACACTGCTCTTTGTCTGGTAATATTCTTCGTTGTGTTCACCGCCATATGACAATGCCAAGCGAGTGGGGCTGCGATCTCAACAAGCAACGTCGGTACATGGTCATATATCAAACTTTTGCCTGTGGCGGCGGACCCTTAGGTTACTCAACGCGCCGCCGCTGACTAGGGCCCAGAACCAGATGGCGCTTAGTACTTTGCCGTTGGTGGCTGGGCCTGCCACATTGGAATCAAACCACAAGCGAACAGTCTGACAACAAAGACTAAAATAATGTGATCAAGGAAAAGAGGAAAGCAGCGGGTGCATGACCACGGTAGAAACAGGGTGAACACTACCTAGGTTAAAGCCGCTGCAGAGGAGGTAAGCCTTTTGCCAATTGCAAGCATCTCTGGGACAAAGACGTCACTGAATATACCATAGTTCTATTGCTTTATCAAGCTTTCTTAGGATATTGGATGAAATTTACGGTAGGTATGTGAGGATATTTAGACTCTATTTCATCTCGCATTCCGTTCGCTCTCTATCACAATCGATTCAGCCTGGTCACTTCATGCATATCGACAAGATCTTCACAGATCAAGGGCCTTGAACCCCACACAAATTCACAAAGTCAATAATTTGATATCTGCGGCACACAGCTGGTTCGAAACCGTTCCTCGACAACAAATCCAGTCGCATCTCAAAATGTTCACTGATCAGAGAAGCACGGAGGAAGAGAACATCAAAAGGACGAAGGATATCTTTAAATCTTCCAGTCTTGTCCGGCGTGACAGACTTTTAGGACACCTTCCAGAACAAAAGAAAAAGCAAAATGAGGAAACTCCGAACGAACAGACTCCGAATGAAAAGACTCCGAATGAAAAGACTCCGAATGAAAAGACTCCGAATGAAAAGACTCCGAATGAAAAGACTCCGAACGAAAAGGTAAAAGAGAAGCTAGACAGATGTCTAAACATTCATCTAGATTTTATCTCGTTCAAAGATATTCCATGCTTTTATTCAACTGCCGGTAAACCATTCCCAACTGGCTGGAAGAAGACATTCCGGACTTTTGCGAATGGTCATCCCAACAATCCCGACGATGATCTTCAAAGCGCTATGCGAGATGCCCTCCATACGCTCCGTATTGATGGAGGAAACTTGCGACAATTGATCACAATCTTGGGACAGATCGTGGGGCATGAGTGGGAATCGTTTCCCAAGCGGATATATATCGACTTTTCTGAAATTCAACCTACGGCCGAGGGGAGAATCTGGAAGAATGAAATCGATTTTATCAAAGACCTCTCCACTCAGAGAAATATTCCGTTCGACCCAGAGAGTTTCCAATTTGTGAACGATACCCTCAACTACGAGAATGACGACGATCCAGCCGCAACTAAAAGGCTTCGCGCAATCATCACCCTTCTCTTCTCCGTCGAGATCTTTCCAAATCTTGAAGAGGTTGCGATTGACAAGCGAATTCTTGCTTTCTTCAAAGATTCTCCCGCCGAGTCGCTTGCTACTCCGTCTCTGGCAATTAGAGGCTTGGACAAGTCCATCTCTATTCCGTGGAGCACCGTCCACAAGCTATCTAATAACATGCCAACAAAGCATCTGTTACTTGAGGGCTGTTTTAATGACCTTCCCGCCCAAGAAGGCCAAGGTATTAAGCATTGTTCAGACATTACCCTCAACAAGATAAACCTGGGTGGTATCTCGCTTACGCACCTCATCGATATACCCTTTGCCAATCTCTCGGCGTTAAGATATATTGGCGAGGATGCTCCACCTCAGGATTCACATTGGACAGATCCATTGCAGTGGAACTTCACTGGGATCTTAAATCACCAAGGACGTAATTTGCAAACGTTGTGTCTTGGCTTGGCTGGAGCCACAAACGGATACAGAGGGGGCCCCGTCCCCTTCTCGAAGCATGAGCTCACGAGTTTGACACATTTGTGGATTGATACTGGCAAATTTAATAAAAGATGGGAGCTGGTCGATGTAATAGAGTTTCTGTTTTCATTCGAACCTACCTGTCCGCCAAATTTGACTGATATTCGCATTACCGGCCGCGATGACGCTGTTATAGAATGGATCCAAGTGTTGCTCGGCTATGGGAACCAGGAGAGCGTTGTCGAGAAGTCAGTGCTGAAGAGTCTCAAGAACTTTGGCATCAGGAACAAAGACTTGGTGGAAAAATACCAGCAGCGTCTGAAAGAACTTTCATGTAAAATCGAGCTCTATCATATCGACGTTGACGAGGACATCAAGCTCTGGAGAATCCCAACGGCTAATCGCGGCAAACTTGGATACGTCCTAGAGTAACTCACTCTGAGTCTGGGAGTGTATTTACGAAACGCTACTACTTCATCATCCTTTCACTCTCGGAAAGGCAGACTCCTTCATAAAATACACAACATATCTTCCGCGTTTTCTTGTCACGTTCTGTCATGAGGTCCGAGCACTTAGTTGGCATCAGTTTTGAGGCGACATGAAAGGGCGGCATGGGGGTTTGAGCAGTGGCCCCATCACAACAGTCCTTATAGACAGCGTGCGCATTCTTAAGACTATAGCTTCAGTAGTATGCGTTCACAGAGCCTTCCAGTTTCACCTCAAGGACCCTAGTAGTTACCAATACAAATTATCAGACCCGCCACTTGAGCAGTCCCATAGAATTGTTCATGGTTCTAGCATTGAAGATGGGGAAAGCACGAGCGTACTCCGACTGTTCTCCGTTGTTTACAAGGTGTTCTTTCTTATTTTAAAGCTGTCTACGACTTAGCCTTGCGTGTATTATCTTGTATCCTGATCTCGGAACTCCCTGCTACACCAGCCTCCTGTGACCCTAGCCGTTCGTAGCTCAACCTTCTTGCCTACTCGCCCACATTCTTTCTGATATGCTCAACGGACCCCTGCCTCACGGGTGAAGTCCCAAAGATTGAGGGAATCATTCGAAAGCTAATCTCATCAGGATTGAAGCTGAAGGATCTGGAAACAATCGGCATCTCGGATCCGGCCGTGGAGTGAAAGTTCCATGATCTTTTCGATGACTCCAGTATGAAACTCAAACTTTTGCTGGTCGAACGTATAACACCTCATCTCCTAGCAGCCCGATCAGGCCATGGAGACTTCGAACAATACCACCAACGCTTTAATCATACAGAAGCACTACTTACCTGCTCCTGCAGGGAGGCAAAGGAGGTAGACCATCTAGTCTACTGCCAAAAGACCCTAGTGAGGAGGCATCAGTGGCCTACCCTCCACCCTTGTAGCCCACTTGAGCCTATAGGACCTATAGGATCTCTAGAGCGGTACTATAAGGGGTTAATCACTGATCCTATAGGCTTTCAGGCCTTCCTCTGCGTAACAGACTTCTTCCAAAAGATCTGTCCGTGGTATTAAGGGCTAGGTTTTGACCTAGGCCTTACGAACGAACCTACCCTCTTAGAGGGGTAGATAGCAACAACGGAACTAGGGAACCAGCGGGAACTAGGAACGGATGGAACACATAGCAGCCCACGGGCGAGACTTGGAGGATTATAGGAAGAGGCGTGTACTGTAGAGTATATAGCTTGAGCCTGCGGCCCTCCACGCCATATACCCCGCGGGAGGTCGGCGGCAAGGGCGGCTGCGCCCTTGCCGCCACGGCGCTAAATACAACAACAACAACAACAACAACAACGTATAACACCTATGATAGAATGGAATATGAATGTGGACTAACTCCTTGTATTAACTCATACCATGCCCTTGTCTTTTCTTGTACTCCTTAGCTAGGTTTAGGTTTCTGATCTTTTAGATATAGAAAATATACCTCAGTCTTCACGTTGATAGATTTCTCATCCCTCATAAAGCTGTAGCAGCACTGGTGTGACCACATTTCTTCATCACGCAGAGGATTGCCTTAGGGGCGGCAATCAATTATTCAAAGTGATGCTTCCAATCTCATTGTTATGTGCTCTTTATAAGTCCCAGCGAGAACCGGTCACCCGAGTATCACACGTGCTACTGAGATTTTGAAAGACATAGAAGACTACATGACTTTTCATGTTTTGTGTGGTTACACAGCGCCGTTTGGACTCTGTTGAATGAATCACGCGTCTTCAGAGTCAAAGCCTTGCAGAACAGCGCTGCAGGATTTATCAAAGAGCAAGTGAAAAGGAGAGCAAGGAATATCCTAAGTCTTCAATTGAATTACAAATCTTATGGGCGGCTTGGCAGTCTACCTATGAGGGGAGGTGCATCATGATGTTCTCCATCTTTGTCTAGAATGGGCCGGGCCACGAGGCCAGCCTTCGCCAAACGATCAAATCCCTGTCTTAACCTTCGCTCGCATATCATATCCATCTCTTATTATTCAAGGATGGGGTATATATATGTCATCCAAACATTCTCTCTTCCTCCAACCTATGTCGTCCACCCAGCGCGCTTTCGGGCATCCAACACGTCTTCTCGGCCCCGCTCCAAGCTTTCGACTCTGAGCGAGCCTTCCAGCGTTATTCTACCCAGACACCTAAGACTGCTGCTGCTCGGTTTGTCGCCAACTTACCTGTTATCAAAAACCCCAAATTTTCTTCACGATGTCATCGTACTACGAAAACCTTTTGGATCTGATCAGCTCAGCTGCAGTTCCTGTTGGAACAGCAAAGGCTGATAAGGAGTAATAGGCAGGTACCATGGGCTGGCTGGCACCTGCCCTGGGCGAAGTGGGACAACTGGCTTAGTCATCACGGCCGGATAAAGGTAGGGCAACCACCCAGGCCGTCACTACCTACTTCGACCGACTCCTGCCTACAATGTAAGATAGAACAACAAGAAGAACAAGCAATAGGATCACCAACAGACGAGTGATAATTGCTACCACTATTTGTCGTATACGACCCCGTGAACCAACAGTTCCCAACCGCGAAAAAGAACATCTAGACATCTTCGGGCCCTGCATGAGAGCACCTTCGAAGTTTCCTGATTGGACAAAAGAAACCGAAAGGATCGTCAGCCAGGGCAGCCTTGCACAGCCAGCTGGGTTGGATTACTTCCGAGCCATCTCCGTTAACGGCGGATCAACGGCGGAAGCTTGAGTGATCTACTCGGTCTTTTGAATTGGTTCTCGTCCAACCCGCCTTTTGCCGATGCCGTCATACAACTGTACGTCAGATTTGACGAATTCATTGAAGTTATTTTTGAGGAAGAGGCTCTCCGGATTGAACATTACATCCCCCAGGTAGAGATTGTTGACGGACAATTTGAAAGAGCAACACAGTAGATGTCCTGCGGAGAGTCTCCTCAGGTTCAGGGCGAATCAGTTTGGCCATTGGTCTTTTATTATCAACGTTGAAGAATCTCAGACAAGTTGGTTTCGACAAGAGACTTTTCTTCGAGGTCATGGATGGTCCCGCCGCTCAACCCCTCCCTTTTGTGCAAGCCCCCTCTCTCACTCTGTTTGAGGATCCCGACTCCCCCGTATCGCTTTCATGGCAGACAGATCTCAGTCTGTGCCAGCTACCAGTAACGCACTTGTTCGTCCACGGAAAAATCAACCTTGCCGCCCATGGAACAAGAATCGCACCCAAAGGCCTGGAGGAAGTCACAGATGTTACTTTCGACGAGGTGCTCATAGAAAAAAATGGCATTCAGATTCCCTCGGCACCAAAGATCAAGGCCTTCAGGTATCTGAGCTCGCAGAGACTTGAGGGCTCTTCTTCCGTTCATCAACTTAAAACTATCTACGACTTTTTGGCCCTTGCAAAAGCGAAATCTCTCAGAACATTGTGTTTGAGCTTTCCCAACATGCCGGATTCCCAGGCGAAAGACGAGCTTTCGAGTATGATAGAAGGGTTGAAAAGCTTAGAGCTTCTATAGATGGATCTAAAATCAGGCCCATTGGACTTACCAGATAGGCGTACCGCTCGTCAAAACGATTTCTTGGCTTCCATTGAATCGGAAGAATTCATCACGAGATTACCAAAAACCTTAGCATCTCTTTCCTTAACAGGCGACTTCTCTCACATCGTGTCTACCGTCGATCTCGCCCACAAAAGTCTTAAAGGACTTAGGCAGGTGGGCGTTTCTGACCCCAAAACCTATGTTGCGCTCAAGAAGAAATATCACAAGCGTATCGAGATCGTTTTACATCCTTTGGACGACGAGCCGGAGCAAACGCGTGCTTGGAATTCAATGAAAGTTTGTGACTTGAACAACTAAGCTTGGGACCTGGACAATCTTGATTGCGTGTCATTGGTCTCTATTCCTTCACTACACCCCTTTTTGTTTTATTTTTATTTTTCTCTCCCTCCGCCCCCTCATGTCATTGTTGGTGCAAGGGTTGGTCCATCTACGCCCCTCTCTCTCTCAAGAGTTATAAAAAACAGACAGTATTTCGCATACAAGGATTAACACAGAATTCATTGCAGCATCTACTACCTAGTCGTTCGTTATTTTGCCTTCCAGTTCCCCGCTTGTGTCTGTCCCTACCCATTTTCAACGAGTCTCTCGTTCCTTCGTTTTCCTTTCCATCCTGATTCGTTCTTAGCTTTCAAGCCATCGACGTTTTTTCCTATACTGGAAGGCGGTGTGCAGTCATAAAGGGTGGATACCCAACAGAGAACCAATAGTGGGGGTGGGGGGTTGGAGTTGACCTATGAGGCTATTCCTGTCACGACCCAATTCCACCTCAAGACTTCAAGCAGAAATTAACCAGCACAATTGCCATGTCAACCACTTGCTCACAGCCACCACGTTACTACGGCGCCGTGAGTACCAACGAAATCACCCTTCGTCCTTCCTCTCTGCCACAAATCTTCGTCTTTCTTTCTCATATGTCTTTCTACCTCTTAGCTGTGCGACCCTATCAATTTTCCTCAGGAAACCTCTGCTCTGCCAGCCTTCTTTGACTCCAACGGGCTGTAACCTAAATTTTCCGTCAACACCACCAGTTCTGGAGCGCCAACGCTGAAAAAACGACGACACCGCAATGGCTGTCCTCGATGAACTGCCTCCTGAAATCATCAGGATGGTTTGCGCGTTCCTCCATCCTCCCGATGTGCCGCTGAACACCGTTGTCGCCGATACAGGTCACCTACGGGAAGAAGTTCTGCTCGGAGGATGGCAAGACGTCTTCTAACTGTCACGTACTTGCCGCAAATATCATAAGATCATCGGTCACTCAGCCTACCACACCATTAGCGTCCCCCAGCTTGGCATACGTCCCCTTCTGAGTCTGCTCCGTCTCATCATCAATAAGCCTGCAATTGGCGCCGCTGTAAAGCGTCTCAATCTGGAGATGTCGGATCGGTATAGGCTTAAGGAAGATGAAGATGAAGATGAACTTTCCCCCTTCACGTCATTCGATATTCTTTTTATACAGCAGGCTTCCGTTTCCGCAGGCGTTACCCCCAGCACCATCTCTGGAAAGTGCAGGCTCTCCTTGACGATGGTTTCGATTAATACGATGAAGTTCAAGCTCAAAGGCACAAATTCCTCGCTGTCCTTCTGCTTCACAACATGAAGAATCTTGAGGAACTTGCTTGCAACAGTACTTTAGAAGGAGGATGGATGATTGGCACGGATGTTGGCGCCGCCTTCAACTGCCCGCCGATTCCTGGAATAACTTCATTGGCCATGAGGTCCGTTAGTGACGACTTCACTACGGGCGGTGTCCCTTTTGTGGAGCTTTTGCCTTCCATCCAGCGCCTTTCCCTGATCGGGACCTGGCCATTCTGTCTCGACATCACGCCTGCAGGCCTACCCGAGAACTGCCTCCGTAACGTGACAGACGTCACGTTCAACGGCTTCATCAAACCGAGAGATGTAGCAGACTTTGTTGGAAGATTCTCCAAGCAGCTTTCGGCATTCAGGTACATCTACAAGGACAAATGGTCAGACGAAGTCGCCCATGAATATGAACCAGCATGGCCAAGCGACATTGTTAACGCTTTACTTCCACACCACGCATGTTCATTGCGAACACTTTGTTTCGACTATACAGATTACTTGAGAGCCTGCATGTGGCGTTCTAGATTCGGCCGGCGTCGAATAACTCTTCCATCTCTTGCGGGGCTAGGCGCTTTGGAGAATTTATGGATGGAACCTTTCCCTGAAGACATTGATCTTGGAGGTGCCCAGCCCAAACACGGGCGCTGGCCGCTTGAGGCACATGCCTCTGCAATGATGTTGAAGAAGCTGCTGCCCCAGTCTATGAAGCGGATTTGCTCTGCAGGTAGATGTAGTGTTAAACACGACGTAAAAGTTCTCGTCTGGTTTGCAACCAACGCTGGTTCTCTGCCCAGTCTCAGTCAGATCGACCTCACAGATAAGGCTATAGTGGATAAACTTGGTGGACTGTTCACGGAAGAGGGAGTCAATCTAACACACCAATACAGGCCGCATTGTGCTTCTTGGGACGTCAAATAACAATGTTCGAGTTATCGCGAGGGCGATGGCCACGCATGGCACAAGGAGAGGACCACTGAAACAAAGACTATCAAAGTAGGCATATTCGGCTCAAACTTAAGTACCCGGACAACTGACCACGATCACAAATTCGGTGACTTCCGCGTCATGGATAAATCTGGAGCGTCTGTCACTGTGAAAAAGTCTGGTCTATTTAGTACATGTAGCTTTCTGTTTTTTTCATCGTGGATGTTGGCCGAAAGAAAAGACACCTGGAGTTGAGATCGCCATGTCTGCCTGAAAAAGCCATATCAGTACACGCTAGTTACCCAAAAAGACTCAGTTTAGCATTAACACGAAGAAAATGAAATTTGACATGAATCCAGTGAGCAATGGTCGCAAGGCCCTTTGTTGAAGTTTCGATTAAAGTTGATAATGATCAAAGTCAGTGATGAGAATAGCATAACTATAGATAAGAGATTGTTGGGCCCTTAGACAGTTACCTTCCCTGCCCGGTGTTCCTGCTGACCCCACACGCCGCTCGGTGCACAGCCCAAAGAGATTAGATTTGTACGTCAACCTCCATATGCTGCGCCGTAGTCCTTGACGATCTCCTGGCAGTAGGAATCGAACTGGACGTTCCACTCTTGAATGCGTTGGCCTTTGGTTCCCTCTCCTACTTCACCAAGGTCGATATCCAACTCCCATTGCTTGTCATTTTGGTCTTCAAAATTAGACCACCGCAGGCTGTTTTGCGCAAGGGCACCCTATTATAAAGTGTTAGCAATGGAAAACCATTAGAGCCAGTAAAAGGGAACATACCAGTCCGGCGAGGCCAACATTATCGAACCCTTGAATGACCTGATAGAAATCATAGCTCAGCCCCGCAGCGTCCTGTCCTAGCATTGCAGGATCATCGTTGCTGATAGCCGTCGTGACACCGTGTGCAATCATAGCTGGCAAGGGGTGATGCAGAATATCCGTAGCCAGCTGAAGAACCTCGTTGGAAATAGGGCACACCTCAACCATAATGTTGTTCTTCTTCACAGCTTGGATCAACTCGGGATGTTTATACAGAGAGAAACCGTGGCCAATCCGCCGTGTTCCCAGGAGAACGGCGTCAAACAGATTCAGATCGGTCGAGTTACCATCGCCGAGTGTTTCTCCGGCATGGAAAAAGAAGGGCATGGTGAGGTTCTTCTCTTTGGCCTCCTGTTGGAACCACAGTAGCTCCGGCGCAAGGTCGAGCAATGTGCGGCCCAGATCTTCTTGTGACACTAGATCGTATCCACTGAACAGCTTTGAAAAGTTGCTCTTCATCTCCAACGCACTCTTCATGCCTGCGCAATCAACATTAGCTTCTTTACTGGTTGCAGGAAGGATTTCTTCTTCGGCGAAGGTTTAACACACTTGCTAGGATATTATCTGTCGATTTAGATCGCTGGTCTGCCCAGATAACCCTGGCACCGTAAAAGGGAGCTAGGGTAGCGTCCTCTTGTAGGGTAATATTGTTATGCTGGGCCTTGAAGTAAGCAAGCTCCTCTTCCATAAGTCTCCACCACTTCCAACCGTTGTTATCGTCAGAAGCTGACGCTCCAGACTGAACCAGCTTGCCGGTCGAGCCTCCAGAACGAATCTCAACCCAGCTGATCCTATCTCTCGCGAGTTCATCAAAGAGATTCCTCCAAAACCTTCGTACGACGGGCTCGTAAGTTAGCATAGTCCCTGCGGTACCAAACAAGGGCTGGAATCGACGCCAAATCTCGTCGACTCCCAATTCGTGCTGTATCGCCACGTCGGGAGCAAGCACCAACTTGCTCATGATGAACTCGCGGAACGCAATCTCTCCGCCAGGGAACTGCTCAATGGCCGTTTTAACAGTCACGACCTGGCCTGTGTAGTTTGCGGAGGCGATGTTGGCCCACTGGCTGACTGTGGCAGTATTCGGCGGCAAGAATGTAGGCTGAGATGCGAGGCGACCTTCCGCGGTGCCCACGGTCTTTGTAGTCGTGAACAACATGCCTTCCTCAGAGATGACGGAAGAAAGCAATGTGCTGTATGGGAGCATAGCTGAGAGATGCGCATGAAGTAGCGCGCCTTTCGGCATGCGCTGGACGACTTTCCATAACGTTGTGTTTGCGATCTTTGGGCGGGCCAAGGCGAACATCTCGCCAGCGAAGCTCCCATTGTTCAAGTTCCAGACTGTTCTCGTCTCGTGCTGCCGGATGTCTTGGACAATCCTGTCTGCGTGGGCGCAATCCGTAGACAGACTCTCCCTAAATTTGGCATCTGTTTCGTGTCACTTAGTAAAAGGCTCGTTGATAAACACGAGGGAATGTACCTTGTCGCTCAGTCTTCTCCAATGCAATCATTAGATCTCTTGCTCGATGATGCTGGTCAATGATGAAGCCTGTCTTTTGGAATTGAGCTCTTTCCTGGAGCTCATCTCTCTCCAGGAGGGGGTGAGATGCCGCCAGGGCAGAAAGGAGAAAAGCCGTAAAAAGACGTGAGAGATTCATGATAGACTAAAGATTCCGAGGTGGCCTGAGTGCTGCCTACCTGAGGTGAGGTTGACAAGATTCAGAGAAGGTTTCTCGAAGGTTGTTTTATAGATTTCCATCTCACTCGCAAACGTGAGGCTTGAGACAATTCATATTCCCCCGGACTGAACACGGAACGGTTCACACTGAACGGGAACCACCGTGTCACGGGCCGGTCCCGCCGTTTCTCAAAAATCGTGCCATTCTCTGTAGCTCGCCTGCCCAGTGCAACTCTGATCTCTTGAGTCCAATCTGTCATGCAGAGGACCGCTTCTCTGGTGCAGTTCTCCACCGTAGCAATTTCCATCAGTAGGCCCATCGCATTCTGTTGTACAAAGTCTCATCCGCTCGATGGATTTTTCAGCTGTGCCACGAATCTAATGTCCGACTGAGACAAGGCCGAAATTTGACATGTCTCGGTCGCTGGGTCGTTATCCGACCAACAACATTCCGAGACGAAGTATTTCTGCGGGGAAAACAGGACGCTTTCGATGAGGGCTTGCCATTGTAGAGCTGAGACTCCCTTTTCTACTACATTCATCACGGAAAGCACGAGGCTTGGTGTCGGTGTCAGACGTTTTGAGAACCGGTACCACAAGTCCTAGCAAATTAAGCGTTCGCCTAACCACGCGCTGTCTTGCACCTACCAAACTTATATAATATTCCCAACTATGGTACTTAAATCTTCCCTTGGCTGTTGAAATTTGCAGTGCTCTGCTTGGTGGCGAATACCTCTGTTCCTAGCGGAGTTGCCCTTCGCTATTCTGCCAGTGGCGATCGATACAGGTACAGTAAGGAAGATCAGGGTCAAGACCATGATATGGAAGAACTCAAAGCCCGTAAAGGTTTCATATCTGATTTAACCCAGACGATACCTATTGTTCAGATACCAGACTCGCTGAGTTCCGGGTCCGGAGCGTCTACCATGCTAAGCACGGGATGCTTCGTTTCTGAGCTAGCGCGTGAGACATGCCGAACGCGGTACAATGACCATTCACGTGGAACAACTGATTCACAATTCTTAATACTGTATTCGGACGACGCCTTAAGATGATATGGTAATCCCAATCACACAGAAACCGAGTCATGTACTTTCTCCATCGAAAACAATGACAGTATATAACAAAGATACCCAATTAAACTTAGCGGTTCAGGCTACCTAGAAAGACCGAAATCTCAGTATTCGGGCCGCGGCAAAGATCTATAATATTAGTCGCGTTACCTTAGGCCGCAGATTAGAGGGAATATTATTACGACGTGATAGCATACCTAACTTACGGAATTTGATGCTGCTAGAAGAGAAGAAGCTGATTGAGTACATCCTTAAACTGGACGCCAGATGTTTTCCTCCCCGTCTTCGCGGTATTGAAGAAATGGCGAATCGATTACTCGCTGATCGTGACATACCCCATGTTGGGAAGCGATGGGCTTCGAACTTCGTAAAGCGATAACCAGAGTTGCGAACGCATCGTTTTCGTAAGTACGACTATAAGAGGGCCTAATGCGAAGATCCGGGCGCGATTAACGCGTGGTTCTTGCTTGTGGCGAACATAATCGCGAAGTACGGCATCGTAGACTCAGACATCTACAACTTTGACGAGACTGGCTTTATGATGGGCTAGATCTCAACCGGCATGGTCGTGACCAGTGCCGAAAGGCGTTCAAACACGAAAATGATACAGCCTGGTAATCGTGAATGGGTTACGGTTATTCAGGCCATCATCCCGTCGGGCTACAGCATTCCGCCGTACATCATCGTTACGGGCCAATATCACCTCTCTACCTGGTACACGGAATCCGGTCTCCCACACGACTAGGTCATCGCAACGTCTGAAAATGGATGGATAATAAATGAAAGAGGTCTAGACTGGGCTCGGTACTTCGAACGGCATACAAGACCGTATGCAAAGGGTCAATACCGCCTCCTCGTCGTCGATGGACACGAAAATCACCACTCCGCGGATTTCGAGATTTTTTATAAGAAGAACAACATCGTTACCCTATATGTGCCGGCTCATTCGTCTCATCTACTCCAGCCCTTGGATATTGGATGTTTTGGGACTCTAAAAACGGCGTACGATCGAGAAATCGAGGACAAGATGCGTCGGGGTAATATATATATTACTAAGGAGGACTTTTTCCCGGCGTTTTACAGGGCTTTCACGCAAGCGATCACGGAGAAAAACATTCAGGGAGGATTCAGAGGGGCAGGAATTGTGCCTTTGAATGTAGAGAGTGTGCTCTTAAAGCTTGATGTGAAGTTACGTACTCCGACGCCTCCAGGATCCCTCCCGATAACACCACCGGCATAGACTTCTCAGACACTAAACAACCTAACGGAAGTATCTTCTTAGTTAGAACTCATCAAGAATCGAATCTCCCGTTATCAAAACAGCTTACTAACTTTAATTATCGACGCTATAGAGCATCTATCTAAGGGGGCTCGTGGATTTATGCACTAGATCGCCTTATTAAGATCCGAGAACTAGATCCTTCGAGAGGAGAACAACCTACTTAGTCGACGCCGGAGAGCGAAGAAAAACCGTCTCCGACAAGGAGGAAGCCTTATTATAGCTGAGGGAGAGGATCTTTAGTCGTAGAGAGAGGCTACAGCCCAGGTGGAGGAGGAAACGCGCCGGAGTAGTGGTCGCCGACCGAGGACTGAGACGGGCCAACGACGATATGGCGTCTGCGGGAACACTGGTCACAATGCGCGAAAATGTCGATTCAATGAGGAAATGTCTGAGGAAGAGGAATCTGAATAGTTTGGATTGAATCCATGAGGTGGGTGTTGATATTTGCTCCTTCATGTTATGTGGTCGTGGTTGGGTGGCCCACTCGCTTGTCTGGCCCACTCGCTTATCATGTACGTTATTTATTTTATTATTTATTTTATTATAATAGACAATTATAATAATAAATTAATTTTATTTATAATTTTAACTATTAAAATGGGCTGGTTATGTATAGGGTATAAAATAATAGGTTTTAGTATAAGCCCACTAAAAATGGGGTGGCCGAAAGTGGGTAGTCTGGCTTAATGCTGTACCTTACACGGCCTCATGTCCATACCCTGAGGAAGACCAGTAGGCGAACAATGGTCTTTTCTGAGTGTTTGAGCAGATATCGACAGCCTACGATAAAGAAGGCCTTTCAATCCAAGCTTGACTCATAAATATGGGATGGAATTCCCGTGACATTTGATATTGACTTGAAAGAAGTGGAAGAACTGGAAGTGCAGTAGTAGTACTTAGAGTAGCGGTTGTCCCAATACCGGCGGCGAGATAGGAGGCAATACAACTTGAACTATGGTCGATCCTGTCTTCAAATCAAGATAACGTTCCTAGAGTAGTCTCACAGGTCCACATAGTGGCTACATTAAGTACTGAGACGTAAGAAGTATGGTCTCTTTCAGCACTGGAGATGATGGAATAGTAGTGATGTCCCAAATAAAAGCTTTTGCTCGGTCTTACCATCCCGCTCAGCGAAGACATTCACCACAATACACAAAGATATCGACCAGAATATTCAGGTATCCATGCCTTGGTGGGGTGGCTGCTGTGATTTTCTCAAAGTGGACATACTGAATACTTCACCTTTTAGGTTGGGACTGGAAAGTATTCAGGCCGATTTTCACCTTCAAGGTGGTAATACTTTTCCGGCGGCAGGCACGATGTTGGCCGCGTTCCTCCTTTCTTCTTCCCTTCATTCACCATTGAGTACTGTCTGCAGTGGTCTTCGATATTTTTACCTCCTAACCTCCACCTCTCAACCGTTTTCTTCCTCCCTTCTTTTTACTCTCACCCTACCAGAAGTAGGTATCTCCGTTACCCTCGATTTAGCTCCTTTATCGGTGGAAGTCGACCAAACCTACTACAACTTTCTTGTCCTCTCTGACTTTTTTCCTGAATCATCGCATTGGCCTCTATTTCTGCGGTTGCTTTTGCATCAACGCTCTTTGGCAGTTGGCCTCTAAGAGCACAGCCGATTATCTCTCAAGTACCTTACCCCAATCACCTCGTTCACTCACTTTTGTTCAGCCTAACAAACAACTACTGACCGACGTTTAGCACCCTTATCTTCCTTCGGAGTAAAAGGTTCATACAAGCTGCCATCGACAATGGCAGTCCTTGACGATCTCCCTCCAGAGATCATACTTCAACTATTCCCAGCACACTCGCTGCTGGAGGAGTTTACAAGAACGGAGTCGGACACCGAGCTCGCGGAGTTGCTCCAGCCAGGCTGGCGCTCAGCATTCAATCTTTCACGCACCTGCAAGAAGTATCGTCGAATGCTAGTTCGAGACCTCTATCGAAACGTCAGTATTCATGGGTCCAATAGCACCCACAAGCTCACGTCCTTTATTGAGTTTATAATGAAGCATGAGGACATTGCTATGGGAGTCAGGCAGCTGTATCTGCACCTGGACGCCAGCAACACAGGAATCAAGGACTTGACAGAAGCAGATCTGGGTTGGAGTCACTGGGCTGCCGAACAATCGGGCGCTCCTTCACCCTACTATCTCTGGCGCTCGGCAGAAGGCAAGCCTCTCCAAATGTCGGAATCCCGACGCTTCAGAACCGGAATCTTGCACCTGGGAATCCTTCTCGAGATTGTCCTTTCACGTGTACAGGGACTACGTGAGTTAGGCCTCGCAGTGCCAGGTGGCCTGTTTTGTGACCAGTACGGTCCAAGGTCCAGAACCGAGATTGATGGTCTTTTATGGACAGGAGAGCTGGGCCCTTCAGATCTTGCCAAGTTCCGGATCTTTCGTGGTGTCCCATGGCCAGTTCCGACCCTAGAGATGGTCGCTATTCGCCCTAGTGGTCTTTCAAAGACTCATCGAGACACCAACCTCTCGCCAACGGATCTTGACCACTTACTTCACTTCTCGCCAAACGCCAGATCGATTTTCATTGCTAATCGGGATGAAGAACCTAGCTGCCCTCTCGACACATATTCGCAGTGGGCCAATATTACCTGTCTCACCATCACAGAGACCTTTCTGGTCCAAGAGAAGATTCGAAGCATGGTCGAAGGTTGCGCCTCTCTCGTTTCGTTCAAGTACCTGAACTCTAGGGCAGACACATTCGTTCCACATTGGCCAGTGTCACCCAGGGAGATCGTCACCATTCTCCGTGCGCACAAGAACACTCTGAACACCCTCCGCAGTCTCTCCCTCGATCTCAATGACTGGTATCGAGGGGAATACAGGGCCATCAGGAGTCTTTCAGACTTCAAGCACCTAGAGAATCTCTGGGTCGATGTCTCGAGCGTGTTGAAGAGAATCAAGTATGGCTCCTCCAGTCGTTCAGATAAGAACAAGCGACTGACGCACAAACTTTTCACCTCTTTCCCTCGATCAATCAAGCGTCTTCATCTGGCGGGCAATGGGCTCGGAGTTCGTCATAACATATGCGAGGTGTTGACGAATCGCGAGGAATATCCCGAACTCAGAGAGGTCGAGATGGAGGAATTGGTTCAGAGATTGCCGGAACTCTGGGATCCAGACCTAGCGAACGAAGAAGATGATACGGACCAGAGCGATGTTGACGACTCTGATAACGACGGTGATGAGGATTTAATCAATGGCGACGGCACTGACGACAATTCTGCTTCCTGGACATTGAACAATGACGGCATCGAGGGCGGTCACAGCAATGGGTATAGCAGCCAGACCGAGGAGGAACACATCAGCGAGACGATTCAGGAGACCAGTCCCTCCTATCGAGAACGGTTCATCAGAGCTGGTATCGAGTCACCTAGCACTATGTGCATTCTTGGAGAGTTGTGGTAAAGGACTGGACCTTGCTTTAAGGGGAAGGAAACAATGGCGCTTTCATAGCTGTGGATTTCGAGGCAGCATAGATCATGGCGCAATTCTGGCTGAGTTTAGAGGTGCGAGTCGAGGATCAAATATTCATGATACGGTCCCTACTCAATACCTACCTTACTCATAGACACCATAGAGCAGCAGAGGCCTCTGGCAGATACGCAGTTCCTCAGGCCCATTCACAGCTACATACATGCCCAGCCTCACTTGACCTTGACAAGAATGACTTCATCGATCTGCAGAAGGAGATTCTCTCTTCTCTTAAGCTGAGAAACCAATTAATTTAAGAGTAATCATGGACCTCTAATAGAGGAAGATTAGAATCTGCTCAAGTCCAATTACATGGAGCTTCAGGGGAAGATTCTTCTGGCAACAGAGTAACCGTGGAGCACCAACTACAGGTGGCTATCGATATTACTACAAACAAAAGAAGCTGCACCATTCCTTTGGGCAAAAGGATTGTGCTTCTCAGAATCACATGGTTCAACGGATATTGAAGCAAAACTCACGTTAAGGGGGGGAAAAAGAGAAGCCTTTAATTACCTTGAAAAATTTTCGAATCGTTCTTTCCCGGAACGTGCTGCCTCCTGTGCGCTGCTTCCGGGTCATAAATTCACCTGTGATCTTTATTTTCTTTCCCTGCCCAACTCACCTCTCCTTTTCCACCCACCCAGCTCTTCTTTTTCTTCTCCTTCACATCAGCGGGCCTCTTCCGGCCAACTCCTCTTCCTTTCAACTACCGGGATCTTTCCTTGTGGCAGGAGAAAACCTTTCTCTCTCAGATCAGACAACGAAAAGAGCTTTCCCTCCTCCCACTCTCTGGGATTATCCAGTATTTACTACTCGCCACTCGACACTTGCACTCTTCAGCATCTTCTGTTTCTCGGTAACCAGCTCCTTACGCGGTACGCAATACGCGGTACGTTCTCCGCGCCCTTATTTTTACATCACTCGCAATGCTAATAATTATTCGAGAAGGCTTCTTGCTTGTGGGCTCACCTACCTCGAGTGATGCCTGTCTGGCTGCCACAATCACTTTCGATTTTTCACCTACTGCTCTAGTGGCTCACTTCAAGATGGCTGAGCTACGGAACCTCCCCCCTGAGACCATTCTACACATTGTCTCTTACCTTCTTCCCGACTACACTCCTGGCAAGGAGCTCCTCGACAAGTTGAAGAGTGATTGTCTCATCCAAAAGGAGCTTTGCGATCAACGTCGCGCACTTGCCTCCTTGGCACGCACATGCCGTCGTTACTACAACCTCCTCATACCTTTCCTATACGAATCTGTCAGCGTCCACTGCGGGGCCAGTGCCCCTCGGCAGTGGTTGTCGCTCATGAAGACCCTTTTACACAACAAAGACCTTTGTCGACTTGTCAAGCAGCTATACATCCACTTCGACAGCAATCGTACGCTAGTGTCCCCTACTATCCGGGCCGATGCATACGTCAGGGACATGGTTTCACTCGAGACTTGGCTGAAGAAGGTCTGTAAACCTAATGCGGATATCTCAAGACCCTTTGAGGTGTCCTCCGCCTTTCTCTTCACCCTCGCTAGCAACACTCAAGATTTCACGCTCTCTGCATCTGGCTTGTCTCTCTCCGCAAGCTTAGATGCCATTCACGACGTGGACCAGATCCTTCCAAACCACCAAACATCTGAGTCAACATTTTCCTCCTTGAAGTCAGTCTCTCTGAGGAAGGGTCATTGGGATCCGAGCAGTCATTGGACTGGATCTCGTGAGAGGTGGTTAACCGCAAGGTTCATTACTAGAGCAAGGAACCTGCGCGAGGCCCACCTAGTTCGTGCAGCTCTGGAGTTTCCCAGTCCACCATCGACGAATCTGACAACACTCGCTCTGAGCAACTGTACAATATCACTTCCGATTCTGGCCAATGCTATCCGAGCCTGTCCGAAACTGGAAAAGTTCTTCTGGAAGAAGCAAAGGCGGTGGGACCTGCACCCACACACCATCCCGCCATGGCTGATATTGGGGGCTCTGGGAATACGTCGTGCCACCCTCCGCACTCTGGTCATCGATTTTGACGGCGTCTGCGGTCGAGGAACGCAGGTCCCTGCAGTTGAACTTAGCACCTTTACGAATCTGGAGGAAGCCTGGGTCGACATCAGTGTCTTTGACAAGGACAGAGGCAACTACACAGACTCGGAGTCTGACCCACTCAATCTGACTGTTGTGGAGGGCAGTCCTCTGATCCGAACTTTGCCGTCTTCCATCCGAAAGCTGCATCTGTCTGGTGCCATGACAGACTTCATCTACGAAGAGGTTCTGTGGCTGGCTAGGGCTGGCATGAACAAGACCCGACACATCCCCGAAGACTTCGCACTGGATGGAGGCTATTTAGATGGCGACATGTTCAACTTGTACGATCACCGGAACGACGACCAGCATCTCCCCACAACCGTCTTGGACCGTCAGCCTTTCCTCTGGTGAGAGACTGCGCAGCGGAGGACAACGACAAAGCCGTCTTTAGGACGGGCACAGAACGAAGGATACAGTACAGGCTTGGCTATTCTCTAGGGTATGGATGGGAAGGAGAATCGAGAGGCAGGTACAATGCGTGGCTGATACAGGCAATGGATAAAGCCGTCGTTTTTCTTTTTTTCTTCTTTCTTGTTTTTGGGAGTCGGGACAGACTCTAGGCTGAAGGGGGGGTATCAAAGAACAAAGCGTGTCTTTGCCGAAGAGCATTTCCCCGGGAGTATTTCCATACTTCCAGTGTTGTTAGTGTATAATACTTTCGTCTATTCAGTGCCATCAAGAATATTCTTCATTGTTTTTTTGTGAACATTATTTCAATCTTGCCCACGGAGGCTGCGTTTTTCATCAAATGCAACATATTAGTACGATACCCCAAACTCATCGACCAAGGGTTCAGGCCCATTCCTTGATAACACTCAAGTACTGATCCACGTACCTTTTGGAGCAAGTTCCATTTCCTGGTGTCAAGTTCGAATCCTTCCTTCTGTATTCAGGGGCTGAGTCATTCAGCAGAAGTATTGCCGTCCACTGTCTCGCCCTCGATCTTGTAGCTCGCAAGTCTCGGGATATGCTTCGCTCTCAAACGCATCAGTAATCGATATCCCTGTTTTCTATGAGTTCTGACTGGTACAAGAGTACTGAATGGGTGATGAGCGCGTTTGGCGAAGATAAACTCACTGCGAGTGTCACTGGGGACCCTGAGTTTTGGGGAACTTGTTGGAAAGATGAAGATATGACACAACGCTCACCAGCTGAACAGGAATGGGCCTGCACCTGGGCAGCTGTTCCAGTTGAGCAGGGGTTCTGCTATCAACCGTCCCATTGGTGAGGCCTTCGCCAAACGAACCCTGCCATCTGCAAGGATTCAACTCTTAGCAAAGAAATACGACCTTCAACAACTCACAGCAGCACCCTGCTAAAGCGCTGCCACAGAAGTATTACTATCAAGCCTGAGTCAAATGAACGTTCACTATGACGTCCGAGGGCTGGCAAGTACTTCTCTCGATTACTCTAGTAGTCGCCATGCAGAGTTGGCAGTACAGGAGGGTCGAAGACACGGAAGGACTCTAAACTCAACACTTCTGGCGGGCAGGGACCACTGACAAGGAAGGAGACAACACGAACGCACAATGGTCTGATACACGACTCGCAATACGCAGTTGGAAGTGAGGAGCCAACCACTTGGAAGCAACGGTGGGTAGGTCGCCAAGCTGCGGGGGCTCATCTTGACCATGGGACGTGGATACAAAAAACTCGCAGCTTTTCTTTGCATTAGAGAGCGCTCTTGGAAGCTTTGCCTGGTCCTGGTATTGTTCTCCCCGTGCCGACATCAATATCAGACGAACTTATATTCAAAAAATGTCAGATCTACCCCGGCAGACTTCGGCGAGCCCTAGGGACGAATCGCGAGGTTCCCCAGCAGCCCCCACAATCACTGGTGAACCTGTGGCTGCGACGATCGAGCCCGCTGTCGAGCAGGCGGCGACCGACATCGATGATGGAGCAAGCGTATGTCTGCACAGTATTACTCATGTGGATTAATGAGGTTAATGACTGGACTTTACGCGAACTTAGGATGCCATAACAACTGATGACCAAATGTACGCAAATCTCGATGCTTCCATGTCTAGGGCTGTGGTTGGCCAAAGGCTAAATCTCACAGGTCCTCGTACACGGCCTCGCTCACATCCTCAGTTGTGGATTATCCGACTGAGTACGGCCGTCGTTATCATGCATTCCGTGCTGGAGGTATGTCAAAGGAGCCTTGGTGTTGCAGTGGAGAGCGAACAGCCTAGTCTTCACCATGTTTCTAACAGCTCGACGTAGCTTACAACTTCCCCAATGACGAGGTTCGAAAGCGTTCTTGACTCCGGTATCCATGTATGGGATTAAAAGTTCTGGGTCTAGGACGAAATGGACCGCCTCGATTTGGTGCACACATTGATGGTCAAGACCGTCGGCAACAAACTATTCCTCGCGCCTGTCGACGGAGCAAAACTGCATCGCGTTCTGGACGTTGGCACTGGAACTGGCATCTGTGCGTTTCAATATTGAGCCTTTCAACACCGCTCTATGTATACCGTCTACTTACATCTCTAGGGTCCATCGAGATGGGAGACTTTTTCCCTAATGCCGAGGTACAATGGTATTGACTTCCCGTATATCAAAACCGAGTGCTAAGACTTTACTAGATCATCGGCAACGATCTGAGCGCTATCCAGCCGAAGTGGTATGTGTGTTGACAGCTCAGTACTGATACAAAGGTATCAGTATCGTAGACAAGATGGTTCACTAAAATTTGACCGCAACAGGGTTCCGCCAAACGTCAAGTTCGAAATTGACGACGTCGAGAGTGAGTGGGTTGGGCAAATCAAATACGACTTCATCTTCAGTCGATACCTGTCAGGGTCTCTGGCCGACTGGCCAACCTACGTCAAGAGGGTATCTCAGTAAGTCCCCAGGTTTCCAACCCTTTTTAGGCTTGCTAAACATTTACTTAGAAACTTGAATCCCGGTGGTTGGGCCGAGTTCCAGGATTGGAGTTTCATGCTTCACAGCGACGACGGGACGCTCGAGGGAACCGCTATCCAGCGCTGGGCCGATACCTTCATGGACGCATGTAAGGTCTTCGGACGCGACGCCCAAATCGGCCCCAAGCTCGAAGGCCTGGTTCGAGAAAACACCGACCTCATCAACATCCGCCACGAGCCCTTCAAGATCCCCAGCGGCCCCTGGCCCAAGGACGCACATCTCAGGGACCTTGGGATGTGTAACTTGATTCAACTACTTGAGGGGCTCGAGGGGTTCTCACTCAAGTTGCTCTGTGGAGGTCTTGCTTGGACAAAGGAAGAAGTCCTGATCTTGTGTTCCCAGGTACGTACGGAGCTGAAGTCGGGCAAGGTCCACGCGTGGTATCATTAGTAAGTCGTCGCTCTTTTGAAAGGTAAGCTGTTTGCTGACTGTCTGTGTAGCGACGTTGTGTACGGCCAGAAGCCTAAAAAGAAGGAGGAGGCGCCCTAGAATGTTTGATATTACATGTGTAGTTTGGCTTACCTCAGTCTGAATATCATGTCTGTGGTATTTACAAGTGACAACGAAAATTTAAAAAAAATGTGGTGTCCTCTAGGCCCAGGGTGAAGTTCACAACTCATACTTCTCCCTCTTCTCTTCAATCTTCGCAGTCTTCTCACGCTCAACACAAGTCCACTCACTCCCAACCGCCTTCGCCACCAAGGGAAACTTGCAGAAAGGAGCCTTGCTCTCCGCCGCCTCCCCCTTAGCCAGTCCCATGACAACAGCATCCACCTTCTCCGGCGCAACCCCCTCTTCAACCCACCGCCTCAAAGCATCCAAAGCCCTCAAAGGAAACACAGCTCCCTTGGGCGCAGCGCAATGCGTAGTTCCGGGTACCTCAAAGAACCTGAAATACTCTGCCGTCTCGACTCCTCCTCCCCCGTCCCCATCAACCTCGACGACCTTGCCGTAATACCGCCTCATGGCGTTAATCGTGATAGCCTCATCGTTGATAGAATCCCACGCAATCATCTTCCCCCCAGCCTCCCTGAGTGCCCCCAGATCAGGGTTTTCACTCCCAATCATGTCCCCAAACTCCTCCACCGTCTCCTTGAACAACGTCGCAAACTCCTGCCTGGTCATACTCGCCGGATCATACTCAGCATCCTTCATCACCAACAACCGAATCCAATCCGTAGCAATCGTAAACGGCCTCCCACGACACTTCCCCCCATCACAAACAACATTCCCCAACGCCATCAACCCCGTCGCAGCAGTCCCCACCGTCGAACCCGGAAACAAACTCCCTCCCTCCTCATCAACAGGTCCCCTCAACAGCGCCTCAGCAACAACCATCGCCCCCTCCGAAACCCTCCCCTTCACCCCATCACACTCAAACTCCCTCCCAAGCACCCCCCTCGACTCAAACACACACAAATCATCCCTCGCAATAACTCCATCCTTGACCCCATCCACCTCATCACAAGCCTCAACCGCAGCTTTCTGCATAGCCTCCATCTCGCAAGCGGAAAGATACACGCCAAGCTCATTCATAACCAACTGCGGCCAAAACATCCCCATCAACAGCCCCGGGAAACTCACCGCAGGACAAGCCACAAGAATCCCGTCATACGCCCCCGGAAACCGCTGCGCCATCGCAAGACCCTGTCTCCCGCCAGTCGAACACCCGCTCCAGTACGAAAACTCGGGCGTCTTGCCATAGTACTCTTCCGCAACATGTTTCCCAATGAGCGTCATCTCATGTAACCCCCTATACGCGAAGTTCTCCAGCGCTTCGAGATTCGGTTTCCCATCCTTGAAGAGCCACGAGTCTGCCGTCGAGTACGGGTTATGTTCGTACCCTCCATCCGTAGCAGCAACAGCGTATCCTGACGCGGTGTACGCCGCCATCACATCGTCGCCGATTTCGCCCGCCAGCCACCCGCCGCCACCGATACCCAGGAACCGGGCATTATAGGCTTCTTGGAGGGGGAGCCGGATGTGGACTGTGATGAGGGAGTCTAAGTTGGGGCGGGTGTAGGAGATGGTGACGTTACATGCTGACACGCCTTCGGGGGGTACGAGTGCCGCTTCGGGTTTCCATCCTGAGTTTTGGGTGAAGTTTGTGAAGGGGTTGGCGGTGGTGGAGTGGTGTATGAGGCCTTCGAGTCGAGGGAAGGAGAATGAAGATGGTAAGCAGGGCTTCGTGGCGGCGTGAACTGCGGTGGCTAACGTTAAGCCGGCTAGGATGAGTGAAGCGACAATCTTGAATCTCAACACCGTCGTTCTGGTGAAGCCGAAGTACAGCAGATCGTGAGTGTAATGAATGACAGTTGATATATAATCGATGGCTCGCTAACTTCGTACCTCGTACTCGTACATTTAAGCGATGAGGAGTATAAGACGTTGACTGTGGAGTCGCGGGGTCCGCGCAGAGTCCGAGTTAATAGCCCCCTAAATTCCTGTTGATATTCGTCTACGGACTACTCCGTAGATGATCATGACTACTCCGTAAAAGATTGTCTGTGAGTAGGAATCGAGTAGAGCTTTACCCTACGAGGTGGTGTAGAGCAATTTGTATACAGAACACAGTAAAGATGTAGTGGCATGCCAACAGGTATCATTCCTCTACGTCTATCATTCGCAAAAATACAAACAACCACCCAAACACCCAACCTTTAACCATCCTCCAGCGGCCTTCTCACAAAAATCTCCAAAGCCCCCCTCATCTTCTCCTCAACAGCCTTCCTCTCCTTATCCTTGGCAGGCAACCCCACCCGACACACAGCCTTGCCAAACACCTCGCCAACTCTCCGCTCTCGAAGACGCCGTCTCGCCAACGCAGCCTCAGCAGCAGCGTTGCCACCCGTAAGGCGTCTGAAGCTGAGACTGCGCCTATTTGGCTTCTGCATCGTCAGCGCCTCGACCTCGGACCGCGAGATGGGTGCCATCTCCGCGACGACCTTGGACAGTGTCGCCGTGAGGAAGACAAAAGCGATATTGTGGTTCGGCGCCGTGGCGAGGATATCTAGCACCGCGGTCTTGTCGTCTTCGACTTCGGGTGGTGAGCGCGCGGCTGCTGCGGCCAGGTGAGGAATGGCTACTTCGATCTTGGCCCAGAGGGCTGCGGTGATGATGCCATCGGTTAGTCCGCTGAGGAAGAGAAGCAGGACCTCGGCGAGTACTTCAAGGCGGTAGAGTGACGGGACTTCAACGGGAAGCGCTTCGACGAGGGGTTGGTCGTTGTCCAGTGCCTCAATCAATGCGACAATCTGGCTGTCACGGGACTCTTTGTCTTTGAACAGCCATGCAGTCTCGTCAAAGGGCCAGCCAGGCTTGTCGGCCGGGATGACATGTTCTTCAATCATGTTTGCTTCGGCGATGGCACGTAGCATCATCACCTCGACAGCTTCTGTGAGCTTGAAGAGCTCTTTGGGAGCAGCGCAGCGGACGTCGAGGTCGTACGGGATAGAACCGGAGCTCTTGCCTTCCCTCGACTTCATAAAAGCCCGAATGCCTCCATCGGGGATGCGAATGAGCTCGTCTATTGAGCGACCGAAACACGTCGGAAGCCAAGAAGCGCGAACTGGAATGAAGTGATCTCTGCCGTCTTCCACTCGCAGAACCAAGATGTCCTCGAGAGATGAGCGGCCGTCGTTGAGGGCTCGAACGTGAGAAATGTCGCTAACGTATATCTCCAGAACACCACCGACAGTCTCGCCCGGTTCCAAGGTGACGTCGTCGCCCAAATCTGGTGACTCTTCGCCATTGTCATCAGCGGCTGTCCGTTTGAAGGATGAGCTCAGCCAGGCTGGTGGACTTGAAGCCTCGGAATCCTCCTCAATTGTGGGTTTCTCGACAAAAGCAAACTTTGCCGGCACTCTTCCAGTGTTTGCGATTATCAGTGTCGCAGTGTGCTTGCAGCGGTAGGCAACATCGCCAAAGTCGACGGCTTCACCGAGATCCACACCATCCTCGCCCTTGGCTTGCATGTCAGGATTGTCGAGAATGACAGTGACCAGAGGCCGTCCCTCGTTCTCGGCGCGGTCCAACTCCTTTGCAACTTCGGCATGGACTTTGGCCTTGAGATCCGGTACCACCGCGTCGTAGTCGAGCGTGAAGATGGAGATGATAGGTTTATGGTCTGAAGAGATGATCCGCTGGTGTGAGGTGTAGATATCAAGCTGTATCCTGTCCGTGAACCCTTCTTTGGTGACAACCTCCTCTGGTTCGTTATCATCTTCTTCGTATTCATCGTAATCGAGGCCAGCTTCGCCGGTGGGCACCTCCTCGCCGTCCGCATCCGGGTCATAGCTGAATAGGACGTCGTCGTCGTCAGTCGCATGGTCGATACCCCGCGCCGTCATCTCCTCGTCCTTCTTCTTTGCCTCCTCGAGTTCCTTGACCTTTTGCTCGTACTCCTCCCGGTCCTTTCTTGTTCTGTACAGAATGCGATCGCACCAACTCGGGGCTCTTTGTTTCTCGCTCGAATCAAAGAGACTGATGGTCCCGACGTCGTACTTGTATGATGGTAGGAAGGTGATTGGCCCCTCGCGCCAGCCATCGTGGAAGGCCTTCTTCTCCTTGATTATCCTTCTTAGCTGGTCATGTGGTAGAAGAGAGTCCAGGGTTGCTTGCAACGACGCAGGATCGTCACCCGGGTCGGGCAAGAAGTCGTCAGGATCTGGCAGCGAGCTTGAAGAGTCATCGAAACTAGCCTCCGATGACAGCGTAGTTTCGATTGTTGAGGTGTCATCATCTGTGTAGTCACTCTTCTTTGCGCTCTTGACCACCAGAACCTCTTCGCCGGCGATGACCTTGCGCCCCCTTTTATCCAGATCGTACTCCCCGCGTGTGTGAAGTTGAAGCAGGCGCCGGATATCATTGCCAGGCAGTCCATCCACGCGAAAGTTCAAGTCACCCACCCAGAAGGCAAAGTCCTCGTCGCCAATCTTCTCCGGCTCAGCATCGTTCTCTCCAGCAAGGTTGATCGGGTCAAACTGCGTCCGTGTCAAGATCTGCCCGACGTCCCACAACCTCCGGTCAAGGTACGTCTGCTCCGCGCCGCTAGCCAGGTGGCAGTTGACAAAGACCATGCGGGTCGTCTCCCCAAGTAGCATCCGCGTAGTCACAGCTCCCTTGTTCCCCAGGTATCCGAAGAGGCCCGTCCCGACAGAGACTGTGCTCACGTTGCTGACTGTTGGCGCTACCTCGGGGGAAGCATAAGCCAGCAGCAGCAGACCAGACATTTGCTCTGCGGCAACGAGCTCGTATCCATCCGGCATGGCTTCTTCTAGAGCTTCTTTCCACTTCTTCATGGGTCCTTGGTCAGATGCCATGCGGTTCATGTAGTCCCTCGCCATGTTCAGGTCGACAATCTCCTGCAAGCCCAACACGTACAACCCAACCTTGTCGCCTCCGACCAAGTGCACCGAGGCATTTGGGTCATGTTCTTCAGTTGCATCCTTGGCTGTATCCTTGGTAGCTGGCGGGGGGTCCGTCTCTACCGTATCGTGATTGGAGACGTTGAGCCTCGAGAGCGAAGTGTCGAGACCATACCCGTCAACGAACCAGCTCGCCAAGTCCTTGTCGGTGCCGGGACACGCAGCCACGTTCCATGTCCCAATCTTGACCCGGATCCGGTGTGGCCGCACGTACTCTGCTCGACGAGCGTACACAGCACGGGCAAGGGAGTGCGGCGTAGATGCGAGGTCGACGTCGACGGGGTCTGAGGTCGTGGAGGGGATGGTCTCGGAGGGGGGCGCCATCGCGGAAGGCGAAGCCATGCGCTGCTGCTGCTGAGACGCGAGCGTGAAGGAGTCGTAGTTTCAAGAGGTGCTAGAGACAGGGAGCTCTAGGGGGTATTATTTGACGGGGTCGGGCGGCGGCGGCGGCTAAAAGGGGTGAGACAAGAGGCCGGTCCAGGGTCCTCTGCTTTGGCGTGTTGTTGTCGTCGATCAGTCCGGCGTGGCCCGGCGCATGATGTTCGTATTTTGGGCGTGGCTACGAGTCGTCGTAAGTGAGGTCACGGACCAGGATGGCTTCAGTTATGCGCAGAGTTGGCGGCAGCGAGATGGGAGCCGGAGAAGCCAGAGGGATGGCCTGGATGGTGGTTGCAACTTGGAGGCCCTTGAAAAGTACGGACGAGCCGGAGCAGAGAGGATACTGAAGGGGCGAAAAGGAGGAGAAGAAGGAGATCTGAACAGTCTTGAAGTCGTTAAAGAAGTTGTTCAATAAGATGTTGCAGAAGTATCCCAGTACCAGGTATGGAGTAGGCAGAGAAAGGGAGAAAGGGACTGGGGAAGGGATTGTCGCCGGGATCTCTCATCCACAGATTGCCGTCGTCGGACGCCTCGTTTCTGGGTCGCGAGACCGGTGACGTGCATCGTTCACTGACAGCACTGCGCTAGAATTGACAGGGGGGTTGCTAGGGGACCCCTCTGCATTTCTGCACTGCCACAGCGCTTGGATTGGCGGGGTAGTCTCGGTTGCTTTATCGCGATAAGGTCTCGATAAGCCGATAAGACACCTACGGCCTGACGAGAGATCCACCTCGCACACTGACCTCATCCGGTGTGCACCTTCTCCAAAAGAACCAAGCTTCACCTCTCACCTCCCATCGACAACACCACGACCTTGAACTCCACGATACACACCTGCTCCCTTCCCTCGACAGCTCTCGCCCACCTTCACCAGCGCTGAATTCGACGCCGCGATCATAGAGAAACACCAGCCCGGCACCAAGCTCGCAATCTTGCAACAACACCACCACCACAGCAACACTAAACAACGGGCACACACACATCACCACCACCACAAATGTCCCGATCAACCCCCCGCCGACGAGGCGGCGGCCACGCCCGCCACTCCTCAACCCAAGGAAACCCAACCACCGGCCCCCGACCCGTTCAATCCGACTACGAATCCGACGCGGCGCACTACATCGACTCCCACCCAGTCCCGGACCCGAACCCAGCGCTCTTCAACCGCACAAACACGGACCTCAACCTCTCTGTCCTCCGCCGCTACCTCCCCTCCATAAACTCAACCCTCTCCATCGCCGCCAACGCCGTCGTCTACACCTTCAACCCCACGCTCCCGGGCTGGGACAAGACGGGCATCGAGGGGACGTATTTCCTGTGTATGCAGGACCCCGTTCCCGGCACGGCGCCGACTCCGAGGGCGTGTATCTTTGTGTTGAACCGTCGCGGGTTGGAGAATGTCATTCTCGATTTGAGCGAGGTGGACGACTTTGAAGTCATGGACGAGATTTACATCTTTCGTCTGCGCGGTACCTCCGAAGAAGCGGCAGAGGGCACGAACAAAGTCATGGGCATCTGGATCCACGCAGATAAAGAGGACACGCGCGTTATGAACTCGGCCCTCATCTCCGAGACGCTCAAACTCGTCCGCCTCGCCGAGGAGCAGAACGCTGTTGCTGGCTTCGGCGGTCCCGGAGGTGGTGCTGGTGGTCATGGTGGTCATGGTGGTCATGGTGGTCATGGTGGCGCGGGCGGTGCCGTGCAGGAAGAGGAGCTGGGCCCCGCGATGCAGGCCATTGGCCGGAAGCTGAGCTTGAGCGACCTATTTGGCGCGCAGAATGGCCTCCAGGGCTAGGAACCCGTGGTGTATGCTGCGGGGATCAGGGCGCGGGAGTCCTCGGTGAGGGGATGGGGCTTTGCGGAGGCGTCTGATGTGTGGGGAATGGCAAAGATTTGCCTGCGTGGTACGAAGATGGAGTCTCTTCAAAGACGATGATGTTGATGTTGGAGCTGAAGATGAAGTCGAGGATGGCGAGGAACGAACTGCACGAAACGTTTATTTAGGACAAAAAGGGGACGCTCCGGAGAGCGCAACGGTTGAACCAATGATACCCTTGATTAAGAAAGAAAAGAAAGTCATTTTTCATACATGAATGCAAAGTCGTCATGGGACTTGGTGATTCTTCCCAAGAACCCTCCATCGTGACTCGCAAAGTCTAGGGGGCTGCGTGTTTTTTCTCTATTACAATCCCCAAAAGCCTCAACCCCTTCCTAGACCATGCTCGTGTAAAAACTCCCCTCCCATTACCAGCAGACTCTTTGAGTGAAACCCAATCACCCAGATTAAAACGTCAAAACCGATAAAACAGAAATCGCATTGCTCATACCGTGCCACTGATGCTGAGCTCGCGAATCTCCTGCAGCACTTGCTCGACGCGCTGATCCAGCTGGCCCTGGGCATACTGTTCTCTCGTATCGGCGTCCAGGTACTGCTGCACCTGCGCCATGCGACTGTACGCCTCGGCGCAGAAGCGCAGCTGGATCTTGACGAGGGCCTCAAAGGTGGGGTCAAGATACGGCACGCGGAGGTCGATGAGTTGGGGCAGTTCTGACGACAACTGCTCGTTGAGCTGCTCGTAGGCGGCCTTGGCCATCTCCATCTCCTTCTCGGCGCGGGGCAGCTTGGTCACGTCCTTATCGGGCTTCTCGACGAGCTTCTTGACCTTGGCGCGTAGGGCATCGTAGTCGAGGAGCTTGTGGCCGCGCTTCTTGATACCTGGGGAGGGGTCAGCAACTTGATGTTGGAGTGTAGCCTGGTTTATACCGACATTCGTTTACGTCTGGGAAGTAGGCGCAGAAGCGTGAGATGGGTTCAAGGACGGTTTGTCTAGATGAGTGTTAGTCAATACGCCCGGTAGCCGAGATGTCGGTTAAAGGATAATCATACTGGTAAGGACCATCCAGCGCCTTGATGGTCTCGGCATCAAGGTCCTCCACTGCCTGCTTGTAACTTCTGCTCACGCCGTCCTTCGCTCCAGAGTCTCCGTAAAAGGCGTCTATCGTCTCGGCAATGCGCATCTGGGAAGCAGTCATCGCTGGATCACGGAGTTAGCCCACTCTCATCCTTGGCAGGGGGTTCGCATTCGTAGACCGCCAACACACCTCGCAATGAATCCAAGTAGCCCTTTGCCTCCTTCTGCAGCCGTAAGGAAGCCGTTTCCATGGTTCTGAATCGTCTGCCAAAAAGTCTCAGTATTTTATTTTTCATTTTGTTGGGTATCTCGGCCCTAGGGACGGGGTGCAACCCACCTCTCTTCCACCTCATAATCGCGGTCGTTGGTCTTCTCCACATGACCTGCCAAGATCAGAACCTCCGTATTTGTGACTGCTGGTTGGGCAGAAAGGGCTCACCAGTCTTCATCATCACCTGCGTCGTCGCGCGGTTGACATTCTTCTTGAATCCTGTAGCCAGTCCATCAGTCCAGGTTCTCAGTCGTGGTGCTTTGTTACCCCGCCCAGCTTGCACTGGGGAGGGGTCATCCGAGACTCTCTCTCAAGTCGTACCTGCCCACGACATCTTGGCTGTCTTGCTGTGTGTTTCCTATTCGTACTCGGTGCTAGGGTTCGGAATAAAGATTCAAGAGGCAGTATAATGCTCGAGTGGGTGATGTAGTGTGTAAATTGATCACTCGGTGGTTTCGGCGGGTATCGTTGTTCGTAGGAAGGCCGTTTCGTTTCGTCGTCCAAAGGTTGAATTAATGGGGGGTTCACTGGGTGGTGGAGGGGGAGAAAGGAAATGCGGTTTTGATTGCACGGACGAATCACTCAATGCACGCACAGCACAGCACAGCACGCTGGCACGCTGGGAGACCCAACTGGCACCGACAGCGCCCAGAAACGGAAACCGACGTCAGCGAACAGAGGCTTTGGGCTGCGCCACGTCCTTGTTGGTGTTAGCTCCTCTTAGCGTCGGGTAGCTCTGTGGCTCAGCCCTGTAGGCAGCCTTTCTTGCCGTGCTTACCTAAGGCCATAAACCTGGCCTTACATAGTACCTTGACTGGGAAGGCGTGGCGGTGGGCGCCAGTGCCGTTTTCTGATTGCAGTGACTCAGCTTTGAAAGATTAGGTAGGGCAGCATAAGTGCACCGTGCACGGGGCCAATTTAGCCCAGAAGCTTCTTTGTGCAAATACAAGGCGCTCTTATGGCTTTTTATGCACGCTTTGTTAGATCAGGACAATGGCCTCAAATTCTTTTATGCTTACGGAGATATGTTCAGTCCTGTCTTTAATAAGCTTACAAGTCCCTGGATTTCATACACTCTCATTATAGACATCCAACACTACAACTGCATCTCAACATTACAGACAAGATCAAAGAGGAATCAACAAACAAGATGAACGCCCCTCGTTTTCTCCTCGTCAGCCTGGGGAATCCAGAGCCACACTACAACACCCTTCACTCGGCAGGCCACCATGCCCTCAACTCTCTTCAGAAACTCCTAGGCCCCTCACAACCCGCCTTCCACAGAGGTCGTTTCGGAGGCAGTTCCTGCTTGGCCTCATTCGGTCCCAAATACGCAATGATCCAGAGCCCCTCCGTCATGAACGTAACCGGAAAATGGTTGGCAAAGGCGTGGAAAGAGACACTTGGCACCCGGAACCCAGCAGACTTGAGTCTCATCCTCGTTCACGACGACCTAGAAGAGGACCTGGGCTTCGTCAAGACAAGAAAGTGGAAGAGCAGCCACAGAGGTCACAACGGCATCAAGAGCGTCAATAACTGTCTCCGCGAGGCGGATTACCCAGAGTCAAAGTGGGCAAGGATAGCAGTCGGCATTGGGCGGCCCGACGAGCGCGATCACTCTACGGTATCTAACTACGTCCTGAAGCGCATGACCAAGGACCAATGGGCTGCTCTCGAGAACGAAGGCGGACCTGGTGTGCTTGAGTGCCTTCTCGCATTTGAAGAGAAGCTTGATGCTGCAGCTGGGAAGTGAAGCATCCGAAGCATTACTCACTTCTCATCCTCCACCTCACACCTTGGCCGCCCGGTAGCCCTACATCCATTCTGAGCCTTCGCCGTAATTCGAGGCGGCAAGAAGGCAGCATGAGACGATGGCCTTGCAAATGCGCCTCTGCAGATCCCCAGAGACCTAGGACAAGACTGAGCCTGTCCCTGGTGCCGGGCGCGCAAAGCAAAGCTTCACGTCGTCAGGGCTAGAGCCCATGAAGGCCACGCGGGCGAATCGATTCCCCATCAATGAGCGTCGCGTTCGTTGCTTCATGTAGCCTCATCGGGTCCAGGCCGCCCATCAAGCCACTTGCTCATGTACGGCCCATCGAGCCAGTACCCAAGCTTGGCGTAATAGCTCCTCACACCTACTCCAGAAATAACACTAATTTTTTCGCTGCCATGCTCGTCCCTTGCAATTCTCTCTGCCTCCTCCATCAGAAGCGTGCCGAAACCTTGATGCTGGAACTTCTTCGGATCTCTGGCGTGTACCGGCACTGCGGTACCGTAAACGTGCAACTCTCTGACCAGACTCGTCGGTTGTCCAATGAGCTCCTCCCGGTACGTGTACTTTTCGGTGCACTTTCGTAGACGCAACAGGGCAACAAGAATGTCCTGCTTCGGGTCCTCGTACGCAAGGAACGTTTCCCATCCGCCGTTGGCTGTGTAGTCTCGTCGCACCAGCTCGATCTGGTTCGGCCTAATCTTGTTCTTGACCTCGTTCACACCAACCTCGCGCGTCCTCACATCTCGACATGTTGTACCGAAATCCTTCATTCTCGCTAGTGCCAGTTCGCGCAAATTGCCGTTCTCTACACCAGACGTGACCAGGGGCATGGGGATATCTCTCTGAACACGGTAGATACGTGTCCATGGCGGGATTAGGGCCAGAATTCTTGCCACGAGATCGATCAACCCGTTGGGAGTGTAGTTCTGGTAACGGCCCGTGCGCCACAGCTCATACAAGCCAGTGCCTCTGATGACGAGAGTTGGGTAAATCTTAAGACCATCCGTACGGAACGCAGGGCTCTCAAAGTACTCCCGGAACTGATCCAGATCTCTCTCCATACCCACGTTGGGCAAGTCAGGCATCATGTGGCTGACTACCTTGAAACCAGCATCCTTGGCCAAGCAGAACGTCTCGGCGACGGCAGCAACAGTGTGACCACGGTTCGTGTCTCTTGCGACGTCTTCGTACAGCGACTGGACTCCAATTTCCAACCTCGTGCAGCCATAGCGCAGCATGTCCGTCAGGTGCGGCTGCCAACAGTAATCCGGCCTCGTCTCGATCGTGATACCGACGCACTTGATGTTGCTCATCTCGCTGGCCTCCACTGCCTCGTCCACGTTCGATGTCTGGTATCCACTGAGCGCATTGTGTAGCTGAGCGATAAAGTCCTCCCTGTACGGCACCGGCAGTGACATGAATGTGCCACCCATGATGATGTACTCCACCTTGTCGACCGAGTGGCCGAGAGACTTGAGCTGGTCGACACGGCCGCGGGCCTGCTCGAAGGGGTCGTAACGTGCGCGAATCGCTCGCATCGACGTGGGCTCGTACCCGGTGTATGATTGTGTGCTATATTCGAAATCGGAGTCCGGGCCGCCGGGGCAGTAGACGCAAATGTTACCTGTGTAAGCGATGTGCGGACATCTGTGAGGCTTGCACATGACGGCCACTATGGCGATACCCGATGATGTTCCTGGCCGGTACAGTGAGCATGCGCCTGTTCATGGAGGAAGACGTGGAAGACAACATACGGATTGGCTTCGCAATGAGCTTCGGCAGGATGTACTTTTTGTAGTGCTCAGGAATTGCAGCAATAATGGCAGTGAGTGGCGGGATATTGGCGAGCTTGTGCTTCCTCGAAAACTTGTTGCGCAAAGAATTGAGGTTGAGATCCTTTGGCGGGTTCTTGGGGTCCCTGATGGCTTCATGGTCTTCGATTAGGGCGTTGGCGACATCGGCGCAGCATCGTAGGAAGCGCTCGTTCTCGGGGGGGAGGTTGTCGTTCTTGAACCGCCCCTTGGTGACGGTGACGGTGGTGGTCGCCATCTTTGGGGAGAATGGGGGGGTATCTGAGTTTAGTGTGTGTTCGTCTCTTCGGTCGTTCGTTGTGTGTAACGGTGATAGCTCGAGGTTGAATTATTCGTGTTCGCCGTAACTTTGCCCCCGTAGCGTCAAGTCGTCAGAGTCATAAGTCGGAGCGAAGTTGGGGTTTGGAGAGATGACTGTCCGTTCTCTTTGAAATTTTGGAGGAAACCGTCAAATGCAAGTTGCTGGGTGGTGGGGTAATCAGCCACAACTTGAACTCATTGCGCGACGCCACACGTCAAATCTGCATGTCAAAGCCGGTACGTACCGTCCCATGCAGGAGGGGGTGGCAGGTACGACTGGCAGGGTGCCCTTCGGTGCCTTCCCATCTTGAGCCGTGCTGATTGCCGCGGCTTCGATTGGTCCGGCCGGATCATCATCTCTGCCGAACGACCGAACCCACTGTGGAATTGGCCACGGGTTTTCCCGGGCGTTCGGGTCCCGTGCTTCCCTCGTGGAGTCGTGGCTCGCCTGCTGCAGACCCGGTTGTCTCGCAAAAGAAGCGAAAGAGCTCGGTTCAAGTTTTGCTGCTGGCCTTCCCCTACTGCGAGTTTGACCCTTCTTTCGGAAAGTGACGTGAATTTGCATTGCAGCACCTGCACAGCTCTATCTTCATCTTTTTCCCCTTCCCCCACGATAGCCGCCCATCTCCATCCTCTTTCTCCAAACGAGATCCTCCTCCGAATACCAACACTTCCTTTAATTGGCGCTGCGGTTCTTTCGAAGCTGCGCTGTTCCACGTCTTTACACACACATCTACCTACACATATACACATCGCCCAAGATGCAGTCCCTGAGACAGATGCGGCCGACAGGCAAGCTCCTGAACCAAGCCGCCAAGCGTGCATACAGCGCCTCTGCAGCTGGCCCTTACACCAAGACCATCGACAACCTGCGCATCAACTCCGAGACCAAGGTGCTTTTCCAGGGCTTCACTGGCAAGCAGGGAACGTAAGTGGTGTTATCTTCCTCCGACGCCCGAGGGGCCGACTAGCACACGTTTTCCCACCCCTGTTTGGGTGTTTGGTGTTTTGGGGGGAGGCATATCTGGCGATATTTATTTGTCCGCGCCTACGCAAGATAGCCACGAAGAAGTTCAGACCAGCTAACACGGTTTGCGACACAGTTTCCACGCGCAACAGGCCATCGACTACGGTACGCGATAATAACTCCGAAGCAATTGCGCGACCCATATCTCTCTCGCGCATCGCAAAACCTTGCTAGGAAATACTCCGAGACTGATATCAATGGACATGAATAGGCACCAAGGTCGTCGGTGGAACGAACCCCAAGAAGGCCGGTCAGGAGCATCTCGGTCTCCCCGTCTTCGGTAACGTCAGCGAGGCCGTCAAGGAGACTGGCGCCGATGCCACCGCCATCTTCGTCCCGTATGTTTACTCCACGATGCCGTAAACAAGATCACTTGGGAGAGCAGGATGTTGACCTAGAAACCAAACAGCCCCCCTCTGGCCGCCGCCGGTATCGAGGAGGCCATTGCCGCCGAGATTCCCCTCGTCGTTTGCATCACTGAGGGTATCCCCCAGCATGGTATGCTCCCCCTTTGCGGTCTCTCAGTTCCTTTGAAGCTTCAAAGCTTTAGAAGCGTTTGATTCTTTGAAGCAATTTCGCACCTCGAATACTCACCATACCCCAGACATGGTCCGCATCACCAACATGCTGAAGACGCAATCCAAGACCCGCCTCGTCGGCCCCAACTGCCCCGGCATCATCGCCCCCGGCCAGTGCAAGATCGGTATCATGCCCGGCTTCATCCACAAGCGCGGCCGCATCGGTATCGTCTCCCGCTCCGGCACCCTCACCTACGAGGCCGTCAACCAGACCACCCAGGCCGGCCTTGGCCAGTCCCTCGTCGTCGGTATCGGCGGTGACCCCTTCAGCGGCACCAACTTCATCGACTGCCTCAACGTCTTCCTCAAGGACGAGGAGACGGACGGCATCATCATGATTGGTGAGATTGGTGGTTCCGCCGAGGAGGACGCTGCCGACTTCCTCCGCGCCAACAACACCGTCAACGGCGGCAAGCCCGTCGTCTCCTTCATCGCCGGTATCTCCGCGCCCCCCGGCCGCCGCATGGGTCACGCCGGTGCCATCGTCTCCGGCGGCAAGGGCGGTGCCGACTCCAAGATCTCCGCGCTCAAGGCTGCCGGCGTCATTGTCGAGCCCTCCCCCGCCGGCCTCGGCAAGGCCCTCTACGACGAGTTCGTCCGCCGCGACCTCTTGTAAAAACAACCACATCATATCTTCGAGACGTTGAAGGGGGAAAGCTTCAGCTGTGTATGTAACATGTTAAAGAAGAGAGTTTTGTGTTGAGAGCGTAGTCACCGGGATGGGAAACACCAAGCTTTCTTTCTCGCCTTGCATCGAGTGGGATGCGCCGAGTGTGTGTGTGTGTGTGTGTGTTTGAACATGTTGCCCCAAATAACTTGATATAGACTGGAGGTTGGGCTAGGACAACAGGGCAAACAAACGAAGGAGAGTGGAAAGAATGGGAAAGTTTTAAAGAAGTTCCCCAGAATTTCGGAAAGAGAAACACTGCGGATCATCTCTCCCACTCCCCTACCTTCTCCCGTTTTGTATCTCGAATTCCCCAAGCTTACAAACAATTTTTTTTACTGCAAGATATGTGCAATGCTACCCGCTATCCCGATCCTCTGACCTCATTCGTTGCGCTTCGCGCCATCTCGGCATGTAGGGCCTTGCCGTCGTACGACTCCCCATACAACCCCCGAGTAAAATCAACAAGGGTCCCGCCTCCGAACCCCGAGGGGAAGCGGCTTCGGCCCAGAAAAACTGGAGACCAGTGGCCGGAGGAAAGGATGCAGCCTCCATGTTGGATGATGTGATTTGAGTTGCCAGCTTCTAAAGCCGATGCGACCTTGAATGCCAGAAGCATACATAAGCTAGGGCTACCTGTGTGTATCTTACAGAAAACACTCTTGCTGGAAAGCTGCTGGAAAGCAGTGATGGATGAAGAGTAGAACAGACCAAACGTCCCATGTGCAAAAACAGAAAACGCCAAAAGTCCGCGATGCGGAACTGCCAGAGCCAAACGCTCAGGCAGGTAAATACTCCGTGCCCCGTTCAAACCAACCGTCCCTATTCCCGCCTGGATACCAGACATGCGACACGTTACCGTCAAAGCAAAAAGGTTCATACGGTCGCGCAAGTAGTGAGTCCTCGAAGGCAAAACCCAGGGCCTTTCGAGCCCAGTGAGGTGTGCTCCGAGTTCCCTCAACCGCAACGCCGATGAACCATTCGCCGTGAAAGCCAGAATTCCACTAATGCCCAAGTCTAGATGTAGACCAACTCCATATTCGATGCAATGCTGCCCGTCGTTTCATGATTTGCCGTGCTCGTCACTTTGTACTCATATTGCCCTCGGATCAATCGAGATTGGTGGCCTGGTAGCCCTCGACCTCGGTCGAACGATCCACCGGGCGGCCTCTTTTCGGGTAGTTGAATCATTGCTCGCCGAGGAGGTGGGCGGTAATGTCACCAAGATATGCCTCTTCCAGTTCGTAGTCCATGCCACCATTGCGGTCGATGCCTATGAAGGTGAAGGCTTCAACGACAGCATCGAGCTCAAATCCCATGCCGACAAAGCGGTCGATGAGATCCTTATTGTAGCCAGCATACCTGTAATTATGTCAGCCTTGTCCCCTGATGCATATCTCCTGTGCTGTGTAGCCTCTGTCTAGCGTACAGCTGGCTCTTGCGAACGCACCTGTTTACGTCATCTTCCTTTGCTTCGGAAGCAACCTGCTTGTACTTTGTTGTGTCAAATTCCTTTGACGGTGCACCGGCGTACTTAACAGCCCACTCGTTTGCCTTTTTCGCAAACCCCTCGGGGTTCTCCAGCATCATCTTGGCCACCTCTGCGTCTTGGGGGTCCTTTGGGTTGGGGAACTCGAGCAGCATGCGAAGGGAAAGCAAAGCCGTCTTGATCGTCTGTACTGGAGACCAGCCACTACCGAGTGTGTCCAGACAGATAGCACCCTAGTTCAGTCAGCATCTCTAGTACTAGTAGTAGTCAAGGAGGGCATGTATGTTGTGGAAGAAGACGGTAAAGGCACCACGAGGCGATAGGGAAGAGACGTACAGTTTGACTGCTGACATTAGGGTGCCAGATCTTGGTGATGAACTTGATGGTGGGAGACTTGAAGGGGTAGCTGTCGGGGATCTTAATATCGACTTCGTACAAGCCTCCGGCGTAGGGTGTATCGGGAGGTGCGGGAAAGGAACCCTTGAGGTGGAGCAAGTTGGCCTCATTGATCGGCTGGGCAAATACTCCAGAGTTGTCCTTGTCGTTGCGAATGTCCATCAGCTCCTTGCCGATTCGTCGCTCCTTCGGGCTGAGGGAAGGGGTGGTAGCCATGGTGCAACTGCTTTGCGGGATCGTTGGGGGTTTGGATCGGTATTCCTTAGCAATAAGGTCGGTAGCAGTGAAGAATATGGGCGTGTATTTGTAGTGTATTCGTTGTATTGGGGTTTGAACTGTGTGGTTCGAGGTAGTGATGTGTTGTTGTTTGGTGTTTCTCGGGGAGAGAACGAGGCAAGGTTGGTTGTGTTGGTGTTGGCAAAGGACCGTTCGGCGTCGGAACCCAACTTCCAGTCGCAGCTTGCCTCGCCTGAGAGGAGAAGGAGCCGACGGACGTGCCCCTCCCCCCTTCAGCGACAGATGATGCTGGAATGGTCCGTGCAAAGCCCACTACCGCACCTTAGCGCCCTGGGATTGTCAGGGCCGTCAGCCTCCAGGGAGCTGCTTGGCGCCTGGCCCGTTGGAAGAGCTGCGGGAGAAGGCGGGGTCGGGAACCTACAGTGCAACACGGGAGGTACCTCCAAGCTTAGGTAAGGCAAGGTAAGCACCACGGGACCTGTCATTTTTACCGTCTGGTTACACCAACGAGACTCTATCAACATTTCTCTAATTCTGAATATCCAAGGTCATCAAAGCAATAGAACAGCCTGTGATATACAAAGAAACACGTATCTTTCGTGAACCTGATTGGTGAATATCTAGGGACTGGGGTTGACTTTGGCAAACTCATCAGGAGCCATGACCTTCGGTGTCACCGAGGCCTCACTTACACAGACGTGACAGATAGCGATCAGCTAAACTCTGTGTGAGAGGGCAGCTAGATTCTGGCAACCGCCTCTGCTCCCAAGTGTGTGCTAGAGTCTCCAAATGATCTATATAGTTCTAGAAGAATTAACAACACGCCGCCAGTGTCTAAGTAGCATTCATCTTGCACCCAGTTGGATGTGTTCTCCCGAACTCGCTCGGTTCTTTTAACATACGGCACAACGAAATGGACGAGAATCACCGCTGAGATGCACTCTAAGACATCAGTCAAACAGCAGCTCAACAATCGGGAACTGATTACCATAATATATCTTCCGACTTTTAAGTATAAGAAACGTGTTAGCGAGTTTACAATTTGTAGAGGTTATTCGGTTTTGCAATTGCCTTGATGTCATCCATCTTTCCATTCTAGATAGATCTTGCGGGTCACTCATTAACGTAGCGAGTTTTTCCAGCTAGTATAGATCCTGTTATCAAATCTTTATAAGTACATAAGTCAGGGAGGTATCCTACTTGCTATGTCGTTTCAGAAAGGGAGTTCTTGATAACTTTACTACAGTTTGGCGTAAGTCGTTAACTGTGTCCGGGTCAGTGATTTTGGTAAGGATCTGGGCTACTTTCAACACTGTAGAGAAGCTGGCCATCATTAGTTCATCCAACATAAAGGAAAGAGAAAAAAACTGAAGACAAATACGTGATCATTCATTATTTCGATCAAGGTAGATGTTTCTTTCTCTCTCGTTCTCAGAGGCAGGAATTCTAGACCTAGGCCGGCCCTTCTCTCGTTGAGGTGTGGATCCGAGGGAACATGACTCAGCAACTCTGCCTGGATAAGCCTCCGATAAGTCACGTGACTCCGGATCCACCCTTACCGAATCCGGCCTAAGTGACACAGGGAAGCTGAGCGTCGCGTTTCTCTGCCGCCTGCAGCAGTGGCCCCGGTGCTACGCATTGATTACCTACGCAAGCAGCAGCAGCCTTGCCTTCCATTGCTCCCCTGCGCTTCCATCTCCATCTCCGGAACCCACCTACTACCATCATCATCACAAGCTCATTGACGACACTTCGACACCTCCCCGAATCAGAGGATCGCCTGTTTTCCGTCCCATCAACACAGAAAAGCCGTCTGCAACCTCCCACTGAGCTCTTGGAGCTCCCCGTGCCACAAGATGGTAAGCATCGCTGTCCGAAACGTGGCAACCACAATCTAACAGCTCCGTAGGGTCAAAACCAGTCAGGAATGGGTGGTGGAGGCGATGGAAAGGACGAGAAGGATAAGAAGGTATGCCAACCGAATTCTAAAAAACCAAAAGCAAAAGGTGAACACAGACTGACTGGCGGTGCAGAAGGAGAAGCCTAAGTACGAGCCTCCCCCACGCCCTACCACCAGAGTCGGTCGCAAGAAGAGAAAGGCGGCCGGCACCAGCGCCGCTGCGAAGCTCCCTGCCGTCTTCCCCACCAGTCGATGCAAACTCCGCCTATTACGAATGCAGCGAATCCACGATCACTTGATCCTCGAGGAAGAGTACGTCGAGAACCAGGAGCGCCTCCGCAAGGCCAAGGCCGTCAAGGAGGGTGCTGCCGTCGGCCCCGAGGGCGATGTCGACCGCATGGCCGACGAGCGTGGCCGCGTCGACGATATGCGTGGCAGCCCCATGGGTGTCGGCACATTGGAGGAGATGATTGACGATGATCACGCCATCGTTAGTAGCACGACTGGTCCCGAGTACTATGTTAGCATCATGAGCTTCGTCGACAAGGACCTGCTGGAGCCCGGCGCCAGCGTCCTGCTCCATCACAAGAGCGTCAGCATTGTTGGTGTTCTGACTGATGATGCCGATCCTCTGGTTAGTGTGATGAAGCTGGACAAGGCCCCGACGGAGTCATACGCCGATATTGGTGGTTTGGAGCAGCAGATCCAGGAAGTCAGAGAGTCGGTCGAGCTTCCTCTGCTGCATCCGGAGCTGTACGAGGAGATGGGTATTAAGCCGCCCAAAGGTGTCATTCTCTACGGTGCTCCCGGTACCGGCAAGACGCTGCTCGCCAAGGCTGTTGCCAACCAGACGTCTGCCACTTTCCTGCGTATAGTGGGAAGTGAACTTATCCAGAAGTATCTCGGTGACGGTCCCCGTCTCGTCCGCCAGTTGTTCCAGGTATGATTATCTTTGTTACCTTGCTGAGCCAACCAATCGCTAACAAGTTCAGGTTGCTGGCGAGAATGCCCCCTCGATTGTCTTCATTGACGAGATCGATGCCATTGGAACGAAGCGTTACGACTCGACGTCTGGTGGTGAGCGTGAAGTCCAGAGAACCATGCTGGAACTTCTCAACCAGCTTGACGGTTTCGACGACCGTGGTGATGTCAAGGTCATCATGGCCACCAACAAGATTGAGACTCTCGACCCCGCCCTGATTCGTCCCGGACGTATCGACAGAAAGATTCTCTTTGAGAACCCCGATCAGAACACCAAGCGTAAGATCTTTACGCTTCACACATCCAAGATGTCGCTCAACGACGATGTCGAGCTCGAAGAGTTCATCTCGCAGAAGGACGACCTTTCCGGTGCCGATATCAAGGCCATTTGCTCAGAGGCTGGTCTCCTGGCTCTCCGTGAACGACGTATGCGCGTCCAGATGGCAGACTTCCGGTCGGCCAGAGAGAGAGTCCTTCGCACCAAGCAGGAGAGTGAGCCCGAGGGCTTGTACTTGTAGTTTGTATGACGAGGCTAGACTACTACGATAGAGATAATGGCAAGGCATGCCTTGACGTTACTTGACGTTGACTTGGCATTGATTAACGACATGACATGGATTGTTTGTGTTGCAGCGTGAAGTGATGACTACGCGAAGCATGTTGTGAAGCAACCGAAAACTGAAGACTATCGAACCGTAAGTTTTCAGTGCAAGGCTTCTCGATGCCCATGAGAGCCATCTATTATAAGCATCGAAGGAGGACCCCGGTTTGAAGCTACATAAAATACCATCTGCCGACATGAAGCAGATTGGTGGAACGGAGGCCCTTACTAAGACGTCAATATCTCTCCGTAAACTAACGGAAGTGTACCAGGGTCTCAACGGTGAAATTGACCGCTGGCCTGCAGAGTGGCAACCTCGACGATAGAGACAGCGTGATGTCCAGACGAACTTTACTGATGGCATTCGAGACTCGATAGCAGTTCTTGTATACCTACTTGGCTTGACAGCCTCGACCGGGCTCTTTTTGCATTGAATGAACGGAGGTCTAGACCTCACGGCCGCTGTTCCGAAAGGGACGGCATCCCTGACATGTGCGGCTGGTGAGCGTCCAGGAGGTTCCCGGCCTGCGAGGCGAAGTCCCGGAAGCTTGATCTCTTAGTCGATTCCCCCGCACTTGACATTTGGATTGTGGTTGGCAAAGCTGCGAAATGGAAAATGGAAATTCGTGATATCTTGATATCGTGCTGTAGGAAACTATTTTGACAGTCTAATGTTGCGCGCCATAATCCGTGATCCCAAAATGAAGAAATAATGCCCAACTACTACAAATGAAATATGGCTAAAAGAACGACAAACCACGCGCAAACAACTCGAATCACAACTTAGTATCCCGCGCGCCTAAGCCTCTCCTTCTCATCTAAAACAGGCTCGTCCTCAGCATCCTTGGGCGCGTTCGTGATACCTTCTTCTCCTCCACCGTACGCATTCAAATTCAACTGCGACGCCACAGAAGGCGTATACGCCGGCGCAGGCACATCATCATCCTCCATCGGCGGCGGCGGCGTAGCATCCCCCGGCGGTCCCATCATCGCCACCTCCCTCGCAATAGCCGGATCCATCGCATACCGTCCCTCAAGCGCCATCAACATCTGCCAAAGCGGCATCGACCCCTCGGGCCACTCGGCCTGCGTCTGCAGAATCTTCTTGGCCGAGATGCGTCGGTCCGCGTAGGCCACGCTGTTGCAGTCCTGTCGCGCGAGGATGATTGTCCCGTCGATCTGTACGCCCGCCCAGAGCCCGCGGGACTTCATGTAGCTGTACATTGGTCTCGCTGTCTTTGAGACGGCGGCTTCGACGGCGCCGCCTGTGCCTACGGGTCCGATGGCGACGGAGGCTTCTGTGCCGAGGGAGACGCGCGGGTGCGTGAAGGCTGCGACTTGGGCTGCTGTGTTGAGGACGAGGACGCAGTCGTAGATGTCGAGGCCGAACATGAAGCCTGCGCCGAGGGTGGATACAACGAAGGAGGATGGGGGGGACCATGTTCCGTCCGGTCTGCGCGCGACGACGATGCCTGAGCCGGCGGCTAGGGAGCCCATGTAGGCCCCCGCGCGGAGGGTGTTAAAGATGGCGAGGCCGGCGCAGTGGGCTAGGACCTGGTGGGGGATGGTTACCATTGATCGGCGGGTGATGCCGAGCGGGTGGAGGGGCGCGGAGGTTCCCTTTGATGAAGGGGGTTCTGGGCCGAGGGCGGTGAAGGCGTGGAGGATGCGTGCTGCTTTTGCGCACTCGCGGGGCATGGTTTGCGGGAACCAGCCTTCTGCGCCGACGAGGTTGGCGGCTTTGTTGAAGGGGATGCCGGCTGTTGTCGTGATCTTGTGGAGGTTTGCGCCGAAGCCTTTGCCGGGGGGTTTTACGGCGGGAGGAGCTCTCTCAGTGGTACTGTTCGTGCGAGCTCGATGGAGGGAGGAGAGGGTGCGGGTTAGGGAGAGGCGGCGGGAGATTGTTGAACGGGCCGAGGAGGAGGAGGAGGAGGGGGTTGAGTGGAGGGAGTGGGTGTCTGCTTCGGCTTCGTGGATTTGGGCTGGAGCCTGGGAGGGCTTTGGTTCTGTGATGAGGGTCATGGTGATGTTTGGGTGTTGGTGATGTTGGAGTTGTGGTCGTGTAAGTCGATGTTAAGGATATCGAGATGTCGAGATGAACTGGGTATTGTCTTCCAAGCTTTGACTTACAAGTGTTTGCTTGTCTAATGTGTTTGGTAGAGAGAAAAGAAAATAATCCCAACTTGAGCGGTGCTCACGAGCATGTTATATACATTCTTCGTCTCAACAACTCACCTCACTCGAGGCGTGAAGCAGTGAGAGGCGTCATCAGGGATCGCCCCTTCAGCCAAGCCAACAACCTCTAAGTTGGAAGTCGGGATGGCGCTGCACCTGCGCGCCCACAGCTCAAGCTCGCCCGGCCGGCGGGAATAGTGTGTGGCACTCATAGCAAATGCAAAGGGGAGGGGCCGAGAAAGGAGTCTCGCCTCGCGAAGATGGGTTCCAAGACGGCGAGAGGTGAGACGGCGACCGGGGGTGGTGGACGAATAGAGGAGAGAATGAGATCGACGGGCCAATGGGAGTTTGTCCGGTGGAAGGGGAGGTGCTGAGTGCTGGGTAATGATTCATGCTTCTTGGCGTCTGGGCGTCCGGCTGGGCGAGAGATGTCTATGAGAAGAAAACGTAGGTTATGGTCGGAATGGTCACTCGGAGGCGGAGGGACTTGAGTACGGAGCGAGAAGAGGACATGACGGACAAGATGGGGATGAGGAATAGAAGCACTAGGGCTTGGCAATGTGAGAAGACGATGAGAAATGGACGCGGGGCAATCAATCATCCCATGTCCACGACAACTACGGCTACTCAAAAAGAAAGAAAGCTTGGGTTTGTGTTTTACGTTTCATGTGACTGCGTTTTTACCAGTCCAGCCCCTCAAGACTCTTGGAGATGGACTTGAATTGGGATGAAATGTAGTGCCTTACTCCTCCTCACCCCCATCTCGGTAGAAAGACGACCAAAAGACAATGCTGGCGCAGCAAGAGTGAGACGGAGAGTTTGGCAGCATCTCATGGTGTGTGTAACTGTCAGAAACGCGCAAGTGTCCTCGCGGTCTTGAAAACTGCCTGATAATTGGGTGTCGATAGGAAGCTTGGCTAAGATGACCAAGATGATTCTGTCCTACATTGTTCCAAATTTACCGTCCATGGTAAGACGAGAAGTGCGCGGTTCGGTGGAACTTTGAAGTCCTCGCGGGATTGCAGGTGGCCGAAGTTAACGGCGGGAGGCCGAAGCGCGGCGGAAAGGCGAGGTGGGGCTTGGGGGGCTGTGGGGGCGCGGGATGGACCCGCTTTCAGCCAGCCGGAAAATTAGAGTTCGGCCAGTCAGATCCAGAGGGTACCTAGAGCCCTAATCCTGCTCGATCTTCCATCAAACAGTCTCTATGGCTCAGTCGGTAGAGCGTTGGTCTCATATCAAATACATATGACTCTAGATTATCTAGGGGTTATCCAAAGGTCGCAAGTTCGAGCCTTGCTAGGGACACTCAATTACTTTTGCGTTTGCTTCCAAATTAGATAGTTTTGAGCTGGGATTCGATTTACATTCATTCTTTGGCAATTTTTGCACATTGTGTGTGTTCTTGCTGCGCGGCGGTGGTCGTCGTTGATACAGCGGTACTCACAACAGCCAACCAGGAACAGGGTCCGTCCGTCGCAAAGCAACAAACCCAAGGTTCCGCATGACAAACAACTTGAGGACTTCCCTTCTGCTATTCGTTCTTTTAGATACATGAAATCACCGAGATGTGCACATGGGACCTGGATGATTTTGATGCGTCATATCCAATTGATATGTGTAGATTGATAGGGCGCGGGAACGTCCGTTCGCGCGCTCAATCTTTGAGGTCTCCATGCCGACTGTTCGATGACGAGCAGTCTGCAGACGAGGTAAACAATTGAAAGCCTCGCTGAACGAGACCTTTCGCTGTTGTTCCCTTCCCGTCTGCTCGGGGCTCTGCTGTAGAGGTCGAGAGTCGCAACGGAAAGGCGGCCAATGAACCCACGAATGGGCGACACGCGCCTTCGCGAGCGACACCGATCGTCTCCCAATGATTCCCTGGAAATTATTTGTAGTTTTAACGTGGTCGATAGATATATCTCCACTGCGCAGCTCTCTCATCTGCTTTTGGCGCAGCTCAAATGCTGAGCGAGGTTGCCCGTGCCTCAAAGGCCCCTTCTCGCTATGCCACCACGTTCATGACGCTTCCAAAGTTGCGCGTTGTATTGCTAGAAGACTTGAAAATCCCCGTCGTATGGTTCCACGCGTCTTGTGCTACGCGGTGCCTGGAGTGAAGGGCACATATGGGTTTTCTTACCGAAGGGTGGAACCCTCAGTATAACCGGGTTGTGTTGTCTCGAGGACCGACCGGCCGCCACAACACTCCTGCTAGAACAGAGCTGAGCCGCGGCCGAGCTTTGAGCGATCGAGAGTTTGAAGCGTATTTCTGCACATCCTGAGCCGTTGTCAAGAAGTTGCACTATCGCCTGACGCTCTCCCAACGCGTCGTTGCGTGATTTTGGAGATACATCCTCAGAACAGGGTCGCTCAGGAGGGGGCCGCTCTTGATTCCGAGGCTCAGTCTGCACCATTTCTGTAGACTAATCTCTCAGGTGAGTCTAATCTGAGTCGAATCCTCGAATGCGTCATCCCGGTGGCTCGCCCAATCGAAAAAGGTCAAGCTTGAAGTTGGCGCCAGTAGGAGGTTGCGTCCTCGGAACACTCTCAATCGGAACAGGCTTGAATGGCTCAACCTGCCGAATATCGACACCTTCCCGGATACACCGCAGAGGCCACTGAATCCACTCTCTCCAAGGCTCCTGAATAGCCTGATCCAAAGCCGAGGCGACTACGCTGCCCCATCCGACGAGGTACCACATATTTCGCTCAAAGGCATGCACCAGCGCCGCGTAGTGCATGAGGATGACGAGGGCCATCGGGTGGTTCTGGCTCATCAGCTCCAGGAAGGGCTGCGGGAGGGAGACGGCCCAGCGCCAAACGAGACCGGACCTGTGTTGCGGGGTGGAAACTGCGGCAAAGGTGATTTTAAGGCCTTCGAGCGCGGATTGGCAGGTTGTTGTGTCGTCTGAGGGTGCCATACTCCGCGTGAGGTTGAGGAGGTCGTCGATTTTGGAGGCAAAGTTGCCTCGGACGGCCGGCTCGACGCCGCCTTGGTAGAGCCAGCGGACTAGCGGGCCGTTGGAGATGTATCGGTGGGCGAACGGGAGTGTGAGGATGCTCTTGATTCCTTGGATGGGTCAGCACGGCAATGATTTGAGTCTTGCGAGGTCCTAACCTTGCAATAGGATGAAGGACTGGGCGACGTCCTTGGAGGTGATGGGCCCATGGGGGTTCGCGATGGAGTAGGTGTTGAGCAGGAAAATGCATATTGCGTGGAGTACGTAGGCATCTGCGTTGTTTTCGCCAATCTCACTCAGTCCTGGTGAGAACTGACTCAGGGCGATGTTCTGATGGCGTGCTGATAAGTTGGCGTACTCGTCCCTTTTCTCAGCGTTGAGATGGGCTCTATGGATAGCTGATACGGCGAGGATGCCATGAAGGAGGAAGTCCTGGTAGGCTTAGCTGAGTGCAAGGACGTGTATAGAAGAGTACCTACGTTGGCGAATGCAATCTGAGGGACAGTCGTGGTCCACAAATGTACAAAGTCTGGATTCTCAGAGAGGGTATGAGCCGTGTTGGAGGTAAAGTGATGGACGAGTTGCATGTCGGTGAGCCAATCGGCTTGTGAGATACCCTGAGCCTCTCCTGAGTCGCCATGACTTGAGCCGTTGGCCGGGCTTGAGTAGTTGTCATGGCCATTTTGGTTGAGGGCGTCTACTTCAGCCGTAAACTCTGACAGCAGCCCTTGGATAGCGGCGACCTTGTCTTTTAACGAAGACAATTGAGGCGAAGGTCTCTCGCGCCGGCTGGCTGGGCGACTGGTTGTCGAAGCTTCCCCGATACTGCCTGGCGTGGCGGTACTCGCAGCATCTTGAGCTGGTTTTGGCGACTCAGTCACGGGAGGAAGCTGAGGTGCGAATGGCGTCAGAACAAGACTACACTTGACGTCGTGCCGTACACAATTGCGACATGGCCGACTCTCATCGCACTGAATATTGTTAGTTAACGGTTGAAGTCACCTTGGACCTCATCTGAGTCTCCAGCCTCAAGGGGTAGGCTTGGCGTGGCTTGCTGCAGAGACCAGGGCCTATGATGAGTAAACTGACCTTGACGCGCCGTTTCTTGCACTGTTGACAGCCATTCCTCGACTTCTTGTGACCTATACGTGTTCCGCGTATCGCGGTGCCCATCTTTGGCCGTTCAACGCCGTTCTCCAGAGCCGCCACTTCGTCCTTGAGCGAGGCGGTGGACCCCTTTCTTTCCGGCGCGCCGTTCATGGCATTTGACTCGGTCTCCATACGGGGTACACCTTTCAGAATGACAAGCACCAGCCGGGGAGTCACCGTTTAACTCGTAAGTGGGAAGAAACTCTTTCACTTCTCCCTCCAATGTTCCCGGGGGCTGCAATGAGATGTCTCAAGGGTTGTTTTGGCGCTTGGACAAAGAGATGCAGTCCAAAATCGATTATCTGATCCCCAAGCTCGGTGGCGCCGCTTGTCATACTGCCGGGCTGCAGGACGCAACTAAGTTAACGCCAGCAGCCAGTTCCAAGCGTAAGAGTCGCGCGGCCCGGGGCCCATGCACTCGCAGTTGCAGATAGAGCATCCGCAACACCGTCGGCAAATCTGGAGTGCGTCGATGACGAACGTCACAAATGCGATCAAGATTCAAGATGCGATCAAGATAACGCGAGGGTGGTGTTTAAAATAGAGAAATGATGGAATTGTCAGCCTGACAGGGTTTTGACAGATTGAACGTTGCAGGTGTCACAGATGAAAGGGTCTCGAGACTGTCAGGGACTCAGGGACCGGCAAGCTTCCCGAGTTGCTCCTGCCACTTCGTTGCTCTCCTGGAACTGGACCTCAAGCTGGCAGTTTCCGTTCCGCGCCGGCCGAAACAGCACGTGACCGTAAGTTTTGAAACGGCATGAGCTGAAGAACGGACGGAGAGAATGGTCCCTCCGTTTTGTGCAGATCTGCGCACGGATGCTTCATCTCTGGATGGCCCAAGCTCCCCTCCTTTGCGGGGGGGGGGGGGCGACGAGAACTCCGTACGTATCGTATAGCTTCAGCCATCAGGGTTGATGTGGCTGATGCTGCGACGTGTGGCTTGCGCACTAGATCCCTCATTTCTCTGCGGGGCAGGTACTTCCATTGTCAGGGACCAGCTGAACGCAGGCACGCAGTGCTAAATTACGACCTGCATGACGCGCCCATGTCCTGAAGGCTGAGGGTGGTGAGGTCAGGAGCGGCTTGCACGGTTACCTTCAAGCCCAGCTCCCCTCCTGTTCGCTCCTCAGCCAAAGAAAGGAGGTCAACGTCAGCATCAGCTGCTCCAACCGTCTATTGCCAGCGGTAGCTTCTTGCATCTGTTCAGCCTCAAGTGCCTGCGTCACTCGACCGTCACCGACCTGCCGCTATCCCCCGAGCCAGTACCTACCAAGTACTCCGTCGCATAATTGCTGTGCTACGTATAGTGTCTCTCCCGTCTCTCCCTGCGAGCGCCCACCAACCATTCGACCGACCCCTCTCGAATCGCAGCATCACGTCCATCCCTGGGAAGCTAAGAAGAAGCGCCGGTTTATACTCCGTAGATTGAAGAAAAAGGAGACGTCCCCAGCGAACCCTGATCGTCCGCCTCTCCTCCTACAACATCCCTGACGCCCAGCCACAATCAACGACCGTCCTCCACCACATATCCCTAGACCAATTGTCCAGCATGGCATCGCATAGCGACTACAATGACATCAAGGCCTCGGCCAAGGATAATGCCGCTGGCGTCTATGCCTACGGCCAGCGACAGATCAATCGGGTCGTCAGCTCCGACACCAGACAAATAGCGTATGGCAATGCCTACAACTTTGCTCAGGAGCAGCCATTCCTCTTCGTGCGTGCAGCCGCCCATACTCGCCCTTCCTCTACTGGTCGACTTCTGCTAACATATTGAAATCAGGCCTTCATCCTCTGCCAATTCATCTTCTCCTTCCTCCCAGTCCTCGTCTTCGTGTCCTTCGCCGCCTCAACCATCGCCTTTGCTCTCGGTGCCGCCGTTGTCTTCTCCCTCTTCTGGATCGGCATCGCCCTCCTCGTCCTCGTCCCGACCCTCTTCTTCACCTGCTCAATCGGCGTTCTCGTTTGGATCTGGGCTGCCGGCAGCTTCGTCGTCGCCAAGCGCTTATACGAAATGTCGCCGATCCGGGCTAGGGGCGATCTTGAGGTAGATGCTCCCAATGGCAAGACGTACGCCGTCACGAAGCGTGAGGATGGCGTTCATGCGCAGACCTACAATTGAGTTGGGACATTTGTGTAAACCATGTGTGTACTAGGTAGCATCATACTTCGATGATAAACGGCCGGTTGGCGTTGGGAAAGGCATGGATATCAGGAATGCGTTCGGGAAAGGGGGGCTTGGCTTTTCAAAAGGGTATGGGCGGTATTATGTACTTCCTCCAGGGTTGCGATTTCAATCTTACGGTCTTTCGTTCATCGGCTTGATTTCCAGCGACTGCCTACTTTTCCCTGGTGCCTCTTCCGAATTGTAATGGTAACTCTCCCACATCCACTGGGTAGTTTCGTTAGGCACGTGCTGCGACACCAAATCTGCAAAGTATGTCGCATTGTTCCCCCAGTCGTCGTCCTCTGAGTCCCTAGTCTGTGCATGAACCTTGTAGGCCACGAAAGACAAACAGCTATCAAGGACCACATTTGAGCACTTCTCGATCGAGATTAAAAAACAGCAGTCTGCATGCACTTCTGTTGATCTAAAGATAGGCAGGCCAAAAGTGCAAAATGAAGCATTGGTGCCAACACTGTGGATCGAACACAGGATCCCCGCATTACAAGTGCGATGCCTTACCACTTGGCCATGCTGGCGAATCAGATGATTTTTGAGGCTCAAACTACCAATATGTATGTTCAATTTTGGGGCCGCAGTTCCAGCTTTGGCCGTTCTGCAGCATCTTGAGAATCTTGCGTCCAAGCATCGATTCTCAAATGTCTAATCTCATTCCCATTACCAGTAGTGGTAGAATCAAAAATAACTCTCAAGGCGCGAGGAGTCTATCGGAACAACCCGCAAAGTCTCAACCCCACAAGAGTGTGATTCGAACGAGGACTGATGTAATCTTGGCGATGCCTCCTCCAGATGACGCTGTGAATGATTGGTCGAGGGGGAAGAACGCCTCGCCAACGCAGACGTGCAGAAACGCCTGATTTCTATTGGCATTGCTCCCAACAAGACAGCCAGCCTGCTTGGTATTAGATGTCATTCAGGCCTTCACGATGAGCAGGTTGGCTCTCCAGGCTGCCTCCTTCCTCAATCCTGCATCGCTGTCCACGTCTGTGCTCAGATAGGAGTTAATTGCCAGCGCCGCTAAAATCATTTTGCCAACTCGCACTTCTCTCGATACGCAACACCGACTAATTCCGCCTGTAGTCTTTGTGAACAGCCATTTCTAGTCGGATCCACAAGTATCGATCATCAACATCTCACCCGGAAGAATGACGGTGCCATCGACATGAGCCGCTGGCATGCGGAATGGTGCACGTCGCCTACTGTTCAGGTCGGCGACGATCAAGTCCCTCGATGCATGAATTGTCAGACCACAGCCCACGCTCGACTCAAGACGGCAGACCGGCCAAATCCCGTGCCTCGAATTCCAAAGGACGAAGAATATGGGAGTCTCAACCTCAGCTGGCCACCCACAGTCACGTTCACCTCTGGGGAAAACGCAACCCATCCACCAGCCGATAAGGGAAAAGATGATCAAGAGGCCGAGTTAGCTTCACCTCAATCTTCTGATTCGGTTGTCATCGATCATGACGCCACCACTACGCTTTCATCAGATGAATTCCGCCTTGCTGTTCTCCATGCAGTCGGAGACAGAGGCAAATCGTATCCTATCCATGTGGACTTGGAGTTACACAAGGATACGCAGTTCCCAGACTATGATGCCGTATTGTACACATGGGTCGATGAGAATGGAAACTCCGAGCGGTAAATGAGCATCAGCTATAGCTTGACGGACCTCGGAACTCACTGACTTACGTGTATAGTTGTCATCCGATTTACGTCGGCGATTATTGGGACATCACCTTTCAAACCAAGAACTGCTGCGACATGCTGAGATATTTACGACCATCTCGAGGTTTGAAACTGGTTTGGGTCGACGCAATCTGTATCGATCAGAATAACCTAAAAGAAAGGGCTATGCAAGTGGCCAAGATGGGTCAAATCTACTCGAGATGCTCGCAAGGATGGGCTTGGATGGGCAATGATTTGGTACGAGATGACCTACAAGGCTTACCAGAGCGACGATGGCTTCATGAGCTTGGAACAACGTCAGGTCATACTGTGTCGTCATCGGAAAACAACATGAGCGCGGAACCGCGACGAATGAGCGCTGATATGGATATTTTGAAGCTGTTGAAGCGAAAGTACTTCGGCCGAGTTTGGATCATACAGGAACTGGTGCTCGCCCCGCGTGTTCTCATTCCGATTGGGAACGTGATCTCTGCAGCGGATCATATCACAGCTCGCAAGCTGACAACGTCAGAGAAGGAGTCAGCAAACACGCGCGAGTTTTCTTGGAACGACACGGAAGCTCCTTGGCTCAAGTACATGGCCCAGGGACGTATCGACGGCTCGGGTCTCTGGGAAATAATGGCATTGACCGCAAAGTCAGACGCTTCAGACTTTCGAGATAAGCTGTACGGCATTCTTGGTCTTCTGTCCTTTGGAAGTAATAGCAACCCATTACAACCCAATTACGCTATTTCAGCCCGTCATATGGTTATTGGGTTCTTTGCGCACTGCTTGGTCAACGATAGAAACCCCCAGCTCTTCTTCGCGGCCCAAGGCCATGCTGCCCACGAGGGTGTATCTTGGATTCCTGCTTGGGAGACGCAAAGATCTTGGGAACAAGTATTCGTCGAGCCATTCGAGCTGGTGTATGATTTTTACCAGTCCGGAGCGAGCGATCCCGAGCATCGTATTATTATACAGCTAAAGTATGACCATTTCAAGAGAATCGGAATTCAATTCATCAAGTCGAGCGGAGTTCCATGGATGTCTGTGAATATACGACTAGATGTACTCAAGATGGAAGTGCGCTTCCATGATGAGAGGAACTTGCGCCAAAACTTTTGCCAAATTTATCCTTGGCATCGGGATATCACTGTCGATTCTAACACAGGATCCATCTCATTGTGGCTGACAAGGCTAGCATCCGTCGGCTCGGCTCCTGTGGAGGCACTAGAAGAGTTCATCGACGACTTGACTCTGTACAGGATCAACACTGGCCCAGGTCAGTCGTTCTTGATTGGAAGCCAGCACCCGCTCGATAGGTTGCTAAAACATGATGACGAGCTTTTCGCCTTGGATCGTGAAGTAAAGCTTGGCAGCTCCAACTCAGACCGGCTCGTCTTCATGGTTCTCAGAAAACAGGGCGACGGAAGGCACCGACTGCTGACTTGTTTCTCATACCTGTGTTTCTGCCCTATGCCATGGCTGACTACCTATGAAGAACCCCGGTTTCTCAACGAGCTCCAAGAAAGCGTACAGGTAGCCCGGAGAAAGATAGATAGATATACAGTACAAGTTGGACAAACCGGTGTGCGATAGCGGATTGCCGGGATCGCTGTCCCTTCCCACCTCCGCCGTGCTAGGTGCCTTTCGGCTGGCTTTCCCCGGGAACGAGGACACAGAAGTAGGTCACGTCTTGCCAATTTTTACTGGCCATGAAAGCTTTGAACGGTTGCAAGAGAACGAGGTTTGCGCTAGACGTCGACAACAAGTTATAGAGAACTACCTTGAGTTCGACCTAGAGATTGATTTTGCAACTTGGCAGGGCAATACCGGAGGCCAGGTAGAACGTGTACATCATGCCTTTCCTTCATGGATGGAGTGGGAATGGCGCAGGACCGGGGAGGATCTTTGGCGGAGTTCTAGACTTGCAAACCAACGAAACTCATGAGTATCTAGGACTTCCGGGTGGGATGATGCGAATTCATCTGAGGTGCCGAGTAGAAGCGGTTAGGGAAGTCATTGATATTATGGCCTGAGAATTGGGCATTACGGCGCTCTGGGAATCCCGAGTATTCGGAGACACCTTCGAGGCCTTTGAGAAAAACATTCGTAGCAAGGTAAAGGAAGAGGACTTCTTGGCACCTAATCCTCATCCTGCACGAAACGGAAAGCTCCTCAGGCCTGAAGAGCTTGCAGGGTTGGACGGCGGCGTGTACTGAGTCTGCATTGTCTAGGTAGTCTTCATGATATGTACAAGACTAAATCACTATTCGCATCGAACGCTACAAGCTGTATGTGCCGTGCACATTAAAGTAATCAACACAATTACGTGTATAATTGGTAATCTTATGTCTTGAAGTGAATCGTGACGATAAATGAGAATAGCATTCAGTCATTGGATCCAATCGGAACTATCAGCAACGTGGCTATAATCTTGCCACGTTGGGGCCGTGACTCTCTAATCCTCCTCAGCGGGAACCTCATCCTCGTACTCCTCGGCGTAGTCGTCATCCATGCCCACATCCTGGTACTGTTGGTACTCGGACACCAAGTCGTTCATGTTGGACTCGGCCTCGGTAAACTCCATCTCGTCCATGCCCTCGCCAGTGTACCAGTGCAAGAAGGCCTTTCTCCGGAACATGACGCTGAACTGGTCGCCAATTCTGCGGAAGCTGTTCTGAATCGCGGTGGAGTTGCCGATGAACGTAGACGAGACGTCGAGACCCTTGGGCGGGACGGAGCAGTGGGCTGTCTGGATGTTGTTGGGAATCCACTCAACAAAGTTGGTGGAATTCTTGGTCTTGATGGCGTGGATTTGGTCTTCGACCTGCTTCATGGACACCTTTCCGCGGCTGTTGAGGGGGTTAGAAGTAGCTCAAAGAGCGGGAACCAAAGTGCAACTTACAACATGGTGGAGCAAGTCAAGAAGCGTCCATCTCTGAAGTCGGACGCCAGCATGACGTTCTTGGGATCGAACATTTGCTGCGTGAGCTCGGCGACACCAAGGTTCGAGAAGGAGGCAGAAGACGTAAGCGGCGCGAATCCGACGGTGAAGAAGTGCAATCTCGGGAAGGGCACCAGGTTCACAGCCAACTTGCGGAGATCGGCGTTGAGCTGGCCCGGGAAGCGGAAACCAGTCGTCAAGCCGGACATGACTCTCGACACGAGGTTGTTCAAGTGTCCGTACGAAGGGTGAGCCTGCTTCAGCGTGCGTCTGCAGATATCGTACAGGGCCTCGTTGTCGATACAAAACGTCTCGTCCGAGTTTTCAACGAGCTGGTGGATCGACAGGGTGGCATTGTACGGCTCGACGACGACCTCGGAGACCTTGGCGGACGGGAGGACGGAGAAGGTGGCCATCATACGATCGGGGAATTCTTCGCGGACCTTGGCGATGAGAAGGGTGCCCATGCCGGAACCAGTGCCGCCACCGAGCGAGTGGGTGATTTGGAACCCCTGAAGGCTGTCGCAGCCCTCGGCCTCGCGACGCACGACGTCCAGGACGGAGTCGACGAGCTCGGCGCCCTCGGTGTAGTGGCCCTTTGCCCAGTTGTTGCCGGCGCCGGATTGGCCGTTGACCATGTTGTCTGGGCGGAAGAGGTTGCCCAGCGGGCCGGAGCGGATCGCCTCCATCGTGGCGGGCTCGAGATCGACGAGGACGGCGCGGGGGACATACTTTTGTCTTCCGGCCTACATTACGTGGGTTCGCGGTTAGATTCTTGTGAGATGTCATGCGAGGGGGTGAAGCGCTCATGAGATCATGGGGCGCAAGTGAGATATGAAAGTAGTACCTCGGTGAAGTAGACGCTCAATCGCTCGGATTGCTGCTCATCCGTTCCGGTGAACCTGGGACGCAAGTCAATATATAATGCTCAAAGGTTTGCATCGTCGCGGTTGAGCAGCTGGAAAACTCACTGTCCATCCTGGTCCAGGCCATGCTCGGGGTGAATGGTTTGCCTATTGTCGCAAACGTTAATCACAGGTTCTGCAAGGTCCTCCTATTGTTGAACCAAATGTCGAGATTGGCATCTTCCTACCAGAAAGCAGTTCCGACTTGGTTGCCCTACAAAGCTTCATCATCAGTAAAGGCGCGTTTTGACGCGTTGAGCGTCGAACAGGGGCAAGGGGAGACGAGACGTACGCATTGGCCGGTCTGGAGGTGAATCTAGAGTGGATCACAGAGCGTTAGTTCATCAAGAGGGACTTTTAACAAAGTACTCTCACATGTGCGCGCAACTCACAATTTCACGCATGATGTTGGTTCGAGGATAAGACGGGGTTGTGGTATATTACGATGGTGAAGGACGCAAGACGCAGGACGCAGGACGCAGATTTTTACCCCGCTATCGAATTGTTGAAATCACGACAGGTGGTCATCTTATAGCGGGATTCCTTATTTCACAACAAACCCCTATCCTGTCCGTATCGCACGCTCGTCTCGCTTGCGCTGTGCGCTTGTTCGCCCCGGACAGGCCCGGCCGTGGACTTTTGGTCTGGACTCTGGAAACTCCCCACATGTTGGTACATGCATCTTGTTAAACTGCTGCCTTTTGGGAGTTTGATAGCTGCCTGGTTTATGTGTTTCTCTGGCACGGCATGGACATGGACTTCCCGGGCTGTCATGCTTGGTGTGGGAAGACAGAACAAACGGTGAGCGGTCAGAGCTTTCTTAGGGGACTCTTTTGGGGGGAATCTGTGTGGGAAAAAAGAGGAAAACTTAAGAAATAAAGATAAATAAAAATAAAAAAAAGGACTTTGGCTGCCCAACCAACGATTCGCGCGGAGGTGTCACCGGAAGAGACGTAAGCTAGACCATGTTGGGCCCCTGGCCCGTAGAAACGATTAGTAAATGTTGCCTTGTCGCCTGTGCCACTTGAAAGTCTCTTGTGGATGTGTTCAAAATCTCCAAGAGTCTCCATGTTCGGCGATAGGCGCATCATCAAGACTCAAAAGGTGTCGTGTCACCAAACTCGTGGTTCCTGTTGAAGAGCGTTGCCTAACGCCGTGACGCCGTTCCAACTGTCTGACCAATCGCTCTTTGGGATATTCAGCTGCCTGTACTCCCTCGAAACAAGCCGGTTGTTGTCCCTCACTCCGTCGTCGTGTTGATACACGGTTGCTAGGTGTCTGCCTGCGTGTGTCACACCACCACCCCCATCGACCGACCGGTGCCGCCGCCGCCGCCGCCGCCGCCGCCGCCGCCGCCGCCGCTTGACCGGACGAGCCGGATCAGAGAGTCCGAATGCCCCCCCCCCCCCCCCCTCCCCTTCCCCGTCCAGTCCGTGCTCATTGCCCCTCGCTCTCGGAGGACGAAGAACCAAGAGAGTTCGGCGCGTGGTTTAATTCCCACATAGCTCGGCCAACATTCCAGCGCGCACCCACGTGGGATCATCCAAACATGGAAGAAGTCAAGAACGGTAAAGCTGAGGAAAATTCGGGAGAATGGAGAACTCAGCTCCGCCGCTCCCTCGAGTCCCTGGTGGCCTAGATTCTACATTTGCAGCGTTGGGTTTCGCGCCGCGACGATAGCTTGGCTGTCTGCAGCATTGACGGACTATGCCGATGTCGTTGCTGACGGATGTGGCCTCTCCCACATTACGGCGACCTCTCAAAGATCAAACGCTGCATAGAATCTATGTGGGCTTTGCTGCAGACAGCCAAGTCGTCGTCACGGCGCGAAGCCGCGAACCCAACGCAGGAGGTAGACCACCTGGCCGTGGTGGAGCGCGTATGTATGTGGCTTGAAGAAGGCTGTTGATTTCTGACGAAGACTGCCATCCAAGCCCATCGCAGCGAAAGCCGAGAAGAGTTGCAAATGAGAGATAAGGTTATTCATTCTTAAAAGTTTATCGCCAAGCGAGCATCGCTGCCATTGCACAACAGCCCAAGAGAGTTTACATGTCAGCGCCCCTGACATGCCAATGATATCAGAGACATGCTGTACGAGTGCTGATCATTCACATTCGACGAGCACCTGCTTCAGCACATCAACCAAGCAACCTTTGACATGGAGAGTAGTGTTCCAGCCACTGACGAGGGGCTCAAGATGATCTGGAATGCAGATGTTTTGGGCGATCAGGGGCAGACGGGCAAAGTGAAGGGTGTTGGCGGCCTGGGCAGCGGCAGTGGCAGCGTGTTTTCCTTTTTCTTCTTTCTCTCTCAGCCTTCTCTCAACTCGACCGTCAGCCGTGAAGCCTCATGAAAAGTTTGCATGAAAGCGTCGTCGTCGTCGTCTCCTTCAGCCTCTTGCAGTAAACCCCTCATACGTCTTGGGTAGATCTAGACACCGATATGGCCTGGACCCTTTGCTTGAATCCGATCAGAGTACCCGACCGTTTACCAAAAGCGATCGGTGACAGCGGCATCTAGTCTGGCTAGCCAGCGGGAGACGATAGAATCTGGTTTAGGGGGATTCGTAAGTTCTCTTTCAGACTGAGACATAGTGTCTTGAAGTTAAATGAACCGGAGGATGTGGCTTGCGCTTCAAAGAAACTGAGGAGTTTTCCCCCAAAGCCCCGTGTTCCTGAATGCGGTAAACCTGCCGGGACTCGACTGCAACAGCGCAATCCCCATGGTACCGACTCCCGAGGGAGAGTCCTGAAGAATGAGAATGGAATGAGATATATCTACATCCTCGAAACCCTGGTCTATCCGGGTTTCCTTCTTGCTCTCGCATCTTCAAGCTACCACTTGGAACACTCTCCTTCATTGCATCCTTTTCTGCTCTTCTTCAGTTTCTCAACAATCCTATTTTCCCGGGTATCATCAGCTTCAGTCTTCAGCTCAGTGGCAGGAACCATCCTTCCATTCAGTCAGTCACTCCTTCTAACGACTCTACTTCAACCAAAACGATCCCGGTGATTTCGACATATCCGAAGCCCCAATACCCACATCTCAAGCCACCACCATGCACTTCTCAGCCAGCGCAACCTTCGCCTTGGGCCTGTTGGCCTCTCAAGCTGCGGCGTTGAACATCGTCAAGGTGCCAAAGTTCCGCGCCGCCGGACTCCCAACCTACACAACCACTCTCGCCGCCCCCACGACGACCCTTGCCACGATCATCTTGACGACAGCGTCACCGACCTCGTCATCGACCTCGTCCGCGGCGACAGCCTCACCCACGGCCTCTTCTAACTCGACTCTAAGCGCCGACCTGCAGCGCGCCCTCGACCTCCACAACATCTACCGCGCGGCTGTTGGCAACGCCAATTTGACCTGGGATGATGATCTGGCCAAGTCGGCTCAGGTCTGGGCCGATCACTTGACGACTGTCGGCAGCCTGGTTCACGACACGAACCCCGGCGGCCAGGGAGAGTGTTTGGCTTCGCAGTCGGGCGGCACCAACTCCTACTTCACCAACGGTGTTCAGCTGTGGTTGGATGAGAAGCCTCTGTACGATGGTCAGCCTATTCGTACAACTGGATCGCCCAACTACTTGAACTATGGCCACTACAGTGAGTACTTTGGTCTTTCATTGATGCAGGACTTCGTAACTAACAAGTTGACAGCTCAAGCCATCTGGAAGGATACCAAGCAGGTCGGCTTGGCCATGGCCACCAGCCCCTCCGGTACCACCTTTGTGGTCGCACGTTACTTGCCTGCTGGAAACATGTAAGTTCCATCATCTGGTTCTCATTATATTCACAAGTGTGACTGACCTCTCTTAGCATCGGCTACATGCCCTACTAAGCATGGAATGAAGGACTCTCAGCGTTACTTGAGACGTGTCAATCATCGCTATTGGCTCGGCTAGGCTTTTCTTTTGATTTAGACCGCTTCTCCTTCACTCAGTTGCTTATGCTCATGGCAAGATTTGCATGCCTTGGGCCACTTCACTGCACATAGATTGTACAGTTCCGTTCAGATTCTTCAATCATTCAAGAGAAACCAAAGTTTAGAGACCTTCCATACCTGCCCTAGAAGATTGTCGGGTCATTTACAAGCTCTACTCTGAAGCCGACATCGTCTTTCAGCTTATGTTTACACCCCACTGCCTCTTGGAGAAGCTCAAGCCAGAGTCTGTCGAGCACTTTATGGAATCCCTCAGAACACCAATGCACCCCACCCTCCTGGCCAAGAAGATGCTCATGTTGGGCACGATGCTTCAACGAGTTCCGACTCATGCCGGGGAGATTGCGTCTGAAGAAACTTATCGCATCGTGGACAGGCTCGCAGAAACAGCTATTTCTGTGGTGTGCGAGAACAACGTACTGTTGGGCACGCTCGACGGCCTCGAATGTCTCATTCTGCAAACTGTTTATCATGCCAACGGAGGTAATCCTAGGTTATCACTGCTAACCTGCCGCCGCGCGATAACTGTTGCCCAACTGATGGGGCTTCACCGCCCACACGACCCAGCCACCATTGAGACCGTAGATCCGAATTCGACGGCTGTACCTGGCTTCGTGTGGTTCCGTCTGGTATACCTGGAGCGCTTCATCTGCCTACTTCTAGGACTTCCCAGCAGCACCCACGATGCCAAGGTCATCAATGACGAGAAGACGCAGTTGTACGTCAACAGCCATCACATTGACAGACTCGAACAAGTTCATTCCGCCATCGCCGCCAAGATCATTCAACGAAATGAGTCGGGGTCATATCTATTCGACATGGATACGACTCACGCACTGGGCCAAGAGCTTCAAGTAATAGCCACGACGATGCCGCCGCGCTGGTGGACGATTCCAAACTTCACCAAACGGCATAAGGACCCTATGCCAATCGTCCGCAACAGCCTCAATCTCGCCAACCAGCTCTTTCACTTCTTCCTCATCATCGAGCTCCACCTCCCCTTCATGCTCCGCCACTCCAAGAATGGCGCAGCCAGCAGCAGCAGAATGGCCTGCGTTGACGCGAGCAGGGAAGTTCTCTCCAGGTTCATCGCGATCCGCAATCCGGAGGGAATATGTAGCATCCCCGATGCCGCCGACTTCTTTGCCCTCATCGCTACTATGACGCTTATGCTCGCGCACATTGACGCCCGAAGGCGCGATAGGGGAAAGGATATTCTCGCGCACCAGAGGCACACGGACCGCGACAAGGTCGAGCAGACGTTGGAGCATATGCGTCACGGGAGCTCCAAGAACACGGATATGCTCTCTATGGAGAGCGCAGATGTCTTGAAGAGTCTCCTTGCGATCGAGGCTGATGCTGCCGGGGGCTCAACCTTTACGGCGAGTTTGAGTTCTGCGTCGACGCCAGCTTCGGCTTCGTATGGTGGTGTGGGTGAAGGGCGGAGCACAGGTGATGCTAGGAATGTGCTGCGGCTGAAGATTCCGTGTTATGGTACCGTCATCATCTCTCCTGATGCTCCTCCTTCCCGAGAGCCTTGGATGCCTGTTGGCCGTGCTCAGCATGGAATGGTTCCAGACAGCCGTGTTCCGGGAAATCTCAATGTTGCGAGTCCCTCTGTCGCAGGTCCCCCAGGAGGAGTGTGCCCAGGTGAAGGGGCTGCGTTCATCCAAAACTCGAGTGGCCAGGGTGGTGAGAACTTGCAGCTCGATCCCAATGTGGGTCCAAGATGGCTCTTCGAACTCGAGAATCCCAGGCTACTGGGCAATGGAATTGCCGCTGGTCTGGAGGATTGGCCTTTTCAGGGGGTTGATGCGGCCTTCTTTGACAATATGATCAGAGGTTTCGAAGGCGGTGATGAGTTTAGCGGAGCAAGCGTACCGTAATCCCATTATCAATTTTCCTTCACGTTAAGTAAAGTAAGACTAGGATACGAGGCAAGTGAATCAACCGACGAAATACAAGAGTCGACCCTGTTGAGCAGGAATATATTCTTCTATTTGAATCAAGTAACTAGAGCATACGGGGTATCGAAACATTCATCCCAGTTCTTCTTCCCAGACGACCAAAACTTCTCCAGAATATCCTTTGTCGCCAAAGGCAAATACGCACCCAGATGGACACTTTCATCGGCCAAACGCTTAGAAATAAACGACCTCGCCGCCGCGCTTCCCATTTTAGCGTCAAACCCAGCTACAATCATCGGCCACATGACGCAGCTCCTGAGGACCTGGGACCCGGCAGCCTTCTCGAGAAGGGTCATGAGCTTGCTACCATGTATCGTCTTCACAGCCCGCCAGCCTGCGGACGCGGGTATTACACAAACGCTCTGGAGAGATGCGATTGCAAAGACTACAACGGCGGACTGGTACACCTGCGCCATTGTCAGGAACTCGTCTTGCGTTTCAGTCTTGGCAGATGACCAGGATTCGGGGGAGAAGTCTATGATGCGCTCAAGGAGGTCTTCGGCCTCGGTCTGGAGGGAATCGAGCGTGTCTGATGACTCTGGTTGCGTTGCGAGGTATCTAAGGCGATTGACGCAGATGATGTCGATGAAAAGTTCTACAGGACAGGGGAGGAAGGGGTAGTATCCTGTTTCGTAGACTTCCTGGATGAGATCTCTCATCTTGAAATTGAGCAGGGGTGATACTTGGTCGTATGCAGGGCTGGTTGTGTTCGCCATATTCTCGATGCTGTGGGTGTGCGTGTCATCAGTGATCTGCACCTACAAGACAGGTCATACTGACCGAGATACTTACATCTTGCAGAATAGGACCACAGTCTTGTAGCCTGCCGCGGCGTCGCAAACACTTCGCAAGCCACCGCGCATCTCGATGATGGCCATGAAACCGTTGAGATGGTGCCGCCAGTTGTCGGCCGTCACTGATCCCATGAGCTGTACTCCGACAGATTAGGCTTAATGTTTCCCAGCAAGCGAGGGACTTTAGGGAAGGAGAAGGCGTGAAATGGAAGGGGGCCAAGATACACACATCTGCGTACAAGAACACAATCACCGCTGACATCGTGTAGTCAGAGATTCTTCTCTTTTCATTGCGGTGGCTAATCTCTTCGTTCAAGGCCTGGATTGCCGTACATCGATGCTGATGGAAGCGGGCTCGAACGTCCGCCTGGTACATGTCGTTTTTCTTCTGAGACAAGCGCAGCATGCGGTGGTCGATGGCCATCGCAACAAGAGCGTGTTGGATGGGGACCCCCATGTATTGTACGTACGACACAGGTACAAGCCACGGGCTGTTCGTCAACTGATTCGCTGCGAAGAATGGGTAGACCTGATCATTCCCTGTTGCGGATCGAGCCTCGATCAGTTCTGTGGTCTCTCGAACAAGGCAAAGCCCCGACCCAGTTAGGTCACGAAGGTGAGCTGGTAACTTACAGTAGAGCGTAGCCTCGATAATGTCACAAGTCTCATCTCTCAATCCGTAATCGGGAAAGATATGCACAGTGCGGTCCAGGCGAGTACCTGATACGTCGGATCTAATAACCTTTGCGATCTCCGACTCGCTCTGCCCTTTGGTACCGTCCTTTGATGAGCCGTTGTCGTTCTTCTTGTTGGCAGGCGGGCTCTTCCGTTTCCACGTCCGGGTCTTAACCTTGCCAGGGGCAAGCCATATCAACGGCTTCTTGTCCTCGTACCCGGGACACACGATGCCGCTAGTCTTGCACTTTACGCAGACGGGACGTGTCGAGTCGCAGACTAATCGACGCCGTTGACATTCCCAGCATTGTCTCCTCGCATTGCTGGGCTCTGTCTGCGTTCGTGTCTGTACCTGTGCCTGCGGCGGTGCACCCACTGCGAGCGCCAGCTTTCTAGAAGTGGAAGTCATCGTCTGATTTGGGGACTAGGAAGTTTCCCGTCTCAACGGTTCACCAAACGGCTTTACGTTTTGGGCTATTGGAAGTAGACGGAGTGACGGGATGGCACATCAAACCTGCAACCCGCTGGCTCGGGTTGAGTTTAATACATGTAGTGCGGGGTTGAGCTGGAGCTGCCTGGAGGTCAGCCACGGTTAGTCGGCGACGGCGAGCAGTGCCTGATCAGGGGCGCAGTGCATGTCTTGCCCACTTCAATAGCCTAACCCGGTAAAGCGCGGGGCATTCCTTCGAGATCATCACGTCTCTAGCGCGTCAGCAAGACAGCCCTACGAGAGGGATGATAAGCGAGCTGTGTACGAATGGAGGTGTCTGATGACTTCGTTGGATGGCTTACATGGTTTCTTACCTATTCCCGTCCAATGACGAGTGCTGAACAAGAGCAAATCGCAGTAAAATAGAGATCGGATGCTGAAGCAATGGCGCCACAGGAGCCGGGGAGATGTCCATCGTAAACAGCCAAATGAACCTTGCTACGGGCGTTGGACCATGATATTTTAGAAGACTTTAAGATGATTCATCTCACATCGGTAGCGACAATGCGAATTCATTGGTGCGCAAGCTTGATAGAATACCTCAACCCTGCTTGCTCTCTTGCTCTTGTATCTCAGCATCCAAAACCAATGAAACTCATCAGAAACAGATCAAGGTTTTCGACGAGGTAATTGGAATCCGTAGAGGAGAAATCAAAGCAAAGAATCAAGATTAGAATGTCGTCTTCCAAAATCTTCGAGCATTAAACTTGCTTGAGAACCGTGATTAGAGGCGACAACTACCTTTCCTGGAACTGGTTTACAAGCGAAAAGGTACATATTTACGCAACTCTCCGGACTGAACATCGGAATTCGGGAGTACCTAATTCCGAGCCACATGCGTCGATGGTTTAGTGGTAAAATTCTCCGTTGCCATCCAGCAGCGTCGGGGAGCCGGGGGTTCGATTCCCCCTCGACGCAGTCTTTTGGCATCGAGGATTTCTTTCTTTTGTCAGACAAGATGATGTATTTCTCGCGTCTTCTCACAGCGTTGTGGCCGTAAAGTTGAGGCAGATCGCGGGAAATAATCACAGTTGGCTAGAGTTGGCTAGAATATTGTCACGGGCTGGAGCCCGGTTGAGATCTCCGGCTTTGCCGAAGCCGCACGTACACCCCTCTGCTGGGAAGCTGTCCGACCGCGACCTGTAATAACCCATTGTTACATTCGGTTATGCTGCAGGCCGGAGCCGGTCGAGATGTCCGGCTTTGCCAGAGCCACTATTCTGCCGCAGTACACCGCCGAGTCCGGGCATATCATGCCGTAGCTGTACGCGAACCCCTGTAATTCCTCCTTTTCCTCCTTAGCTTAGAATAGTCCATCGACGGCACCTCTACGTTGAATAAGCCTAGGGCCAGCCAGCCCCTTACAAATATAACACGGATGATCCATCTTCTGGGCTAATTTACCAGCGAACCAGTATGGGGCATCTCATGAGGAGACGATGTATGAACCCGCTACGTTAATCGACCATGTACTCACTATAAAATTACAGGCTTGATTGACTTCCATTTCGTTTTCCGTACTTCAGACGTTGGATAAGACGATAGTGGCGAAAGGCTTCAATCCCTCGGTATCGGTTCTCTGTGTTGTTTGTCAAGCTAAATGATCCTCGATGGCTAGCTTCCTGTGCTGTCATGGGACCGACCGTCTGAGAGACTGAAGTCAATTGCTGTGAGCCACGCCAGACTCAAACGTTACATCTGCGGCAAACTTTGTGTTATAGGAACAGCAAGCTGACCTTTACGCGTCGCAAACAGGGTCCACAGGGTCCAATATGTGATTCAACAGAAGTTCCGAGCGCGACCCTATGAACTTGGTGGAGCCCGACATGTCGGAGATGTTCAAGGCCGCATCGGTGCAACCACAACGAGTGGACGCGGGACGAAAGGTAATCATTTACTCATCGTTGCTAGATAACCGGCTACCGCCGAGGGTGTGCAAAGGCCTGAGCATAGTCGAAGTGGAGATGAACTCTGAATATCTGGACTCTGCCTGCCTCCCCATTCATTGATCCCTCTGCGCGCCTAGCTGGTCACCACTTTCTCCAGTTCCAAGAGACTAGCTCTTGACTCCTCGGACCTCACCACTCCATCACCTCCAATCAGTGATCCCCAAGAGGCCAAGTCTGCGAGGACCGTGCTCTGTCGCAAAGTCCGACATGAACTTTGTCCCCTGCAGCCCTGCCCTGGCCCCTTGGATCCTTGTAAGTTGTCGACCGGTGAGGCGGGGAGGCATTCTCTTTCCTCGCTCCCGAGCTCCCCCAGAGACAAAGACCGTCTAGGAGTCCGAGAAGAGTGTTTGTTGGAATGGCAGTCTTCAAACAGGATAGCTTCTCAACCCCCAGGCACGTCGCGCAAACTCAGCGATCCTACCGGAAGAGCCGTGATACCAGCCGCTGCAAGCCACGGGCGGCTCGCCAGCATCTAGAAGGTCGAAACCACCGAGGGGCTGAATGCGAAGCCGTCGACAAACCCACTCGCCCCGATTAAAATAGACTGGGATGATGGGACTTTTAAATTACGCAAGTCGTTTTGCGCCGCATTGCGGATATATGCGTGTGCACTTTGACTGGAGGCAACGGTAATCCAGCCAAAAATCCGCGGCCAAGACTTCGGGTCCGAGTCTGCTCGTCATCTGGCCTATCACCACATCTGTCTTGAAGAAAAAATGGCAAAGAAACCTGTGCGCCACTGCTGATTTGACGTTTGAAATCTTCGTTATTTCATATCCTATCGTACTATGTATAAGCCACTGTACAACGATACGCGTAAAAGGAACAATCGCAGGGCAGGGAAGCCGGGCGGTAACTTCATGAATCACGATCGTGCGTATGATACGAGTTCACGCGCCCACTGTGGTCTTCCCTGCCGGGTATCTGACGACGCTTTCAAGAGGCTCCCCTTTCCCCATCAACACCGTAAATGCGTAAGTAAGCCCACTCCGGGCTGCGTGTGCTTTGCTTGTGTCATTGTTTGCCAATGCACACTGCCTCTCATAATGACGCCTGCCTTGTCGTTCTTCTTATCGCTGCCGCATCATGACTATCGCTGCTGTCGACGTCCTCTTCCGAGATCCAGAATTCTGTTCGTTTCTGAATACCCGGTTCGAGTGGGATATCGCTGTGATCGCTCTTTGATATGGAGGGCCTGCGCTCCGAGCGTATGAATGTGTCGGTGTTGCTGACATTGTCGCCATGTAATCTGCTGCCGTTGTTATACGCGGATCGAGACTGATGTGATGAATTTCCGTATCCTGAGGGGTGGGAGCTAGGAAGTTGCTTTTCTCCAAAGAAGTAGAACCAGAGAGATCTGGAGAGAGCCAGGTTTCCAGCAATGATTCCAAGGTAAAGTTCAAGGTTAGACCAGATTGCGGTTACTGCATAAACATCTAGGGATCATGGTTAGCCGGGCTCTTGGGACAATCGACCGAGAAATGTCCTTACAACTCAAGTCGTTTGTTACCAGGCCTAGGGAGGCTGCTCTAGCGATACCGAAGCCAGTTGCACTGTAAGCTAATGTCAGTATACTAGTCCGGGCTTGGGGTTGGAGAGGCTTGCTAACATCAAACCGAGACTCATCAATGCGCCGACCGAAAGCTTTGTTGACAATGGGATGCGGACTTGCCAGACCACGACTAGAGGCAAGAGGGAGCATAATAGGTCCGTCGCAATGGAGTATGCTAAAGGGGGTTTGTATCAGTCGCAAGTCAACAACATCGTACGTTCCTGTCCTTGACTTACAGATGGTCAAGTAAATCGTGTATATCCGGATCTTGGCCTCCCAGCACACTCCATTTCCGGTCCAGTACGCGTTGACGGGATCGCATTCGGCGAGCAGGATAATAATGACCCCAAAGTTGGTGACGACCAAACCAGCCATAACGGACCACAGGAAGTATTTAAGCCTGCTGGAGTCTTTGATGCGTAGCAGCAATAGCATGGTGGAGCACTTAAGCAAGCAGATACTGGCGAATAGGAGGATTTGCGCGAACCATCCAAGCATGCTGTTGTTCACGTATTCCTCTGTCGAAATGTACCATCTGTGCCTCCCGTTGCCCGTGTTCCCTTGCGCGCACTGAACGCCATATCTGACGATGCAGAGACTGGCGACGATGCCCATAAGATAATCGTCCCATCCCAGATGCCGTAATGAAAACCGAACGTAGAGGCGAATTGAAGTTGTGAAGACGACAAAGAAGATTAGAACGCCGGAGACACCAAGGAGGATCGGGTTAACGTTCTCGTCCGGCGGTAGCGGATTCGGAGGGGTGACTGGCGCCATCGTGAGTGCCAATGTGTGTGTTTGGTGGACTCAAGCCTGGGTAGCGTGGAAGAAGACGCCAGAACAAGGAACGAGGGTGCAGCGCGCCAGATGATACCAGGCCATGTGCTGGGTAAATGTATGGGAGTGAAGAAGAGGGCCAGCGGGTAATCGACCCACGGGATAGTCTCTGCACAAGGCAAAGACGAGGACGATCGCCAAGATCTGCTTTTGGATGGCAGCTCGTTTACCCCCGGACTTTTTAAACGTCCCACTCGACGCCCTTGGGCCTTGAGGGGGAAAAAGGGAGCGTTGGTCGTCTTAAGAGCTGCGACGAAGCTGAGGAGGAGGAGGACAAGCTGCATGCAATTCCGCAGTAGCTAGCCCTGCATGCGCGGACGGAGGAAATATGAAATGCAAGAAGGTTAAGGCACCACGGCGCATATGTCTCAGATGGGCGAGACCCAATCTACCCATCCCGCGGTTGTGTCGGGAGGAGGGTGGTAAATGGCAATGATTTGATGCTTTGGACGCCGACAACGCCGAGATGGTTTTGGGTTGGTTGGTAAGATGCAAGATTGCCCAGCCTTTGGTTCGATTCTTCCAATATAATAGGCATTTGATATCTTGTTTCGTCGCCCCGAGCGAGAGGTTGCATGCCACCCTACGGGAGCTAAACGCAAGAGTCTAAGACCTTGATCCTTTCAACCACGGACATCATGGGATACGCCCATTTGAGGGATCGTTGTGTCTCGCATGGCAAAGACGGGGGACCCCCTCCCCCAAAGAAGAAGGGTCTTGTCCGAGAATGACTGGGAGTCTGGTATTGTGGAAGGCCAGGTTGGACGAGCATTATCCTCTTCTCTCTTTCCTCGATACCCGCCCAGCCTCTGCGAGCTCCTCTCTGGTTGCTTGGATACAAATTAAGTTTGAGCGGCCTCCGTTCCTCTGCGTATCTCTGTTGGTCGTTGACGAGGGCACGCTGCACTCGAGGGAGGGATCAAGTAGACCCTTGGACATGTGTGGATTCTTCTCATGCTGCGACCTGCAGTACCTGCGCATCTGACAGGCTGTGGGATGTTGCGCAATGTGCCGCAGGTCTCCCAAGGGGTACTCCTCAAAGATGATTTGCACACCTGTGGAGTTTTTTGCCAATAATTACCAGCAAACACCTGGAGCAGCGCTGAGCAGATGGAGTAATTTGATGACTATCGTCTTCTTACTTTGACTTTTTGGCTTTTCCATCCCATCTTTCCCCTCCTTATCTCTTGACATGTCTACGCAGACAAGACATGTAGTTGGTGGCCATGAGACAGATTCGGACACAGACCAGAAAGCATAACGGGTAGCCGAGCGGCGCGCGGAAGCTTTTCTGCTCATCTCGCTCGAAGGCGAGGGGCACGCTGGCGAGAGTTTCGGTCGTGCAGAGGGTGGTGCACGAGTTTAATTAATGGAGGGAATGGCACGACTCTCAGGGGTATCCTGGGAACTCCGTAGGCAGGCTGCGCACCGAGGGACGAGCTTTCTAAACAAAGATACCAAAGAGGATCGTAGCCTTTGATGGCCCCGAGGGGAAACTCGGGAGAGAGATAGAGAGAGAGAGAAACGGGGAGACGGGGAAGGGTCGGGAAATGCCGTTGAACCTGTCAATGCTTCGAGAGACGTGGAGTTATTGTGGAATTGTTCATAACTGACCAAGACGCATGATTTGCCCAGACAGGGTCACGTCAACTTGTCCAAGCGGGTCTGACAGGCATATCCTTGAGTCATGAACCTGACCCCGGAGAGCGACCGGCCGGCGCAGCTCCGCAGTCGTCAACGGCTCTTCTCCGGATAGGCACGTTGATGGCACGGTAACATTCGCCCGGGTACACAGCCATCCCCGTCGGCGAACACGTTGAACCGTGGGACGGTTGATGTTGCTTTGCGGCGCAGGAGGGGGGTTTGCTGTGCCGTTCGTCTCTGGTAGACCAGAACGCAACCGAACCTGCATAAGTGTCTGACATTCCCTCGTCATCCATTTTCTTTTCCCCTCTCGTCTAATAGTTGGGGTAAACAGTCGGCGGCTGTCCAACAAGTCGTGTTGTTGGACCGGCGCGCTGGTAGCTTACACGCGCATTTATAAGTGCTTACGCTGCCGTGTGACACCACCACGTCGTCGCCACCATCTCCTCTTCTCTCCCGGGAATTCTTCAGCGGTACTTACGGATAGACTATAGCAGATGAAGATTCTCGGCACCCCACAACGCTACCATCATGTTCCCGTTCCTCCGGAGCTTAGAGGACGGGCGACCTGGGGCGGAGAACAAGGATATTTCTTTGGGCCGCGTGTCTGATAACTGGCACCGTTTTCTTGGACTATGGATAAGAGGCCCTGCTAACTTGCTAAGAGGCTTGTAAGGGGATTAATAACCGCATTATTGACATTCGATTTTTAATTGAGGCAATTTGGGGGCTGCATACAAAAAGGTAGACGATCCTGCTGTCGCATGGAATAAGGCACGCCACAGCACGCCCTCCACTTTGTGTCGTCTGGTGCCATTGACGAGGTTTCCCAAACCTGGACCTGACGTGCAGATATCACGCTTATTGGTTTTGAAAGCTCGTGCGTTTGCTTCTCTTTTGATCTAGCAGACTAGCAGAAGCGCATTTCCAGATTGCCGAGCCGTGGATTCTCAAACTTTATTTCTAGAACGTGTGGGAAAGATCGCTGCATCGTCTTAGCCATGCTTGTCAAGTCGAGTTTCGCCCTCGCCTCCGCGGCCCTTGTTTTGGGTGCCGCTTCCTCGTCCTCTTCGTCACAGCCCTATGAGGATACCTACGATTATGTAAGTTGTGCTCAGCTCTGCTCTCGGACGTTTGCATTGCTTCGTTTACGGGGTCCTTCTATTGGACTTATTCGCTTGTGCCCTTTCTTAGTATTTTACGTTTGATGCAGGGGAATTACCTGATACACTAACACTTTGTCTTTCCACCCCCAGATCGTCGTCGGTGGTGGCACCGCTGGAGTAGCCGTGGCGGCTCGGCTCAGCGAGGGACTCCCTGCCTCCAAGATCCTCCTCATCGAGGCGGGACCCACGGTGTGGGATGAGCCTAATATCAACGTTCCCGGCATGAAGGGCTTGGCTCTGGCTACAAAGTACGACTGGAACTTCACCACCGTGCCGCAGACCAACGTGAATAGCCGAACTTTCACAATCAACCGAGGCAAGGTCCTCGGCGGCAGCTCCGCCCTCAACCTCATGTCGTACGACAGGGCTGCCGTGGCCGAGTATGACAGCTGGGAGGCTCTCGGCAACCCGGGATGGAATTGGGAGACAATGATTGCCGCCATGAAGAAATCGGAGAACTTTACTGGCATCAATACCGATACGTACGGCTCCGAGGGCGTCGGTGATAGCGGTCCTGTCAAGGCTGTCATCAACCGCATCATTCCCGAGCATCAGAAGACATGGATCCCGACGATGAATGCCCTCGGCATCGAGAGCAACTTGGAGTCGCTTGGCGGAGACCCTCTCGGTGTGATGTATCAACCCAGCAGCATTGATCCGACTCATTACAATAGGTCTTACAGCGCCAACGCCTATGTTCCCATTGCCGGATCGAACTTGGAAATCCTTTCCGATACTACGGTTATCAAAGTCAACCTCGGAAAGGCAGCAAGTAACTCGACGGTTCAGACGGCCACGGGCGTCACCCTTTCAGACGGAACCATCATCTCAGCCCAGAAGGAGGTAATCCTATCTGCTGGCTCTATCCAAAGTCCGGGTTTGCTAGAATTGTCAGGTATTGGCCAATCCTCGGTCCTCAACGCCTCCGGCATCGCCCAATTCATTGACCTCCCTGGCGTCGGTGAGAACCTCCAGGACCATCTTCGCATTCAAAGTTCCTACCAGCTTAAGGACAACTACACCTCCTTCGACATCCTCCGCAGCAACGCCACCTACGCTGCGGAGCAGCTGGCCCTCTGGAACGCCGGAGAAGTCTCGCTCTACGACTACACCGGTAGCGGCTACACCTTCACAACTTGGGCGCAAGCCATCGGCAACGACTCGCGTCTGGTTTCCCTCGCCAAGGAAGCCGCCGGCGAAGACCCCAGCGTCGTCGACCAGAAGAAGCTGGAGTTTATGACCGACCCTTCCATCCCCCAGCTCGAAGTCATCTTCTCGGATGGCTACACCGGCGTCAAGGGCTACCCCGCATCGACTTCACCTCTCTTCGGCGAAGGATTCGTCACCCTCATCGCTGCAATCATGCACCCCATGAGCCGAGGCAACATCCACATTAACCCCGTCAACACCAAGGGAAAGCCCGTCATCAACCCGAACTACTTTGCGCACGAACACGATCTCGAGGCGGCGATCCAAGCAATCAAGTACTGCCGTAAGATCGCCACCACCGAACCCATGAGATCCAGTTGGGACAATGAGTACGAACCTGGACTGGATGTTGTCCAGACCGACGAGCAGTGGAAGCAGTTTGTCCTCAACACGACGTTGAGCATCTTTCACCCCGTTGGAACATGCTCCATGCTACCGAAGGAGGATGGCGGTGTTGTCGACAGCGACCTGAAGGTGTATGGAACTTCTAATCTGCGCGTGGTCGATGCTAGTGTCATCCCTCTTCTCATTTCTGCGCATGTACAAACTGCTGTCTATGGCATCGCGGAGATTGCGGCCGAGCGCATTATTGCAGATGCTCAGTACTGATCTTGAGGCCAAGATGTCAACATAGATTAGCGCGAGAGAAAACCTTTCTTTGATTCTAATGATAATCATCCACCCAAACCATAACGATTCACTGAAGTGACTGACGTGCTGCGTTACGGTTTCCTGCAATATAAATGACTAAACTTGAGTGTGCAGCGGGAGTAAAATGGCCTAAGCATATTTTGCTTGTGAGACCTGGAGCCTCAGTGACTGATCAAGATTTCTCCGAAGGTGCAGAGCGTTTCACCCGACCAGACTTGCAAACTGAACTGAGTCTTCGTTGAGTAGCATCAAGCAGGACGATGCGAACGGTCCTTTATTACAGTCACATCATTCTTGGGCAAGGGAATATTCGATAGTCTGATGTGATTTATTTACGGAAAAAAACTTTATACATAAGATAATCTAGAACGAAACATGTACGTTGAAGTGGCTTGGGAGACTCATCATCGTCACCCGCAGCCGGTACCTGCCATGATCACATCCACTCAGCACTTGAGGGTTCGATCATCTAGTGCAGGTGCGCATGGCGTCTGAAGCGCATGGCCTGGCGCTGAGAGCGCTTGGTGACACCGTTGCACTTGCTGGCCTCGGGGGCAGTAGAGTTGGAAGAGCCGGTGACGGTGAAGGCGGCAATCTTCTCGGCGGCGTGCTCGGCGGTGATCATGATGATGGACTGGGTGTTGCCGGTGGGCAGGTCGGGGTGGATGGAGGCGTCGACGACAAAGAGGTTGTCGGTGCCGTAGACCTTGGTGTCGAGGTCGACGACGGCGGTGCCGTCCGTCTGGCGGCCGTCGTCGGTGCCCATCTTGGCGCTGCCGACCCAGTGGTCACCGGAGACCATCTTGGTGCTGATGATGTCGTCGGGGGTGGCACCGGGGGTGACGTAGCTGAGGGTGGAGTTGCTGCCGCTGGTGAGGTCGAGCCAGTACTGGACAAAGTCGGACATGGCCTTCTTGTCAGCAGCGTCGATCAACCAGGGCTTGGTGTTGAGGACGGTGTTGCCGGAGGCGGTGATGCCGAGCTCGCCGAGGGAGGAGGTGCCGTGGGTCAGGAACGTGCGGACGGTGATGATGCCGTTCTGCATGGCGCTGGCGGTACCCTGAAAGTAGCGAGTGCGGCCATCGGAGCCCTCGGCGGAGGTCCAGAGGTGCATACGCTGGGCGGCCTGGGTGATAGGACCGGAACCCTGCTTGTAGAGGCCCAGATCGCTAGTGACGGGGTCAGAAGCGATGGCGTTGAAGGCGTAGGCGCTGAAGTTGGTCTTGGAGTTGAACTGGAGCATGACTTGGGCGTGGTCCTGGAGGTGGTGTCCGACGGGGAGGTCGATCCAGTCGGCCTGGTCGGGGAGGGTGACGCCAGTGCTGGAGGCTCCGGACTTGACGATCTCCAGGGCATCGGAGCGGCCGATACCAGAGTTCCAGAGGAGACGGGGGGAGGACATGGCACCGGCGGCGAGGACGACCTTGCCGCCAGCGTTGACCTTGATGATCTGAGTGCTGCCATCGGCGGCCTGGGTGAGGACACCGGTGATCTTGCTGCCGGTACGGAGGACCTGGATCACCTTGGTCTCGAGCTTGAGGGTGAAGTTGGGAAGCTGCTGGGCAAAGGGCATGTAGGTACGGGCAGGGCCGGCACGGAGGTTGTCCTTGATGGACCACGAAGGGCGGGAGAAGACGGAGGACTTCTCGTTGGGAGACTCGATCGAGTCAACCTCGCTCCAGCCCTTGCCGCTCAGGAGGCCGGAAAGGACACGGAAGGTCAAGTCATCGTAGTACTTGCCGTCATCGGAAGGCTCAGTGGTACCGGGGTTGCGCTCGTAGAGGCGGGAAGCGGCATCGGAGACGTCAGCCCAGTTCCAGCCCGCGGGCCAGCGCTGCCAGTCGTGCTCAGGGGGGTGGATGAAGTTGAGGCCGTTGATGGAGCTGGATCCTCCCAGCAAGCAGCCGGCGGTGGAGGCAGTGTCACTGCAGAGGGAAGTTCCGGAGATACTGGTCATGGAGCTGCCAAGGGCGGGAATGTCGTAGGGGGTGAGGGTGTCGTTCCAGGGCAGAGCCATGTCGGAGCCCAAGGGGACGGTGTTGGCAGGGCCACGCTCGATGAGAAGAACGCTGGAGCCCTTCTCGGCGAGACGCTCAGCGGCGATGATACCAGCAGGGCCACCACCGACGACGATGACATCGTACGTGGTGTTGGAGGTGGTGGGGGCGGGGATGGTGCTGTTGCCAGGAATGGGAGTGGTGGTGCCGTTGCCGGGGACGGGGGTAGTCTCAACGGCCTTTGCGTACTTGGACCAGGTGTCGAACTTGGCAGACTTGGCGGAAGCAATGTCAAGACCGAACTGACCGAAGCCAGCAGAGTGGTAGTTCAAGGCAGCAGCGGAGTCGGAGACGGGGGACGGGCTGGTGTCGGAGTAGGCCCAGCCGAGGATGGGAGACTCGCCAGCCAAGCTGGTATCGTCGTTGATGCAGTTCTGGCACAAGAAAGTGTACGAGAAATGAGTGCTGTTGACAAAGGTACCGTTCGCGATGGGAACAGTGGAGACCTCGGTGGCAGTGTAGACGTCGGGGTTGGCATAGGCACTTCCAAGACGGAAAGATGTCTTGATATCCTCGCCATCGGCCCAGGCAACGAAGAGAAGGCCGTTCAACATGCCACCCTTCAAGGAGACGGCACCCCAGTTACCCTTTGTCGAGATGGGAACAACCATCTGACCAATGAAGTCCGTTCCGATGGTCTCGGGGACCGCGATAGCGAAGCTGTAGGGGTAGGCGGAGGGCAGGTAGCGTTGGAAGTCGATACCGGTCAGGGGGTCGGAGTAGGCCGAGGCGCGCAGTTGCGCGGTGGCTGATCCAGCGAGCCCGAGAAGGGCCGCTACGCCCGAGAATGTAGAGCGCATGATGGCAATCGTTTGCAAGTTCTAAATATCTCGAGTTTGTTTGGTTTCGTTTGGGGGATAAGGAGTGGATTTGGAAATTGTTCAAAGGGAACAAGTCACAGAATGGGAGTGAATGAACGTAACCTCTAGGGTCAACAAGTGAAAAATGAATGAAAACACCGTACTAGCGGTGACTCGAAAAAGAAGGAATGCACGAAAGATGCGGCTCAACGTTCGAAAAGAAGAGTCAAGACGTGTCGATGTTGGGGGCGAGCCTCTGGCGTTGATATTATATCTCTCCATGCCTCTCCTATCCAACGATCAACCATTACTCACCGTACCACTTACTATCCGTACCTGGAAGAGTTGTACAAGACGGGAAGGACCCCCACTGAAGCATGTTTCCTTAATCTCATATTGCCCAAGGGTGGTTGCTGCTTGCATCTGCGCAGTCCGGGGTCCGTAGCGCCAGACCGGGGGGTCGCAAAGATTCTCCGTGTTGGTCTCGGTCGTCGGCAGACCCGCTGAACCCCGGGATGTGCATCCTTGGGGCCGCTAGAATGTTTGATATAAACTTGTCTGCTATCTGCTGCCCAAGCGCGCCAACTGAGCGAGCTCGCGCTTTGTTTCAAATAAGAACACCGTCATTGGCAGAGCTCCCAAACGAGGCCATCGCCGTACTTGCAGACAGATGCAGGCAACGCAGGCGACTTGTCCCTATGACGTGCCGTGTAATTTGAGCTGGCTTGTTTTACTTACATGTGAGGTGTCCCACTTACCGTGATCGCGAAGCCTGCAGGTGATCTGGGCGCGCAGTGCCGCCCCCTTTCGTCCCCTCTTGCTGGTGTCGAAAGGTGAAATGGACCTTCAGCGCCTCTGCGTCCAACCAGCTCCAGCCACTTTGAAATCTTCGGATGAACTGACCGAAGGGGGGCGGCGGCCGCAGTGGATAGCGGGAATAATGCAACGTTGACGTCCAACCGAGGAGGGCCTTAGGGAATTTGGGGGTGATAAGTGAGCAAACAATCCTTCCAGTACGCGGGACGTCGAAAGAGCCTCCCTGCAGCTACCTTTAATCTCATGCACGCCGTCTACCGCCATGATGTGACTTTCTCCCTCTTCGCGCTCACCAAGACATGTCAAATCAAAGATCACCTTGCTGGCTAGGCCAGACCATCGGGATCAAGAGCCGGGACTAATAGCGACTAACTTTGCTGCAACGCTGATCTTTTGGACCAAAACTCAGCAAGATCGAGTTGCTTTACTCGAGACTCTCCATCAGCCTCAGGTGGGAGGTCCCCCATGGTTGTTTGTCCACAACTACCCCTCATAAGCTGGAATGTCACCTTCTTTATTGGCGGAATTTGGTTACGTTTAATAATTGGGGTCGACGGATATGAATAATTTGACCCATAGTCGGTGGGTTCTCGTCCAATTTTACCGAGCGTCTCGGTAAAAGTTGCTCAAATCTGCTCCGCCGCGAATAGTGGACGCGAGACTTTTGTTCCCTTTTTCTTTTGGTTCGTAACATTGGGCATTTTTGGACCATCTGTTAGTTCCCCCTTTTTTTCTTTTTCTTTTCCGGTCGAAAACATTTGAACTTGTAGCGAAAGACACTTGATCTCAAGGTCCTAAGGTACGGAATACAAATGCCGTCAATCTATCTATATGGATACTTGTCCCATTGGACAGTGAACGAGTCAGAGAATCTCCAAGCAATCCGGGGACGCGGGAACCTAACAGGGACCAACCCTGAGAAACAGCACTGAATTCACCCGAAAGTTAACGCCCAGATCTAATCCAGGGGGCCTTTCAGACGTTACGCTAGACATTGCTTGATCAGCACTTGACTCGCAGACGGGAGCATTGCTGATCTGGTGATCGAGCCAACTCCATGGTGCGTTAATCATTTTCATGCCAAGCTTTCCGACTATCTTCCACGCGGAAGCCTTGTCCCTGAACAACGGATGTTGGCGGATGCATCTCTCTCGCGGTTTGCGAGAGCAAAATCCCACAGGCTGCTTGGCTGCTTCCTCAGGGGAAACTTTTAAATCTGGAACAAATCCCTGCCAGAATATTAGGCATAACCGTTAGCGAAAGCAAGCCTGATCATTGACCACTCCCTTAGTCCTTACCATATGTCTCTGATTAGTGATGCGTGACGACGACCGCGGCAGTGAAGAACTCACCAAGGATTGTTTCGTTTTCCATGGGCTCACCCTTTGCCTTCGGCATCTTTTAGCCGGTTGAACTCTCTTTTATTGCGATCGTCGATGTCACGGTCCCTTTTCTGTCCTGATTCTTTCATCTTGCCAGGAGAAAACTCGGATGTTTCCCGATACCTCTGGAAAGATTGATCCACAGCTCCATCACAGATGCATACCACATCAAATCCTAGTGTATATTCAAGAATCTGGCTCGGACAGCATCTTACGTTGATTTTGCTCGAGCCAACAATTATATTGAGCAGTTCGTTCATCACCAAATAATTTCGCTAGCAAGGTCTTCACTCGTAATACTAACCACTAGTATGTTCTGTCAAAATAGAATTTAGAGGACCACATTGTCTTCAAGGAGGTAGCGGAAATTATCATTGGGCATTTATACAATGAGACGGCTCGACTGCGTCTACCATAGTCTGATGTGCCAACTCCTATGAAATAATATCACCAAGATTCACAGCTGAGTCCCTCTTGCTTGCAAGGATAATAGGGTCTGACCTGTGGCAGATTAAGCATTTGATGAGACAGACAGTCAGATAGGGAATGCCACTTACAATATCTGCATGCTCTGGCCATGGGGTCCCATGGACATTGAGCTCTTCAAAGTCTTTGGGCGGACTCTCCAGTATGGCGTCCATCAAATACTTGGTGCAGTGTATCGTATGGCTGTAGTTGAAAGGAGGATCGTAGCCCAGAGAAATCCATAAGTGCGTCTGCCGTAAGGTGTACATACAGTGGTATGTGTGCTCCTTCCTAGTAACCCAGCCGGCAGTCAAGACCTCGCTCGTCGGTGGGATCTCGTGTTTCCCGCCCTTATCATAGTACCGATGCCATGGTCCCTCACCGTGAAATTCTTTGAGTAGCGCAACATTATCTTTGTGCGCCATGGGCTCTTTGGGCCACCATTTGAATGACATGGTATCGAACTCGCAGCCCCGGTCGCGAGCGATCTTGGGAAGGGCGCCGTTGGGCGCGCAGACGTATCCCGATAGGTCGAGATCCATCTTTTGACAGGTTTCGCATGATGGGAAGAAGGCGAGATACGCCAGTATTGAAAATATGAGGATGGGCGGAACGAAGAGGTACCAAGACTTCCAAGCTGGGTCGAACTTCTGCCATGGAAGGTGTTTTCTGACTCTAACGAATCCAGCTTCTTGATCGGCGGAAGAGTCTCTTGATGCGCCTTCTTCACAAGATTCTCCCTCGGTCCCGTCCTTGAGGAGGGAGTATTTCTCTTCGCGTTTGCCGGATTTTGGCGACATATCGGCGTAAGAGGTCTTAACCCGGCTTTGGAAGGGATGGTTTCGGTCGCTTTGTGGGGGTTGACTTTCTGCTCAATATAGAGATGACTGGATGGTGCGTCGCTAGTAAGTTTGTGGAGGGCTAGAAGCTCCAAGTACAAAGTATGACACAAGTATAACAACAACAGTGTGCCCCGTCAAATCACATGCACTACTATGACAGTGAATACAAAAGGATTGATGATAGTCACACAGTTTAGCCTCCCTCTCTCCGTTCACTCAAGCAGTCGCTAGTGTGTCGGCTCCGGAATGGGTATGTTTGCGCGGAGTATGGATAGCTGTGATGCCCGGGATTGCGGACCGAATGGCCCACATATCCGGACCGAAGCGCCGATCCACCATCGGTCCGAGAAAGACACACTCCGGTCCGCTCATCGGTGCCATCGGCGTCATTCTTGGAGTGTGAGAACTGAAATTTACGGTTCCCTACCAGTAGAAGCCAAACCGGCGAAAGCTGTGCTCCCGTAGCTATCGCAACTCCAATCAGGGTCGAGTGGCAGTTCAACATGCACAGAGAATACGTCTCAAACTGCCAAATAGTCATTTCGCAACATAATATGCCAATCGCGAAACAATTCTTCGACTCTTAATCAACTACATTCCTCGTCTAAAAAGAGCCTATTCCGTTGCCTTCAAAGAAAGTTGATCGCAAGGGCTGTGATGACAAACAATGATACTGGCCCAAGGTGCCCAGTGCGGCAATCAGTCTGCGGGTTTCCATGCTACCCTACCTTGTGCTTGGACAAGGTGAAATTGAAGACAACCATTTTGAATGTCCAGAATAAGTTGATGATGGCGATCGTAATTACTGATCTCTTCCATTCACGTGTGAAAGCTCAATTATGTAAGCTGTTCTCGAAACTCAATGAAGAGCTAGCGCCTGCGAAAAGGGCGAGTAGATCTTACAGTCGCTTGAAACATGGCTGAAACCTCACCACCAAGGATCCTTGAAGCTCCCATGTTCGCGAACACTTTGGGGGTCTCTCGACCACCCATTGCTCTCCATTCTTCTCGATGAAGAAACTTGCCTGGAGTTCATCTCTTGGCAAAATCTTGGTGTTCTTGGCCTCCCAGTCGGCTATCGTGGCGGTGTTCTTCTTTTGATGATCTTGTTTGTTTGATTAAACGACGGCCATGCTCTCCGAAAACCGTCCACTGGTGTGGTCCCTCTTGGCGCTATTTCTTATTTTCGTATGGAGCCTACGACTTTTAGGTGTTCATGATGCGATTGCGGATACGGTATCGACGTTCTTCCCCGATGAATCGAACGAAGAAGCGACGACAGAGAGCGGCTTCATGCGACAAGCCATTGATGTCGAATACCCAACCCCGATAGACTACGCGCCCATTCGGGAAACATGCTCTCGCTCTCGGTTCCGCCCTGGGCTGATATTCAGCTGCGAGGAACAGCACGGCGGCATTGGTATGGTTCGAAATCAAATACTGAAGTGCGTCCGGTATGCGATCCACGGCGGCGGTGCACTCGTTTTACCGTCAATGTCCCTGCGTAACGCGAAAGACATTACCGATATCGAAACTGGAAACGAGGTACCTCTCGATTACCTGTTGGACCGCGAGGCCTTTATAACGCGCTTGACGGAGGGATGTCCCGGAATGATTGTATACGAAAAGGCAGAGGACTTTCCCTCCTACGAAAACCGATTAGGGGAGCCTTTGTCTCTAGTGGGAGACCATTTCGAGCCAGACCACCCACGAGAGGGACTGAGACATCCTCGGAAATGGCGACACTTTTTTGATAATTGGCTCGAGGAGCAGGGAGTTCGAGAACGGATGGGCCCAGTCGTCCCGGTACACATCAAGATGGAGCAGTCCTTCCTCGAGTATCCCGTACGCGACGACGGCGACGCCTTTGTGCACGAGTTTGGCAAGATCCTGTCCTTCAGGAACGACACTCGTGCGCTTGCGGCGAAAATTCTCTACCTGCTCAAAGAAAAGTTCTCGCTCCCATTTGATCCGAGGAAAGCCATCAACCCCAACGCTTACTTCGGGGCGCATTTACGGCTGGAAAAAGATGCCACATCTGCGTGGGGACCCGATGAATGGCGGTTTTCTCGGATGGACGACCAATTCGAAGAGCAATTCCGGTATCTGGAACGCACGGGTCTGAGTGTCGTCTACGTGGCATCGGGAAACCAGACCGTGGTCGACATTTTCGCGGAGAGACTCAACAAGTATCTCTCAGTTGAGACTGGTACGCCGAGGAGGAACATCACGGTGGTTACCAAGAACGACTTGCTACTCGGGCCCGACCGCGAGCAACTCGACAGTCTTACATTCGATCAGCATGCCCTGGTGGATTTTCTGGTCATGTTCAGGGCGAGCGCATTTATGGGCGTCGCTCATTCAAGTTTCCCTTGGACGATTGCTCTGCGGCGGCACGAGCTGAGCAAATATTCGAAGTTCGGGAACGAAGGCTCAGACTTGCTGAGGGACGAGTACAGCATCATTATGGGCATGGAGGCCGACTACCCATATGTCGACCCCTTTGTTTATGGCCTGTGGCCATAGGACCTCCTTTACATGCATCCCGGATAGCAACGCAACAGCGGCGTCGTATGGATGGATAATGAAAGCATCAAATACCAGCATGTATAAAAGATTTGACAGGCATCAAACTACATGTAGAAAGACTCAAGCGTCACAACAGTAGATAAGACAGCAAGAGCACGTCTAATACCATAAATCAGATTTGTCCAAATCTTTTCAAGTTCCTCTCCATCAAATGTAGTTCGCGATTGATACTACGAAGTGAGTGCTGCTTTGACATCGCCCATAGTCTTCATCTCGCAGTTTACCAACAAATCAAGTAGGCGTCGATATGTCTGCGTCAAGGTCTTCATAGTAGTTTCGGAGAACAAGGACTCGTAGTAGGTAAGCGTGGCGTCGAGTCGGGAGGGACCCTCGTTGAATGCCAGCACTAGGAGTTGCTGCCAAATTTTTGTTTACTTCGTGCATTCCGGTTCAGGGCGAGGCCTTTAGACTTACCTCATGGGGATCTTGTTTCCAAATGGATCGGAAGCCAATGTCAACATCGTCATCCGAGTACTTGACTTTGCGGTAGTTGACCAGAGTATTGAAGAGACCAGTACCTTCGCACCCTAGCTGCCGCTCAACCTCAGTCAAGTCAAAGGTCTTGTGGTTGAGGCTGCGAATGTTCTCATCTTGAAAAGCCTGCAAGACCTGGATAATCACCATCGTATCGTCAAAAGTATTGCAGGCCACCATCATCGACAGCATTGGTCCAACAACCTCGTCCGCGTGTGGCAATTCAATATCTCGGTCAGACACTAAATGCCCGAAACAGACGGTTGAGTGACCAGTGTACACATGGAGAAGCATAGCCCACGCGAATTGAAGGAGGTTCGAAAGAGTCACTCCAGCCTCGCAGAGAAACTGCCTCAACTCGACTGTGATATCCACCGAGAAGTTGATTGACCCCATGGTGTGAGAGTCTGAGCCGCCGACTACCATGGACTCGATCGGTACCATGTAGGGTTTCACGCTCTGAAGCTTGTCAAGCCAGTATGCTTTGCTTGCCTGCAAATCACGCTGGGAGTTGATGTGGCCGATATAGTCTTGAAAACTAGTTAAAGGCTTTGTCCCTGGATTCTGACCACGATAGAACGCAACAAAATCAGAGAAGACGTGGGCCAAGCTGACATGATCGATCAAGATGTGCCCCATGACGAAGTGAATGAATGTCTTCCCATGAGGAATGACAAAGAGGCGCACCGAAACCGGCGGCGATTCGTCTCTGAGTAGCTTCGAGCGAACGGCGTTGAGGTGGAGCCTAGCTTGTTTCGTTGCGTCTCCCTCCGATTCTACATCCAAGACGGAAATGTCGGCCTTTTGCTCCTTGAGAACTTTCTGGAAGACAGTGCCCGAGGCGAGGTCATGGACAAAGACAGTCCGAAGGATCGCATGTCGATTGACGGTTTGCTGCCATGCTTGATGCAGCGCGCAGGTATCGACAGACGAGGACCCTCTGATGGCGATCAATTCGACAAGGCTGTTAAAGAGGTAGGGACTCTGAGGCTTGCCAAAAAATGCTTGGTAAATCCTCTTCTGGAACGGCGAGCAGGGTGCCATGGTCTCGACGTTTTCGGGAGTCGGGATAGACTGCGATAGAGATGCAGGATTGATCATCGATCTAAGCAGAGCCTGTTTGGTTTCGGGGCTGGCCCTTCGCATCGCAATTTGTTGTGCCAAAAGCTTGATTGTTGGGTTCGCAAGAACATCTTGCGTTGTCACATTGAGGGCAGCTGCTTTGCAGAGTCTCATTACTTGCATCGCTATAAGAGAAATTAGCATCGGCCACGCGCAAGCCGGGTAGCGGCCTTGGCTTTCTGCGTGTACTCACCAAAGATGGAATCTCCCCCAAGCCTGAAGAATGACTGTTCAAGTCCTATACGGTCTGGAAATCAAGAGTCAGATGGATCTATGTTGCTGACTGCCGGCTAAACATCTTGTTCACTTACGAGATTCAAGTCCGAGGACGTTTGCCCATATACCCCTCAAAGTTTCTTCAGTTGGAGAGCCACTCTGACCATCTGAGCCGCTTATTCGATGGAGATCGAGCGCATCCAAGAGTACCTGCTGGTCGATCTGACCTACCCAGCTCATCACTCGTTGCCGATCCAACTTGAGTGACAGCTGGACTGGCAGGGTTTTGACAAGGAGCCATGTTTCCGGTATCATGTACTGAGGCAATTCTCTCTCAAGCGCCGAGGTGATTTTGTTCATCGCCTCAGTTAGCTTCTGACACATCTCTTGGCTGAGGGTGCGTTTTTCGACAACGGCAATGTCCTGGTTGTAGTCGCGCGTTTCGAGATTCGACGATAGGACTGCCAGGCTCACAACAGCGACAAGACGTCCTCTGAGGTTTCCTACTTCTGGAACGAGAACCATGCTGTGTTGAATGATTCCAGAGAGATTGTTCAGATGGTACTGAATCTCACCAAGTTCAACTCGCTGGCCGCGTATCTTGACTTGGGAGTGATCCTTCCTGCGCTGGATCAGAAGGCTTCCATCCTCGGCATACCTGACCAAATCGCCGGTCTTGTACAATCTTCGTGACCTCATGTCGTCTTCACGCGGGAAGGCCTTATCAACTGCCCATGAAGGTGGTTCAATGAAAGCGGCCGCAGTCTTGACATCGTCATTAAGGTAGCCCTTACCTACTATCGGTCCGTCCAGAAGGAGTTCGCCAACAGCCCCAACCGGCATCAGGAGGTGATGGTTTTCCGGATGAACGACCCAAGCACGACATCCGACCGACCAACCAATATTAGTAGCATCAGTGTCCACGTCGAACGGAGCCCCAATGGTGCTGGTCACTGAACATTCTGTCGGCCCGTAGCTGGGCCTCATGTGGATCTTCCCAGCCCAACGAGCTACGAGATCCTGGCCCATCGGCTCTGCATGGACGGTGATGAACTTGACTGAATCCAAATCATCCGGATCAAGGGTACGAAGAAAGGATGGGGTGAAGGCGGCCCAGTTCACCTGCTTGCGCGCGACGAACCCGGGGATGTCGGACATGCGTTCCTCCTCGGACGGGATGCAGATGCAGCCGCCGGCGACAAGAACGGTGAATATTTCCTCGAGAGATGCATCGAAACAGAAGTTTGTGAACTGCAAGACCCGGGACTCGGCCTTGATTTGCAGCCAGGCGCTGTTGTAAGCTACTGCAGAACAGAATGACTTGTGCTGGATCATCACTCCCTTTGGGGTGCCTGTTGTCCCTGATGTGAAGATGACGTAGAGTGTATTCAAAGGCGTAACGGAACGATTCAGCGGACTAATGAAGCTAGAGTCTTTCTCCATAGAAGACTTGTCGACGACAACGAGTGTTTTCACGAGGCTGTTCAGCTTGTCGGCGTGTTTCGGCGAAGACAGACCGATCCTGGACCCAGTCTGCTTGACCACAGACTCATTCCTCTTCGCAGCACCATTTGGATCAATGTGAACGAATGCCGCCCCGGATTTGGCCACTGCAAGCATTGCCACGACTGCCCAGAGTGATTTCTCAAAACAGATGACAACTATATCTTCTGGTGCGACTTCAAGAACCTGGAGTTGGGACGCAAGCTTCATGGACAGGAAGTCTACCTCAGCATACGATAAGTCGCCATCCCAGGCACAGATGGCTGGCCTTAACGGTTGTCGATTAACCGTCTCCGAGATCATGTCATGGATGCAGCGGTCGTTGGTCTTGAGCGGATGTGAGTTCCATTCCAACATCTGCTTCTCATCTAGTGCGCTGGTGAGGCGCATCTCTGAAGTCTGGGCTTCTGGGTCGTCAACGATGGTGCGTACGGCGTTTGTATAGACAACTAGAAGGCGCTCTGCTTGGGTTTCAGACATGAAGTGAGTTGGAGTTTCAATAGTGATGTGAAATTCGCCTTGATCTTCAGTGATGCACAAGGCAATGTCGTACTATTCAAAACAGGTCAGCGAACTCCGAGTATATGGCGTCTTATCTGCGTAAAATAATAGAGTAAGAGCGAATTACCTCGCTTGTGTCATGTGCAAAAAGCAGCTCCGACTTGATAGTCCCCGGCCCTGGCGTTGAGCTTGTCTTTTGGAAGTTGAAGATCGTGTTGAACAAGGCATCTCCACTAGTACGTTTGGCTGCATGCTGAATTCGAGCCAAGGAAACGGTCTGTCTGGAAAGATGATCAAGGTTGTCTTCCTGTAGTTGAGTCAAGATCTTTGAAATCTCCGTTCTCGGACCTATTTGTACTCTGACAGGCACAATGTTGGCCATCGGACCGACGATCTCTGACGCCCCTGGAATTGGGATGTCTCGCCCGTGACCGAGATGGCCAAAGATAACATCATCCGAGTTCAGGTATATAGACAAAACCATAGACCACGCAGCCTGGAAGATGATTGGCGCCGTCATATCCAGCTTCCGGCATGCTGAGCTCAGACTGCTCCTAGGAAACGTGGAGGATGTGCGGGTAAATTGGGGAATTTCAGCTGATGATTGTCGATGTTGACGAAGTACTGGGAATAGGCACGAAGATGCGCCATCCAAGTAACGCGACCAATATCGTGTGATCTCAACAGTGTCTTGCTTTTGGACATAGTCGATGTAGTTCGAGTAGGGGCAGGTGACTTGTCGTGGGCGGTCCTCCAAAGCAGCCAGGAAATTCCGAATCAAGAGCCGAGATGTCGTGCCGTCAGTGATGATATGATTCTTGTTCAAAAGACAATACACAGAACCGTCGCCTGCTGCGTAGATTTGAAGTTGATGGAGTATCTTGCCACTCAAAGGTTTGGGTGCAACTGAGGAAGATTGCTCGGCCCACAGACTCGGCAGGTCACTCTCGCTTCGAAGTCTTTGGACCTGAATGCCAACGTCGACGGCTTTCAAGACGATTTGAAGAAATCTCCCAGACGCGTCTTCGAAGAAAATGGTTCTCAAGATTTGGTGCGTTGCGACAACCAGCTTCCAGGCTGCGGAGAGATCATCGGGGTTGAGCGGTATTGACCCAGAGAGT